TGTTTGTTAAAAAAAAAATTCGGGGGGGGGGCGGCCGGATTTAGCTCAGGAGCGCCACACCTGCCTTGCAAGTGCAAGGACCTGAGTTCAATTTCTGATACCAAAAAAAAAACTATTAAAAAAATTTTTTTAACCTAGCCCATAATTAGAAAAACTTGAAACAGCAGCAAGATGCCACTTTTTCCCATCATGTCAGATATTTCTATGACCTTGCTGGGCATGGTGGTGCAACCTGAAACTCATAGAAATTCCAATTGATGTTTCTTCCACAGCTACCAGATATATAAATTAATGCAACTAGTTTGGGTGTGCATATTTACAAGCCTTAAAACTGCCACACCATCTAAACCAGTAACTCTCACAAATTTGTCTTGAAATAGAACTGTATATGAATATTTGTGCTCAAAGATGCTAGTTAACCCCATTATTTTATAATAGTGACTAATTGGAAGCCACCTTAATGTATAACAAAAACACTGAATAGATTAATTATGCCAAGTATAGAATGGCCTGTTACACAGTCATTTAAGGCTGTGAAAAAAATACAGCATATGAAATGAAAAAGCAGGTAACAAATATATAACCCTAGTGTTTTTTTAAAAGTGTATGTGGGTGTATGTATGTTTTAGGAGTGAGATTACAGGTACAGTAGTATCTGCTACTCTTTAGAAAATAATTTCCAGAATGTTTATAGTAACCAGTTGTTACATTTATAATCAGGATAAAAATAGCAAGTGTTCTTTCTTAAAACATACTTAAAAGAGTTGAAGAAATGAAATTCTTCTAGCTTGGCTTAAAAAGCTGCCTGCCTTTCATTTGATCTCAGCAAACAGCTCCAGGGAATATTCGCATTCACACAGCTAGTTAGTAGCAGTTTTCCTAGCTCCCAGTGCCATCCTTTCCAGTTTTCATACTGCCTCTTCAGCAACCAGATTTCATTTAGTCAACACAAGTTAATGAAAAGTTTTGTTCACAGCTCGAGCTAATCCAAGATACAAGGTTCCTTGTCACTTGCTGAAGGAAATGGATGCAGCCAACATGGAACTACAGATGAAAAGGTAATTTAAGTTAACTTTCAGAGTTTGAATAGTTTTTCTGGGGATGGAGATCTAATTTAGGTCTTAAGCATTTAATGATGAAAACTAAAAAGGAAAAACTAGCCAATTATTTGCCTGCTGAACTTTTATAGTAAAGTTTTCATTTACTTTAAAATTAGCCTTATGTGTGAGAGTGACATATACTGACATAAAACAGCTATTGTTTAGTAGGGATCAAAGCCTAAGCAGGTTAGAGAAATCAGCACACGGTTGCATAAATGAATTTATAAAGACAGGCTGTCATTAAAACCACCCTCACTTCTAAGTAGTTGTGCTGGTGATTTAGCTCAGTGGTTCTGCCGCCTACCCTGCAAGTGCAAGGACCCGAGTTCAATCCCTGGTACCAAAAAAAAAGAATAATGACTTCTAAGTAGTTGTGGAAAACTGACTTGCAGTGGTGGCAGACCAGAGATGGGCCCATTTTCGTAAGGAAAGATAGGAATTCTATACACTATTGGGTTTAGCGTCAGTCTTGGGCAGAAACCTACAATGGATTCTTATAGAGATGGCTGCTGAGGTCTTAATGATCTTAACATTCTCCTTGGGGGCCCCACATTGGACCCTGAAAATCTGGTTCTTTATTTGCTCTCTGACAGAGTCAGTTGGCTAATGAGTAGGCTCCTTGTGGCCCCAAAGGTCAAATTCTGTGACAGAGGTGTTTTAAGTACAGTGCAAAAAATAACCTGCAGAAGTAGTCCAGATTAGCAGTTGATATTATGAAGGGGGAAAAAATAATCCAATGAGTTTAGTTGGCCAGTAATTTTAGTGTGGTCACAAGAAAAAGCTAATGCTCTCTTTGACCATGTTAATACAATGAATCTGAAGTCCTGGATCATGGTGACAGCCCCATCCCAGCTCTGCCCTGGTCACAGTGCCTAGGAGAGCAAGTTTGACACAGCCTTTGAGTCAGTTGAGTGGAGCCAGAGTAGCAGCCAGCACCCCAGCACAGGCTGTGGCTGACACACTACACTGGAGATCACATGCTCTGGAAGGCAGCGCTAGTGATTGCTAACATGAAAGAGCCTGAGTAGTCTGGTGGAAGTCAGGATGACACAGAGTTGATAACTGCCTCCTAACACAAGTATGTGAGCATGTGTCTAGCATTTTGTCCATAACTAATACAACCTCAAGATTGGAAGATTTCAAGTTTCAGCATTTGTGTGGAGAAATGTAGTTGATGTTGCACAATCTACATGGAAACACTTTTCCCTTGGACTTCGTGGTAGTAATTAGAGCTGCATGTTTGCTATTTATTGAAAACCTAAAATAAATCATTTTGGCAGATAGAAGAAAAGGATGTTACTTAGGCAGAATGGAGAACTTACTTGCATTGTAAAGCAGGTATTTTTGGTTTGCCATAAAAGTGTCTGTTATAAAAACATAATATTTATGTATTTTTTATCCTCCTAAAAAGGGCAGAATGTGATTCTGCAAACAATAATGTTGAATTACATCTCCACGTGGGCCCTTGTTATCATTTCTTCAATGGAGCTCTGCACCCAGTAAGCTGTCAGGCAGAAAGCATGTGGGATTTGACCTTTGATAAAAGAAGAACTTTAGGAGATCTCCAACAGTCAATATTTCAGGTAATCTAGCCTTATTTCTTAATTGAGACATTTGGGTCCATCTTGAGCTGGCTTCTCTATTTCATCTTATTTAATAGGTTCTAGCTCTTCTTCAAAGCTGCTTAGGAAAAGTCTCAGCACCTACCAGTACATAGAAGATAAAACAAATATTCTGTCCTTATTAGTAAGCTCTTTAGGGAGGCTTTCCACTTCCAGCCAGCAGCTTTTCAAGTGGAGAATCAGGCCTGGTATATATAATTTGGGGCCAGAAAGCATATAAAGTTGTCTTTTTTGGGAAATAAATGAAAGAGAATTATTTTTCAAAAGGAATGAAAAAATAAAGTTCAGCCTATGGCTTAAAATCACAAACCATTAAACAAATAAAAGCAATTTTGTATCCTCTGGCATAAAGTACCATTTGTTAATAAAATTCTTTACATCCCCAGCCCTTCTTATTTCATTTTGAGACGGAGTCTCACTGATGTTCAGGCTGGCCTTGAACTTGTGATCCTCTTGCCTCAGCCTCTTAAGTAGCTGGGGTTATAGGCATATGCCACCACATCTGGCTCTTTTCTGTTTTTTGCTATGTTGGGGACGGAACCCAGGGTCTTGTGTATGCTAGGCAAGCCTCTCCCACTGAGCCTTTTCTTTCCCCCAGACCTCTTCTTAATTTGAGGGTTTTTTTAATTTAAAGAAAAAATTTATTGAAGATCTGAAAATTCCAAAAAGATTGACTTTTCCAGAAAACTGTAGCTACACAATGCATTGTCTGTCATGTTAAAACGTGTATTAGACACAAATACAAAAACCATGAAACAATTCACCATTCTTCAACAATTTGAGCAAAGAGAAAATGCCTAAGGAACAACATGAATGATTTGCAAAGGATGGGCTCTTTAAGCACCATTTTAAAAAAAAAAGCTCAAATGGATGAGTGTGTTCAGTTATATACACTGAATTGGACCTTTGGCACTAGGAATCAGAGCATTTTGTCATATAGCATTAACGTATTATAAAAGTGCATAGTGTCAAAGGAATAGAACCACCAGCATTCAAAAGCAGCTTTGTCAACTAGGCAGTAAAATACTCTACACCATGTCTCTTTGTTCATCATTTAATACACTGGTAGCAACTTTGAAGTGAAAAGAAAAAAGCTGCAACCCCTTTTATTTTCTCTGTTTAAAATCAAAACAAACATTAACTCTGTTATACACTAACATCTTCAAAGTGCATCATTTGTACAAGAGAAGGACTAGGAACAAAAACATGTTGACAGAGATCCAAACACAGGTGAGAGCGCCTCACACCGCTTTCCGATGGTACTCAGGAGGGGCCACTTCATAATCACTGGCACTAAATAAAGTTGCTGAATTTTTCGCCAGATACTTGAAGAAATCATGATGATAATTCAGTAATAAAGCAAGGCTCTTCTCACCCAGAGATGTGTAGGCCAACATAGCTCCAATTCGTACAAATAATCTCAGTAGATGTGGTGCTCCGTACACCTGCGACATGGGTGCATCAGGGTGATTGGCAAGGATATCGGCGTACTGTGGTCTCTAAAATTTGTAGAGGAGCTGAGTGCCCAGCATCACATTGAGGTATGCTGTTATCCCTGCTACAGCCTCGTTAACAGCATACTCCTTATTATCCTTACTTCCTCGAGATTTCTTATAATTTGCTTAGTCCTCTAAAATGGAATCCACATTCTTCTTGGCAGGAAGGTAAAAGAGCTGTTTCTGTCTGATAATTAAGTCCCAGTCATCAACAAGCCTCGGTTTTAGCTCTTCAGGGATCTTTACTTTAACTTCAACTCTGTTCATAAATGTTTCTTCATTTTCAACAGTAGGATCTACCCGGGCCCTCTTCCCAGGAGGCTGAGGTGTCTCACTGGTACTGCCACCATCTCCATTACCAGGGTTTTTGTTCTTTTTTGTTTTCACTTCAACATTTTTCTGTTGCAGACCAGATGTCCTCTGTCCTGGAGCAGCCCCTCTCATTTTCCCTCTACATATTGCTCCTGATTGGCTTTTTGAAGTTCTCGCTGTTTCTGTAGATTGGTGTCCACATATTTGAGTACTCTGCTTTCTGGAACCCATTCGTCCCAATTTTTATCCCAGCCACTGTAATGTATAAAGTATTTTACTTGTTTGTCCTTTATGGCAACCTTTACACACTTTGCTTCATAAAGAAGAGGATCATGAAAGCACAGTACTCGTTCACCCTCCTGGAACTGGGCTTCGGGTCCTGCTTGGGTGCCATTTATACGTGATTCGCCGCCGCCTCCTCCCACCACCCCCGACTACCGCCCCCTACTCTCTACCCCACCCGAGCTCATGTCAGACGCCCCGTCAGGCACAGCTGCTCTACATCCTGAGCCTGATTTCTTAATTTGATTTTGAGACAGAGTCTTACTAAATTGCCTGAACTGGCTGCAGATTCTCAATCCTCCTGCCTTAGCCTCCTGTAACTGGAATTTCAGGAGTACACCATCACAAACTGCCCTAATAAGAGTCTTAAGTGAAAAAAAAACCTACTAGTCTCTAAGTAAAAACAGATGTTCTTATATTCATTGGCCAAACAATTTATCCAGCTGTTTCAATGATGATGATAACAACAGTAATGCTCTTTACTTTGCTTACAGTTCTTTCACATAAATTACGTAATTTAGTTCCTTAACTTCATGAGGTCAGGTTGACTCCATTTGGAGGATGAAATAAATGAATATTTAAAGGTCACAGTGTTGCCTGTGCAGAGCCACTTAGTAAGTGCTGGCTTTAGGACCACAACCACGGACCCCCTTCCATCAGTGTTCTCCTTAGGCACACTTCTCTACCCCACACCACTTCCTGGCCAAGAAAGAGGGAAATCAAGAATGTAAGCTTTTTAGGTTTTGTCCCAAAAATAACTTAAATGAAATTTCTGAAAAATTGTATCCCTCACCAAAATTACCAGCTTTCTTTTGATTTTCTTGTACTAAGAAAAGCAAACAAATTTTTTTAACTTTGATTTGGATGTTAAATGCTGGATTAATATCAATATCTCTAAAATTGATATTTCAGAACTTCTGTAACAAAAGTTCATTTCTGAGCCAGTTCTGGCAGTAAGGGAAGCTAAACCTGTCTAGGGCGACATTTCAAACTTGAAAGGCCTTATGCATCTTCTTAAGTTTTAGAAACACTGTCTATGCTTTCCAGTGTTTCAAGTGTACATCTTTGTGAACGGTTATGTTAGAAGTAAGCCACTAACCAATCTGTGAGATAGACACAATGAATCAATTTCTCTCTCTCTCTCTCTCTCTCTCTCTCTCTCTCTCTCTCTCTCTATATATATATATATATATATATGTATGTCTCATGTGATATCGTGGATTGAATCCAGGGCTTTCATCTTGAGCTACATCCTCAGTACATTTTTAATTTTGAAACAAGTTCTCACTTAGTTACCCAAGCTGGGCTCAAATTTAGAATCCTCCTGCCTCAGCCTCCCAGAGTGCTGGGATTACAGGCGTGTGCCACCACACCCAGCTTAGAATCCCTTTTAAATAGGAGTTTCTTTTTAAGAGAAAATCTTGTGGTATTAAAGACTAAATAGTAATGTACTTTCTGAGTAATACTATTTTGGTGAGATTAACAGAGTCCTTAGAGTCTTACATCTAGATCTTTTAGAATAGACCCTGGCAATCTGTTACATACCTGGGAATTCCACTTTTAAATTTACAGGCTGCATTTCTCTGAGCAGTGCCGGTGAAACAATTAAGTGTGGCTCTTGCAGGCAGAAACTTCCATGCCGGCTTGCTGAGCAGTCTGCTTTCTACTAAAAGTGGCCTTCACTTGATCTAATTAGAGTTGTTTAGATGTGTATGCCAAAGTCTTCAGCCAGTAGTGGATGAGATTAGCCATCTTTGAATGTCACCAATTTAACAAGAATAATCTCTTTGTTTCCAATTGTTTGGTATTAGTAAGGATGAGAGTATTCATTTGCCTGCTCCCTATGTAAAATGGCACACTGCTGTTGTTAAACCTGGAAACATGATACTCATGTTATTTTTTATTCTTTTTATCTTCAGCTGTTAGAATTTTGGGAAGGAGACATGGTTCTTAGTGTTGCAAAGCATGTTCCAGCAGGACTTCACATTTACCGGACACTTGATGGTAAGAGGAATATGAACACAGCAACTCAGTTTAATAATTTATATTTTTATGGGGCTCATCCATGGTTTCTCTTTGCCAGTCCTTCCCCTGCCTACTATTACTTCTTAACTACATAGCTTATCATCATATTGCCAGTTCAAAAAAGAAATAATTCATCCCATTTATGATATATCCAATCTCTTTCTATCATGGAAATGTTTTATATTTTCTAAAACTAGGGCTACCTTTTTAAAAAAAATTTTATATTACCACCAACTATTGAACAAAATGATTTAAAGCCATTTGAATGTTATTATGTGGCTTGATTTTCTGCCAACTCTCAGCTTCAGATTTTGTAACAAAGGAGAGTACTTTGAGAATTTAAGTACTTATTTCCTTTAAATTTCAAAACGATAACAACAGTGCTATGTCTTAGTTACTTGCTGGTTGCTGGAGCAAAATACCTGGCACCCACAAGTTAAAGGAGGAAAGGCTTATTTTAATTCACCGTTTGTAGGGGTTTCAGTCCATAGTCTGCTGGCTCCGAGGTAGAGAGGTGTGGCAGAGAAAAAACATTCCATGGCAGGGTAGGCAGGAAGCAGTAGCCTGCCTTCCTTCTTTTTCTTTTTTTTTATTTTATTTTATTTTTTTATTTTTTTGGTATCAGGGATAAAACTTGGGTCCTTGCACTTGTGCAGCAGGCAGTGAAACCACTGAGCTAAATCCCCGGCCTCCTTTCTCTTTTTATTCCATCCAGGCTACAAGCCTATTGGTTGGTACCACCCACACCCAGGGTGGCTCTTCCCTCTTTAGTAACTCCATCATCCGCACCCAGAACTATGCTAAACCCATCCATGGACTAATCCAGTATCACCCATGATCTAGTCACCCCCCAAAAGCCCCACCTATGAGTGCATTCAGCTTTGAGGAGACATCTAAATATAAGCCATAACATTATGATAACATTTATTTTGGGTTTTCCAATGCCAAATACTGCATGATAACTGTTCTGTGCTAATTTATCTCATTTGAGTTTTACAACGTTCTTCTATCTTCATTTTATAAATGAGGAAACTGAGCTTAGAGGCTCAACACATACAAAGACGTGTAGCTGGCTAGTGGAGGAAGCTGAACCATGTGGTGCCTGTCACAATGACATGTGCTTTGAGTAGGGTCAGCCTTTATACTGACTCATCTTGCCACTGTGCTCACAAAACTGCATGAGCTTTTAAAGTAAAAATAAAAATGATGCTGGATGTGGTAGCACACGCCTGTAATCTTAGTACTTAGGAGCCTGAGGCAGGAGGATCACTGTGAGTTTAAGGCCAGCCTATACTACATAGTAAATTTGAGGCCAGTTGAACTACATTTCAAGACCCTCTCTCAAAAAACAAAAAATAAAATAAAATTTAAAAATGATGTCAAACAATAATAGAAAAAAAACTGTCCCAGCTCCTCCTTTAGTTTCTGATGGTCATGATGAATGGTCTTGCTGACAATCTCATCTTCCTAGGAAATGAACTGACATTGTGTGAAGTTGGAATTATTGATGGGGAAGACATCTTTGTGTGGAATGGAGTAGAGGTAAAAAAAACAAATTACTGAAGAAATATTTGCTTTTTTAAGTCACCATAATGAAGTTTTAACCTGTGTATGTGAAGGCAGTTTGACATTAGAAAACTGCTGAAATGCTCGCTACGTTGTAGTGCAGTCAGTGGCAGTCACATGTTAAAAGGAGACCTGAGAGCTTCATTATGCCAGGCGGAGCATCTTTCACTGGACAGAGGTAGTGATAGGGAAAAGTTTTAGATAACTTAGTAGATTGAATATTAAGGTAGTTGTAGAAGCAAAATAAATAATGCGTTCCTTTAAGATTTGCTTTTCCCATAATTAACCAGTAACTTCATTAACCTAACAAAGTTGCAATGCCTGGGTGAATTTACAAGTATATGTGTCTATCTTGTGTCTGTGACTTGTAAATAGGAACTGGAATTGTATTTACACATCAAAGACCACTAGGGATGTAATACTGGCTAAAAAGGATATAAAAAGGGAAACACTGAACAAAGGGGCTCGGATACTAACCAGACCAGTTTCCCGGGTGGTCCCGCCCGCTTGCAAGTAGAACTTTTATTATTTTACTGGAATTGTGTGTCTCCGTGTATTTCTTTCCCAGATTTCTGGAATAGTAGGGCAGTCAGCATTCCTGGTGTCAATTGTAGCACAGGGCTGTTATGGGGAGGGTGCGGGGATCAAGGGCATGGCCACCAGCTCTGCTGAGGTGGGCAGTGGGCGCTTGGAGGGGCAGAGTGAGCTCTCAGTCTCACAGCAGTGAGGAGCAGCTTCTCAACCCCTTTGTGGCCTGTCCCGGGTCCTTGTGTGTTTCCACGATCTCATCACCACCACAAACAATTCATAAATATGTACCTCCTACCCAGATTTCTCTCCTAGGAAATAAAAGAGAAACTTTCAGAAGAAATCTAACGTTACTCCTCTGATAACTTAAAGGCACTTGAGAAAATTTTTTTTATTTGGAAGAAATGGAGATTATGCTGTTAATTTGGCAAATGCCAAACACACTGGTGTTGGTCTGGATATCGTTGCAGGTTGGTGGTGTCCAGATCCCAACTGGTATTGACTGTGAGCCCCTGCTGTTGCAAGTTCTTCATCTGGAGAAAAGCAGTGACAGCCGATGCCATGGGCAGCTAGTGGAGTCTCCGCATGTCTTTCCAGCCAATGCAGAAGTGGGCACTGTCCTCACAGCCTTGGCCATCACAGAGGGCATCATCCTCACACACAGTGTTTGGTCTGTAGGGGAAGAGAGCTGGACTGCTATTCCCCAGGAAGACATGCAGAGGACTTTCAGAGAGCATGGTCTCACGGATGGAAGCTCAGTTTTAGTTCAGGATTCTTACAGTGATGGTAACAGGTAACTCACTGAAAAGAGAAAAGGGGAGAATATTTTGAAGTTACTCAATTACAATACCATCTAGGACAGTAGTGGCAAACCTATGGCCCACATGTTGCAGCAGGCTGTATCATTGAAAGCTCTAAAAGGTTTGCCATCACTGATCAAGGAGAACTCTAAACCTTTATTTTTTTTTTATTTTATTTTTTTTTTTTGGTACCAGGGATCGAACTCAGGCCCTTGCACTTGTGCAGCAGGAGGCCAAACCACTGAGCTAAATCCCTGGCCCCAACTAAAGCTTTATTTCAATAATAGTTAAATGTTTATTCCTAGATATTATATTCTAAATGCTGTTTTAGGCTATGCAACTTAGAGAAAAGAATGTTATAAAGTGATTCTTTTTAGTAAATGTGGTAAGAAAATAATATAGGTATCCCTGATTTTATAGATGAGATACAGTCTAAAGTAGTTGGTTATAAAGCAAAATCCTATCAGATGAATTCTGATTAGAACCAATTATAGATTTACTAGAGGTATATTTTCACAAAGAAAATTTCTGAAATTCTTCATGAAGAAGTTACTAATATCATGGTTAAATTGTTCTGCATATTTTATTAAAAGAGACCCATGACCGGGGATTTAGCTCGGTGGATTTGCCAACTGCTGCGCAAGCGCAGGGACAAGAGTTCACTCTCCGGTACCAAAAAAAAAAAAAGACACCCATAAAGCAATATAATTTTTCCTTATAATTCATTGTATGGTCCTGAGAGCTTCCCAGCTGCCCAAATAATTACCCCTTGAATCCTGTAGTCACATTTAAGGTGCAAAGTGCTGTACCTTCCCGCTTTTGTTACCCATGCCCATGACAGTACACTTCATGGTCAGTGTGGCATACACTGTGATCCCTCCTCCCACATTTTCATAATGAACACTTTATGTCCCTGCCTTATCAATACTGCCAGCATCCTTAGGCTGTAGGCAGTCTGTTTAGTTATTTATAGTGCCTGGGACACGAGAAACAGAGCCCTTGTGGACTGAGTTTATTTTGTATTACATTTCTCACTGCTACTCTTTTGGAGAAATGTTTTGCAGATATGTGTTTCCCTTTCTTGTTTATAATGAAGTTTATTTTATATTCCTTTATAAAAGGTAATCTACATTTATTAGGGTGTGGGAAATAAAAAAGTGAAAATAGAAGTTGTCCGAAGCAGCAGCCCGTTTCCAACTGTACAGGATTGATGGCTGTTAGCATCCAGTAGCTTTCCTCTTCTTCTAAGTCAAATTATTGTTTTGAAGGTTTTTATCTTTCTAAGTATAATAATGATTGCTTGGTAGGTGAATAGTTGTCCTGCTTTCCCTCCGCCCCCCCCCCATGTTTGTAGACTGTGAGCCTCACTGATGACTCTGTAATAATCTGTTGACCCTGACTGCCCCCGAGTGAGGCAGGACGACATCATAGAAAAGGGCAAGAACTTGGGAACCAGCTGCCTGAGCTGTTTTTCACCTTTGCCACTTACTAACAGCATGGCTTGGGCAGTAATTTCATCTCTCTCTGTTCAGTTGCTCTGCAAAATGGGAATACTAACTAGTGCCAACTTTACAGAGTTGCAGGGATAGTCACTCCCAGCAAGGACTTGTGCTAGCCTAGTCAGTGCCACTGTTGTGAGTCAGGAAGAAGTCACCCAGTCTGCAGGACTTCTCTGTCTGTGGGGAGATTTTGTTAGGATGAGATGCTCTACTGCCAACTGCTAACATTAAAGTCTATAATGGAAATACAAGTACATGATGTAAATGATGTGTATGACACCCCTTAGATGTGGCGCTTGAGTGCAGTCTGCAGAACTGTACATGGCTGCCCTTTTGCAAAACCAAATCTGAATCCTGAGAGGTGGGCCCTGGTACTTTTTTTTTTTTTCGACCAATCTCTCTATGTAGTACAGACTGGCCTTGAACTTGAGACAGTCCTCCTGCCTCAGCCTTCCAAGTGCCAGGATTATAGGTGTGTACCACCACAGACACTGGGCCCTGGTATCTGTTTAAAGCTCCCCTGGGGATTCCCATGTGCAGGTAGAAGCCAACTGCTAGTTGCTCATGTACAACAGTTCTTGAAAACCATGGCAGCAAATCATTTATGTAAGTCAAAACCTATTTGGTGTCCTGAATACAAACTCCATGGACTGAAAAAGACAGCTCACTTTCACAGAGATGGTGCAGTAGAATATGGCCACCACAGAGCCGGCTGAGGGTCTGGGACTCTCCATTCCCTGCTCTGTGCTGCTCTCCATCTCTTGTTCTACTGCAACCAATGCCTGCAGCTCACCGCTACTACTTGCATTTATTATTTCTTTGAGCTAAGTGTTATTTCTTACTCAAAAAAAATAAATTGGGGGGGAGCACTGTAGATTGAACCCAGGGCCTTTGCACTGAGTTGTATCCCCATGCCTTTTTTACTTTTAGGTTGAGGCAGGGTCTTGCTAAGTCATTGAGTTGCACAGGCTGATCCTCCTGCCTCAGCCTCCCAGAGTGCTGGGATGACAGGTGTGTAGCACTGTGAAATAATGGGTTTTTTTAATCATTTAGTAAAAAATCAAAAAAAGCACAATAAGTAACCTATGATAAAATGGTGTCTATATTTTTAAAAGACCTTGTTAAATATTAAATAACTTAGAAATACTAGCACATTTAAGTCTTTTAACAATTATTTTTCTATTAGTACAAATTACAGAACAAAATGATGACACTCACTGAGGCAGGTTGGTACATACGTGTACATAACACACCTTAATTCCTTTTATTTTCCCTTCTTCCTTCTCTTCCTCCCCCATCTCTTGGTCTACTGCCCATTTTCAAATGAACTATCTCCTTGTTTCCTATTACCTATCTTTCATTTTGTTCTTTGAATTATTTATACTGTTTGCTTTCTCATATAAAAGAAGCCATATAGTACTTAAAAAAAAAAAAAAGAATATGGCCACCTTTCATTAGTGAGACACAGAGTTTTGGAAATGGTGCCTAAGGAAAAAGATTGGTTTTCTTATCCACAGAAATGCCTTGTAAAGACGCTTTTATTTATTTTTTATTATTATTACTTAAATTCTTTTATTGATACATTTTAGGTATACAACACATTTACATTTCTCATTGGGAACTGTACCTTTACATGATGCATCTTGGCTCTTATTTTTTCCCCATTCCTAGCCCTCCCTTCACCCCCTCCATCCTTCCCTATTTACAAAGACTTTGTTTCCATTTTTTCCATTTCTCATCATTTTTCCTTTCCCTTCTTTTTTATCCCCTGCCCCTCCCACTATCCCTACCTCTTTGGACCTTTTCTTCCTATTTTGCATTGTCGATTATTCATTCTAATCATTGGTACATTTTAGGTATACGATATAATGACACTCATCATTGGAAATTTGCACCTTTACATAGTCTCTCTTGGTTCTTATTTTTCCCCATTCCCCTGCCCTCCCTTCCACCCCTCCATCTCTCCCTATTTACAAAGATTTTGTTTCCATTTTTCCATTTTCTCATTTCAATTCTATTCCCTTCTTTCCTTTCTCCTACCCCTCTCACTTCCCCTTCCCCTTTGCCCCTTTTCTTCCTATTTCACATTATCTATTATACGTTTTAGTCCTTATTTACACTTTCAGTTTCTCACACTAGAGAAACTGTTCAGTATTTATACATGTGTGTTCTATTTATTTCACTTAAGAGTATCACCTCAGTGTGCATCTATTTAGCTCTAAATATCTCTAATTTCTCATTTTTTATGGCTGAGTAGTACTCCATTTTATGAGACACTTTTATTTTGTTTTAGTCATTCACAGTGCTGGGGTCCAAACCCAGGTCCTCATACATACTAGGCAAGCTCTCTAAAAACACATTTTTTAAAATGTCTTTTTACCTACAGTCTGTTACCCCAAGAAGGGAAGTGGATCACTGGTATGAATGAGATTGACTGGCTTGAAGTTAAAAATTTATGCCAGTTAGAATCTGAAGAGAAGCAAGTTAAAATATCCGCAGCTGTTAACACAGTAAGTAGTCCTTAATGTTCAGCTAATATTTCTAAAGTAACAAAATTTTTATTTAGGAAGTAGCACATTAATCTCTCAGAACATTTTTCTTGACAGACTTTTGAATCTTAAGAAAATCAACTCTTTGTTTTGTTCTGTTCTGGTTTTTTTGTGTTTTGAAACAGAGTCTCGCTGTTAGTTCAGGGTGCCCTTGAACTCACTATGTAGCCCAGGCTGCCCTGGAACTCAGAGCAATCCTCCTGCCTCAGCCTCCCAAGTGCTGGGATTACAGGCATGTGCCACCACACCTGGCTCCTAGAAAATCAACTTTTTAACATTTGGTTATTGCTTTTTATCAGTCCTTGCCCTGCTACAGAAAACTACTAGCCACTTTTCTTTTTAACTCCAAGGCCTAAAATGAGAATGTGGCAGTTATCTATTTAGTTCATGCAATTCTCTGGCTTTGATAAATTTGAAGTGCTATTTTCATGGGTCTTTTCTGTATTACTTTAAAATGGGTGCACATATGTGTAAATACATGTTGTATTGTTTTTGTGTTGTGAGTTTTTGATTTTTAGGTTTATCTTAAATTGATCTAAATTATACTGTGTGCTCTGTCTACAGCCAACTGCTTTTAAAGAGATTCCTCTAGCTTTCCATTTGAAGGTTGTGATAGTGACTTCCTTAAACAGTGTCTCAGGAAACATCTTTTTATACTTAAATGTTCCCAGTATATTAGATTGTCTTTTTTTTCTTGTAACAAGTGAAAAGAAATTTACTAGAATGTTGTTTTCTTTTAAATAAACATTATGATTTGTCAAGGTGGGTTAATTTTTGTTGGTACAGAAGGGATAGTGTGAGGTCAGTGCACTGAAGAGGAGACTGTCCCTGACCCTGGACAGAAGGTTTGGGGAAGTTTCTTATTACTGCAGCCCATTTCTCTTGGCATCATGTGGGGTACTGGTGTGAGGTTAGAGCACCTGATCTCTCACAGTGTAAGCCCTAAATTTCCAACATTTTATGCCCTAAAAGAAATTAACCTAAATTCAGCTTTAAAAAAGAAAACAATTTAAAATAATTTAAATAGAAACTGTAGTGGTCTTGGATTGGTATTATGCATTTTTGTGTTATTTATGCTTCTAGCCCCAAGTCTGCTGTCCCTAATGTAGAGAAATGTGATTGCTTGTAGTTTCTTGCCCTGGCTATCACCAGAAAGGTGAATGGTTCATCAGCTTACTGCTTTCTGCCTCGAACTGTTTCCTTACTTTACTATAGGTTTCCTTTTTGTCCCAGTTAACACCAATTTGATAAAAACTTAACTGTTAAAATCTATTCTGAGCTTTTCCTTTTGCCCATATAGGAGAATTTCAGGGATGGTTGGGGTGGGGGGCTTTTTCAAGTTTTTGCTTTTTCAAGGCAAAAACCAATATCAGGTAATATCTCAAATGACCTATATGTGCACACAATGACAGTTGTCATTTTCATCTCTCCCCATTCAGCTTATACACAGTCATTAGTTTATTTCTCTATTTTAGGTGGTGTTTGATATTCGAATTAAAGCCATAAAGGAATTAAAATTAATGGAGGAACTAGGTAATCATTTACATTTGCTTTTTGGTTTGGGGCTTAATTTTAGTCTTGGTGTTTCACTGAAAGAAATGTAGGAAAGAACAAAAAATTCAGGGAAATCTCATGCATCTACCACCCAAAATGGACAAATGTTAACATTTTGTCATGTGTTTGTTTTTTGTTGAAACGTTATAAATGTTCCCTTTCTTAGACCTATCCCCTGCCCTGCCATCCAACCAGTATGTGATTTGGGGTGTGTATCTAGACCTTGTTGATAGGTCTGACCCTTGTTTGTCCCTAGCCGCCCAAGTTCCTGGAATAACTGCTTGAGCTCAGAGCCACCACAGTCCATTCCCACATCCTGTAGTCACCCCACCTACTCTGCTAGGACATGCCACACCCACTCTACCTGCTAGGTCACAGCGCACCCACAACAGAACATTAGCTATTGCTATGGTCACATACACAACTGTCCTCACTCCCCCAGTCTCATGCTTCCACTCGCCTCATTCCACCTAAACCTGTCCCACTAACCCCGTTATCCCTATCCATAAAAATCCACCTTAGTAAACTTGACTCCCCTTTGGAGTTACTCCAGGAGGTCCCGCTCAGAATCCTAAATACAGGCTGGCTGGGTTCTTCTGGGACATCACTGTTTATCTAACATGTAACATTCATATTATACTTACATGTAACTATATGTGTATATATTTTTACATAAATTCTGTCATAGTAACATTCTGCAAATTCACTATTCACTCTTAGTTTTCTTTAGCAGCTCTATTAAGATTTAACGTTACATAAAATTCACTCGTGTATAATCCAGTGACTATCAGTAAATGTACAGAGTTGTACATCAGCACCACAATCCAGTGTTAGAACATTTCCATCACCCCAAAAAGATCTGCTGCACCTATTTGTATTCTGAGCACCTGGCAATGATTAATTTCCTGTCTCTATTTTCTGGACATTTAATATAAATGGAACAATGCAATATGTAGTATATTGTGTCTAGCTTCTTTTATGTTACTAACACACCATTTTAGGGGCCGGGGAGTTAGCTCAGTGGTTCTGCCGCCTGCCTCACAAGCGGAACGACCCGAGTTCGATCCCCGGTACCAAAAAAAAAAAACCATAAAAACTACACCATTTTTGAAGTTTACCCACTATTTAGCATTTATCAAGTTTATTATTTTTAATTGCTAACTTAGTATTCAATTGTTTGAATATATCATATATCATTTTGTTTATTTACCAGTTGATAGACACTGTTTCTACTTTTGAAGTAATGCTGCTATAAATATTTGCATATAAGTCTTTGTGTAGATATATTTTTAATTCTCTTGGGTACATATATACAGGACTGGAATCAGTGTGTCATAAAGGCAAATTCATGTTTAACTTCATAAGAAACTGTTATATTTCAGAGCAGCTGAACCATTTATATTCCTACTAGCAATGTGTCAGGATTGCAGTTTTTCCATATCCTTATCAATATTTTATTGTCTTTTCATTATAACCACTCTGTGAATATGAATTGGTATCTCTTGTATACATTTAGCAGGAACTCAAAATCAATATGCAGAAATCTATTGTATTTTTTATCTACCAGCAAGGAAAAATGGACATCAAAATTAAGAAAATTTGGGGCCGGGCTTTAGCTCAGTGGTTCTGCCACCTGCCTCACAAGCACAAGGTCCTGAATTCAATCCCTGATACCAAAAAAAAAAAAAAAAAGAAAATATTTATGATATCATGAAATATCAGGGATCTGTTTAACAAAATATGTGTAAGAGCTGTACCTTGAATACTAGAAAACAGGCAGTAAAAAATTAAAGACCTGAATGAATACAACAATGTACCATGTTCATTAGTCTGAAGACACAATATTGTTAGAAGCACAATTCTCCCTAACTTGATTTATAGATGTAATACATTCTCACAAAATCCTAGCCATTTTATTCATTTTAGAAATTGATAAGCCAATTCTAAAATGTATATGGAAATGTAAAGGACCTAAAGTAGCCGTAACAATTTTGAGGAAATGAACAAAAGTTGGGAGAGTTACACTATCTGATTTCAAGACTCATTCTAGACAGTGTATTTTGGTGTATGGAAAGTCTTAGAAAACAGATCAGAAAACTATGACCTACAACTTGTTTTAGTGCAGCCAGTGAACAAAGAATTTTTGCATTTTTAAAGTCCAGTTTAAAGGAGAATAAGTGTTGGGGATGTAGCTCTGTGATATAAGTACACATTTAGCACATGTGGGGCCCTGGGTTAAATTGCAGTGCCACAAAAATTAAAAAGTAAAGGAAGAATGTACAAAGAGATCATATGTGGCTAGTAAAGCCTAAAATATTTAGAGCAGGACTAAATAGAGAATACAGAAATAGATGCAAAATACTCAGTTGACTTTCAGCAAAGGTGCCGTCATCTTTCCGTCGGAAAACTGTATTTTCAACAAATAGAAGTGGACCATTTGGATATCAATATATGCAAAAAAAAAAAAAAAACACCCTCTTGCTTTACCTCGCATGATGTAAAACACAAAAGTAACTTAAAACAGATGTAGAACTAAATGTTAAATCCTAAAACTTCTGGAAGAAAATCTGTATAAATTTACTATAAAGGGCTTTTTTTTAAAGAGGACTCAACTCAAACTATGAGAGAAACAAACTAATAAATTAGACCACATCAGAATTTAAAATTTATACTCTTCAAAAGGAGTCTGAAAAACCAAACTACAAACTAGGAGAAGATATTTATAAAACGCATATTTAACAGTGGATTTGCATACAGAATATATATTTTTTTTGGTACCAGGGATCGAACTTGGGTCCTTGCACTTGCGAGGCAGGCGGCAGAACCACTGAGCTAAATTCACAGCCCTTTCAGAATGTATTTGTTAAAATACTTGTAAGGGTTGGGGATAGAGCATGCGCCTGACATGTGTGAGGCCATGGGTTCAATCGCAAGCACCATAAGCAAAGGAAGAAATCATAACCTAGTTAGAAGACAACCCAATCTGAATTGGGAAAATTGAACAGGCATTCAGAAAAGAAGGTCGGCTTATCAGTGACCAATAAATAAAAGATGCTCAGTGCCGGGCCAGGGATCACAAGCACAAGGTCCTAAGTTCAATCCCCAGTACCAAAAAAAAAAAAAGATGCTCAGTGCCATTAGCCATCAGATTACAGTTGTAATGACACGCCACCGAACACACGGTTCAAAATTCAAAATTTACACAGTTAAAATTCAAAATACTGACAAAACTAAGTGTTAGCAAGATGTGGAACAACTTGAAATTCCCATGTATTGCTGGTGGGAGTGTGCAATTGTGGGAGTCACTTTGGAAAAGTTAGCTTGCTTTTTGTAAATTTAAACATTCACTTGCCAGTTCTACTTCAAGATGTTTACTGAAGAATAGTTAAAATATACAAACTCATAGAAGCCTAAGTGTTCATAACCAAAAACTGTTATGAGTTCACATGGCTACAAGCAGGTAGATAAACAGACAAATTGTGGTGTCACCAGTCAGTGGGGTGCTGTTCATCTCTGGAAAAAAAGTTCCACCACACAGAAAATGTGAATGAATCTCAAAGTCATTATGCCAAGGGAAAGAGAATAGACACAAAAAAGACATGCTGTGTAATTCCATATGTATAAAATTTTAGAAAAAGAAAATTTAACCTGTAACCACAGAAGGCAGATCAGGGTAGAGGGTGATGCGATGCTGGCTGCACAGCAGCCAGAGGAAAGTTTTGAGGAGTGATGCAGACTGTTTGCTGGTGTTACTGAGTGTTCGTGTATTTGTGAAACTTATCTATACACTTAAACTGAATATATTTTATTACGAATAAATTACACCCCAGTTAGTTCGAGGCCAGCCTGAGCTACCTAGTGAGTTCAAGGTCAGCCTGGACTAATAGCAAGACCCTGTCTCCAAAAACCAAAAAGAAGAATGAGTGCTTCATAATCATGCCGCACAACTGGTCCTCTCTGTTTTCCACTCTGGCTCCCTTCCAAACCATTCTTCACATATAGCAAGAAATCCTCTTAAATATGTGTGAGCTACATCATGTCAGCCTCTGCTCATGCTCTTTAGTGCTTTCCAAAGCGCATGGGCTCATTCCTTAGCCTGCATATTCCAATCCACCTGCTGTGGCTTTGTTCCATCCGCTCCTTCCGCTTACTCATAACATACCTCGAAGGCTGCCTGCCGTGAGCTTCAGAATGCACAGGCTCTTGCCACCCTAAGGCCTCTCAGTGCTGTGATTTCTCTGTACTTTTCCCCCTCACTCTTATCTCCTAACTTCAGCCATTCCTTTGGTCTCAACTGAAATGGTGCTTCTCCTTTCATCCCTGACCAGTCTCAGCTGATCTGTTTCACATCAGCACCCTGTACTTCTTTCATAACCCTTTTTGCTGTAAGTGCCCTTTTATTTGTGTCATTAACATCTGTCCCTCCCATTCAATGAGGCATCATGAGGGCACGGTCTCCACCTGTCATGCTCACCACTGTATCACAGATTCTTGTACCATGCCTGCCACATAGAAGATGCACAGGAAGCATTCATTGAAATAAACTGATTTTTTTCGGTGTTTTTGTTGTCCAGACTTATCTTGATCTCCTCGGCTTAAGTCCTCCTGCCTCAGGCGGGTGCCACCATGCCCAGCTAAAAGCAAAAGGATTTTAAGGCCACGGTATTTAAAATGCACTTTTCTAACTTGGGGAACTGTTTCATTTCACGAGAAATTTTGTATTATATGCTAACAAAAAAATTTTTTTTAAAGAATTATATGCTAGCTTCATATTGCTGTGGTACAGTGTAACTCAGGAATCAGAAAGATATTTCACTGGGGGGTGATAAAATTGAGACCTTCTAGGCCCAGGCTGTTCCATTCTTGCCCATTCAGAAAGCTGAACATCCCCATCGCACTTACCCCTACCCCATTCTTGGCCTACTTTCTAAGAATTCTGTTGGGACTGAAAGCTTGATGTGCTCTTTCGTCCAAAGTAGGAATCTGCATCTTCAAAAATAGCACACACCGGCCCTAATCTATTTACTGAATATAAAATCACCCAACATATTTAAAATTTAGGTAATCTGCTTTGCAGAGTTATGCTATGAATTTCAGTTACTGTAGTTCAGTTATGTAACATAACTGGCAACATGGTATGAGTTTCAGTAGCCATGCTGTATTAATTGTGGATGGCACTCTAGTCCATAGATCACTGCAGAAAGGACAGGTGTGCAGCACAACCACTGTACTCCATGCAAGTCCACTGCTGATGGATCCTGCCTGTCTTTTAGGCACTTGAGCATGCAGATAGCAAAGCGTGTAGTTGCATTGCCGCCTCTTCTCCCAGAGATAACCCCATCTGAGATTTTACATGAATGGATAATGGAAGGAGGGACATGGCCAACAAAGAAGAAAGCACTCAAAGAAATAAAAGTAGACAGGGCTGTTAAAAAGCAGCCTCCCCTGAGAATGTTGACACTAATGTACCACTGAAGAACTTGACGAAGGTGAACTTGGAGACCTCAGTGAGGAAGGTGGTTGCAATGAAAGTGGAGATAACCTAGCAAAAGCAACGCTGCCAGCAGCCTTTGCACTACAGGAGCTCAAAGATACTTCATGACATTGAAAGCACAAAATAGAAAATCCTGGAAGCGGATCTGAATTCAGAAAGGAGTTATGACCACTTGCTAGGGGGTAGGAAAGATGCCCAGTCTGTAGCATCAGCTGTTCCACGAGAAACAGCCAGCCCTGCTTACACTACTCTTGACATGTGTTTTAGAGATGTAATTATTTCAGTGCTTAGTTTCTGGTATTTTAAGTAAATATGCAAATATTTTACTAGTTTGTTTCTTTCCCAGAACATGTTTAACCAACAGTTTTAAAAGTTTTGACAAAAATGCTTAGAGAAGTCATGGACCAATTATGATTTCTCCACTGATAATTAAGATTGCTTTTCACAGTTTCAACTCGTATTTTTATAGTCCTGCACTACTGTGCTGAGTGAAGACTGTCCAGAGTTAAAGGGTTTTGTTTGGGTTGTTGGAATTTTTGTCTTTTTTTTTCTTGGTTTGGGTTTTTGGGCCTATTGTAGCTCTTGCTGATAACACAATAGAGCATCTCTCTTTAGTTTTCTTTGTTTTTTGCCCTAACCAGCTGCTTTGTATTCACAGTTGAGTACAGCTGTTTGAGACCTATTGATAGAAATGGGAAGCTTCTTTGTCCAGGTCAGTCTTTTTGGTAGTTTCTAAAAGGTGATATACCTCATACCATCCATCTTTCTTAACTTTTTCTTAAAATCTTAAATAATGGCTTCTAGCCAGGGATTTAGCTCAGTGGTGCCACTGCCTGCCTCCCAAGAGCAAGATCCTGAGTTCAATCCCCGGTACCAAAAAAGAAAAGAGAGAAAAGAAATGGCTTCTAGTAGCCAATATTCTTTAATTGCCTTTACAGGGCGGGGGATTTAACTCAGTGGTTCCACCGCCTGCCTTGCAAGCACAAGGTCCCAAGTTGGATCCCCGGTACCAAAAAAAAAACAAAACCAATTGCCTTTTACAAACTGATTTAGAGAACATATTTTAATCTAGGTATCAGTCACTGTCATGATTTCATACAATTTGTGCATGGATTGAGTTGCAACATTATCTGGCTTTTAATCCATGTAAACAACAACTCTTTGAATTTTGAGCATTCAGAATTCCTCTTATTTTTTACATTATTATACAGATAAGAATAATGTAGAGTGTAGAAACTTAAAATTAAGCATAACCATAGCACATGTAATCCTTTTGCATGAAATACAACACACTTTTCTTTTGGGGACGGGGAAGGTATGAAAATTTATTACTTGTAGGGTAGTTCTGGAGATCAAACCCAGGGCCTTGCACACACTCTGTCTTTGAGTTACACCTCAGCCCTTCCTTCTTGATCTTTATTTTCAAAGACCAACTGACTTCAGTATATTATTCTGCTTAAAGAGGTGGGAATTCCAAATATTTGTAATATTATCAAAATTTTTTGTAGTCCCAGACAGTTCCACTTTGAAGGAAGCAGAATTGAAGCTGGGAAGCTCACTTGGACTGTGTCTTGGAAAAGCACCAACTTCATCTCAGGTACAGCAGTGCACTTTCAAGACAGCCCACCTCTGTAACCCGTGTCTTAATTCTGGAAAGAGTACGTTAACTACGCCAGTAATGTTGTTTTTCTCTGAAAGTGTTTTTTTCTTAAAATTTTTCTATTACAGATACATCCACATAGTTCTCTGTGTTTTAAAAATACTATGCCAATGCATATTTGTAAGGTTCTTTTTCTATTAAAAAAAAAAAATCACTGAGATGATAACTGACAACCACAACTAAAAGGAGAGGTTTAGTTTGGCTCACATTCCAGTCTATGTTCATCTGGCTCCAAGACAGGATAGTATGGCACGGGGGCATGGCAGAGGAATAACTGCTTATGTCGTGGCAGACAGGAAGTGGAGAGGGTGAAGGGAGGAGCCAGAAAGGGAGATGATAACCTCCCAGGTCATGCCCAGAGAGACCTGCCTCTTGTGACCTGGCTTTGCCTCCTAACAGCAAGTCTGCTGTAATGTCCCTGTAACCCAGTCACCTTCCAAAGATCCTGCCTAGAATCTCCTGGGACTTTAGGGGGACATTGAGACATAAACCATAAAAAGGGGGATCTTTGAGCCAGGCATGGTAGCACAGTCAGTAGCATCCTGCAGTTATAGCTGGCATTGTTGGTTGGTTTGTTTCTATTTTAGTGGCACAGAAAATTATGAATCTAACAATCAGTGGCATTTTAAATTTAATGAAGTGCAGGATATTGGTTTTTGACATGATAGTTTTATAGCAGCCTCCTGTTCCCCTTGTCTTTATCAGGATTCATTTTCTGTATATATAGTCAGGTTGGCCCTTGTCAGCAGCTCCACTTCATTAATAAACTTTGATTACAGCCCAGAGTCAGAATGGTACCCTTACCAGTAACACCCAATATCAGGGCAATCTGGACTCACACTTCCAGTAGACCCTGGATCGACTTCATGAGTTTGCCAGCAACTGCCCCTTCCATCTGCTCTCCTCTGACCTCCAGCAAGTGACAGTGTGACAAGCTGGTCAGAGGACAAACACAATGAGGTTGAGTTAGAAAGTGAAGACACTGCTCTAAGGAACTGAATTGACAAAAGAGCAGATTTATATTTTCAGACCTTGGGAATTATATTATATGAGCACCCTAGACAGCAAATAAAATCATAAACAAGTGGCTCTGGGGAAAACCAGTGCTTACTGTGTGTAGAAATTGCAGATTCCTTTGCAGAGTGACTGAGACAGAGATGGAGATCATAATAGAAGAACAGTATCTGTGATCCCAGGAGTTTACTAGGAGTCAAAATGTAAATGAGGAACTACTTTATATTTCTAGGTAGATGAGATTATTGTTTAAATTATAACACTAATTACTCAACATAGTCTTCTTTTTGCATAATTTGAGGAGTTTTATTTTGTTTTTATTTTTGTGGGGATTAACCCTGGGCCTACACATGCTGGGTGAGCACTTAACCACTGAACTACATCCTCAGCCCCAAAGTTTTTATTAATGGTTCCTGGAACCGTGGCTTTACTTTTTTTGGAAGTAAAGAATATATGTATAGAATTTTACAGTTGAGGTTAAATGGCGTTTTCCGTCTTACTCTCAGCTGTTCCTATTTTTCGCTCTGGAGACTGACATTCAACATGGGACAGAAATGGAGATCATAGTAGAAGAAACACTCTCTGTGAGAGATGTAAGTAATTTTGCATTTTGGTTTACAGGTCTTTGAGTGTTTGGTATTGGGAGCAGTGGTAACCTGTGCTAGCATTTGAAGTCCTAAGACAAGGGTTTACATAATATACTTCCAAGAATTGTGTGTACTTAACCAGAGGGCTAGTTTATGAAGCTTGAAAATTGGCACACTAACTGGCAATTTTAAGTAAAATTATGATTATTGGTTTTTTTCCAATTGTGATTATCAGTAATACTTGTTCATTAGAGATTTGAGATTTGCAGAAATGGATTAAAAGAAAAAAATTTAAAGAACCCCTCCGTATTCCACCAATATTAACATTTTGGGGCCGGTGATTTACCTCAGTGGTTTTGCTGCCTGCTGCACAAGCGCAAGGACCCGAGTTTGATCCCCGGTAACCCTCCCCGCCCAAAATTAACATTTTGATGTATTTCCTTCTGGTGTTTCTACTTTATATGCACCCATAATCACACATACACAGATATAAATGTATATTGCGTGTGTGTGTGTGATAAAATATGATCTTGATCGTGGTAAGAACTGAGACTTTTGCTGGGGTATCGCCCCTGCCTCCAAAGTGCAAGGTCTTGAGTTTGACCCCTGGTACCCGGGGGCAAAAAAAAAGAACTGAGACTTTCAGTATTAGAAAACAGAGAGACAAGGATAAAATCAATGAGGTTAAATAAAAACCTGTACTCCTAAATTTGAATTAGAAGAGTCTCGATGAACTTCATCTTTTTTCTCTTATAAGAAATTTTTTTCCTGGCTCTGTCCTCTGACATGGTTTAGAAACTGTGACCAACTCCATAGCAAAAAGCAGCCCTAGCACCCAGAGTATGGTTTCTAAGTACCATTTTGTACTAAAAGAAACCAAGGCATCTTAGAACAAAGGCTGTTTCTAAATCTAGGTCAGGAAATGAGTAAGAGAAGCCTAGAATATGTTGTCCTCACAGAAACCAGCAAAGCTAATAAAGACTATTAGAATCATCAAAGAGACTGAGGAGCCTGCTAGTCAAAGATGGAAGAGTAGGGCCAGGGATTTAGCTCAGTAGTTCCACCGCCTGCCTTCCAAGCGCAAGGTCCCGAGTTCAATCCCTGGTACCAAAAAAGAACTAATGATATGTCTAAAAAGGATCAACACAAAGATGGAAGAGTTTCAACATCAGGGAGAATATGAATTTAAATTCTATCATAAAATTATGACAACTTTGGAATATGCAGGCATGGATTGAAAGGAAAACCCCTCATTTCTTATCCACATACATACAGATCTTATCCTCATACATATATATTACAAACCTAAAATGTAGAAGTTCGTAATAACTTCCAAAAAATATTCATTAGTTACTTATAGTGGATGCTAGAGTACCATAAAGGGAAAAGAAGAATCCAGCATTTATCCTATTTTTCCTTGGTAAATTATACCTCTGGGTAGTTAACTGGGTAATGAGTTTTTCCAGTATAGACATTGTCCATGAGTTTTAAGGTATCGGTTTTTCAGAGGAAAGAATAAAAGAAGTAATTTTATGGTGTCACAAGTTTTTATCTTCTGAAAAATGGATCAAGACAGTGATCTCAAAGACTGCTAACGACACAGAAAAGAGCAATCCTGAGACATGATAGAAGTTCTAGAATACTCTTCTAGCAAAAGCAAAAAAAACTGGTCTGACTACCAGTTTTTAAGAGATCCTCCTATACAGAGGAGGATCTTTAATGTACCACAGATCTTCAGCCACAGAATCCAGATTGGAAAACTACTCTTCAACAAATAAATTACAGAATTTGGGTGGGGAGAGGGGGCAGCCTACAAAATTAAAAGAGGCTTATGAGAAATAGCCTGTTGCAATGTGTGCCCCTTCTTTGGACCACAATTCAAGCTAGAAGAACTGCAAGTGGTAATAATTGAAAAGAAAGTAGGGATATCAGAACACTGAGTATTTTTTGATCTTAAGGAATTTTTTTTCAGATGTCATTCAAGGTTATATTTTTGTTTATTTATTTATTTTTGGTACCAGGGATCAAACTCGGGACCTTGCGCTTGTGAGGCAGGCAGTGGAACCACTGCGCTAAATCCCGGGCCCTCAAGGTTATATTTTTAAAAGAATCCTTTCAGAGGTACATATTAAATATTTATAAATGAAGTGATATGATATCTGGCATTTGCTTATAAAAACAGGGTGGTGGGTGGGAGGGACACACCAGACTGGCAGTAATTGAGACCAGGTGATGACTGTCACTTGAGGGTCATCTTACTAGTTTTCAAATAAAAGCTAATCTCCTTTTATAGGAGTGAGAGTAATTGTGTATCTGTGAAGTCAGTCTTATTAATCATATCATATCAAGTACACACTGTTAATCCTCACAGGAAGGAAATTATGGTTCTGACCTAGAATGCAGTGAACGAAACTTAGAGCTAAGTCCTGATTGCAAACACCAGAAACTTTATTCCCCACACAGATTGGCCCCCTCAGCTCCAAGGAAGGAGAACTGGTTTGTGGGTCATCTGGATTGTACATGTCTTATCTATTGAAGAATGACTCAATGTAACCTGACTCCGTTCAGGATTCTGAAAGGATATTGTTCTTTGTACTGTAACTCAGAAGCAGAAAACTGACATTGGGCATAATTTTTTTTTTTTAGTGTTTAAAGATAATGTTGGAGAAATCTGGTCTGCCAGGTAAGTTACTTACCATGATGATATACAGTATAATCTTACCCATATCTTTTACTAAAGCAATTATCTATAAACCTAAAGGAAACTTTTCAAACTTTCTAATTCCCTGGAGTTTGGGGAAAAAATATTACAAACTAGGGGAGGGGAAAAAAGTTTAAATTTCTGTATGTACATAATAAATTCTCCTGGTTCTTATTTGCACACTAAAAGAAAACTAGTGGTAGACTAATTCTAAGTAAAGATAACAGGGTTTAGGAAAGGTATTAAAAAAAAGTAAAATTTACTACCTGTATCCAAGTCTTTCACTGATTTTTTTTTTTTTTTAATTCTCATTGATCAAGAATTTCAGTGCATCCTGTTTCACGTCAATATTTTTGTGATGTGGATTAGGGAAAGTACTATGAATGAAAAAAATCAACCCAGGATCCTTTAAAAGAGCTTTCCATATGAGCTTTCTTTTTTTTTCTTTTTTTAGTACTGGGGATTTAACTCGGGACCTTGCTCTCATGACGCAGGCAGCAGCACTACTGAGCCAAATCCCTGGCCCTCCCTCATATGAGCTTGATGAGGTGCCCGACCTCTTTTCATTAGAGCACCTGACTGTTCTCAAATGTGACTGAAGTGGCTGTCCCCTTCCCCCAGCTTTGTTATGTGGGAGGAGCACTGACATGCTCTGAATGCAAAGTACTCCTCTAAGAAGTGGTCCTGCAGGGTCTCAGTGAAACCCATCACCACCCTGCCTTGCAGGGAGCTTTACCTGTTCCCCTTGTACATATGAGGAAACCCGGGCTGAGAGAGGTAGATGGCTTGCTCAGGTGTGATTCTCAGAACTGAGCTCCCCCAGGTGGTTCTGTGAAGTCCCGCTGTTCACTTCTAAGTTACTGCTGATTTTTTTTTTTTTTTTTGCAGTACCAGGGATAGAACTCTTACCATATTTAAAACTAGAACATTAGACTAACAAGGGTCTAGAAATACGGGGATTCCAGCAATGGCCTATGGAGATGAGAAAGAGACCAGTGTTTATTCCTTTGCCTGTAAGATGTTCTGCTGCAGGGGCTGGGGGGAGAGGTGCTTATTTACAAACATTACTTTTTTTTTTTTTTTTTGTACCCAGGATCCAGCTCGGGACCTTGCACTTGCTAGGCAGGCAGCAGAACCACTGTGCTAAATCCCCAGCCCCAACATTACTATTTTTTAATTTCTAAATTTTTCTTCATTCAATTTTTCCCTCGAAAAGAAAAAAGAAAAGTCTCATTTCACCAGTGTAGCAGGTATACTGAGAAACAGAAATTTGATTAAAGTCTTTTTGACATTTGTAAGTATTCACATATACCAGCTTCATTAAAATGCTCTTGGGGCCAGTGCAGTGAAGAGTGCTTGCCTAGCATGCATGAGTCCTGGGTTCAATCCCCAGTACCACCAAAAAAAATACTCTTTACGACATACTACTACTGCATTTTTGTTAGAATACTGCTAAATAAATAAGAATCATCCGCTTGTACACATTAACAGTTTCTGATCAATGTTTTCAGCTAAGAGTAAAATAAATTCAACTTTATGCTGCTCTCAGAAGGGATTCCATACTTACATGTACATGTATACTGGTAAATGATATATATGCATTGTAAATAGTAAAGGTACAGAGTAAATATAATAGTGGCAAGTGACAAATGTACCTGTGTGTTGTTTTTGTTCACAAGTTCTGGTAGAAGAGAAAGCAAATTAGCCAAATTGAGGGAATAATTCTTTTCATGCTCTAGGAGAGATTTTTTTTTTTTTTTTTTTTTTTACTAGAATTGTACTAGATGTTTATTTATTTATTTTGGTATGGGGATTGAACTCGGGACCTTGTGCTTATGAGGCAGGCGGTGGAACCACTGAGCTAAATCCCTGGCCCCAAGAGATAATTTATTTTTTAAAAATAATTAATAACTATTAGCAGATAAAATCCCATTTGATATTCATTTATCCTGACAAACTCCTAGAACATACTCTGGGTTTTTTCATCAGATTTTGATTTCTTCCTAGGAGATGCATGGCATTTACGGAAAATGGATTGGTGCTGTGAAGCTGGGGAGCCTTTATGTGAAGAAGTAAGATTATTTCTATACATTTTACTCTTTAAAATAATTGAGTTTATTTTACATTGTCATACAAGATTGCTCTCTCCCAATTCATATGAAAGAATTCTAAAGAAAGAAATCTTTCGCTTTTTTTAAGATACAAAATATCTATGAATGGGGCTGGGGATTTAGCTCAGTGGTTCTGCCGCCTGCCTCACAAGCACAAGGTCCTACCTCGCAAGGGCAAGGTCCCGAGTTCAGTCCCCGGTACCAAAAAAATCTATGAATGAAACCCAGGCATGGTAGTACAGACCTGCAATCCCAGCACTCTGGAGGGTGAGGCAGGAAGATTGAGAGTTCAAGGCCGGCCTGGGCTAAAAGCCAGATCCTGTCTCAAAACAAACCAAAAGGAATCTATGAATGGGCCTGTTGTAACTTTGTTTGCAGTTTTCTGATAGAGGGCAAGTCTCAGCTAGGTGGAACCATTTCTAACATTTGTGATAAACCCCTCCTAGTGAGAGAACATGTCTTAGGAGCAGTAGTTCACTCAGATAATATTTTAACTAATGAAAACATTTGAAGATACACTGAATGTTTCGGTTTGGTTGAGGGGGGTTGTTGTAGTGGGGATTGAATCCAGGGAATGCTGAGCTACATTCTCAGTCCTTTTTACTTTATTATTTTGAAATAGGATCTAGGCTGGCCTAGAATTTGGAATCCTCCTGCCTCAGCCTCCTAAGTATCTGGGATTACAAGTGTGTACCACTGGCCCCTGAATATTTTAGGATCAGAGTTTCCTTGTAAATTTATGATGGCAGAACTCTACTCAAGTTCTGGTGCAAACTGTTGGTCTAGCCAAACTCTTAGGGCAGTCTTAGGAACACTTTTCCCAGGATAGTTGGAATTCAGTTAAGTCTTCTTATTGGTCCAAATAGCATCAAACGTCCCAGTGGTAGCCTTGGAAGGAGACCACAGCTTTGTGGTCAGCTGCCCTTTCCTGGTCTTTATTTGCCTGCTTTCTGCTCAGCAGTAACAGCAACCTTGAATGCCCACAGACGGCTGCTGAGGAGGCATGCTGAGATTGCCTCTGAGCACTCTGCTATGGGGCAGTCAGAGGCCTCAAGAGTCCTGGCCAGCAGTCTGACTGCCCAGAGGAAGAGGTGGGCTCTGGAAGGTCTGGAGGAACAACACACAGTTTAGATGCAGGAGGATCTGTTTATTCAGATGGCTCCCACATCATCTTCACTGTCAGTTCCCAAATCAGTATCAGATGGCTCCTCTAAAAGTAAACTCACAGCCTTCAAAACTGGCTCTTCTTCCCAGATTTGCCATTTCTTTCCTCTCCCAATCTTCTCAGACTAAAGCATGGCCTCCCCTACTTATGTTTCCTTCTTCATATCAGGCTCAGCTTTTAGGTGCTGCCAGCTCTGAGACTTCTTCCTGACCATCTCCCCTGCTGACTTCCCCATGCCTCATGCCTAAATTACTGCCGTGGCATCTCTGCCCCAGGCCTTCCCCCCTTGGCTCGTGCTTGCAGCAGCCAAAATAGTCTATTAGTGACTGCTTCATTTCCAGTCCACAACCTTGGGTTTGCGCCCACTCTTCGCGTCCAGTTGTGTTTCCTCTTACTCTCCACCTGTTTCTTCCCTCTTTCATCATTGGATCTCTTAGCTGTACCCAAATAAGCCTGCCCTGTCGTCAGCCTTTCCCTTGCCCTTATTCTTTTTCATTCCTTTTCTTCTCTTTGCTCTAGCTTTCCAAATTCAGTCCATCTTTTTAGGCATCACTAAAGTTTCATCTTCCACAAATCAGTTTTATCATTTCTTGTCTCATCCAGCTCCCTTTCCTCAGATCTTTGATGATATGAACAGTTTATACCCCACGATTTAACACCTAGTTCTGTCCTGGTTTTATAATCTTAGCTTATTCCCTTTGCCTTGGGTACCTGCCTGATTATTTGTTTATTTCTTGAGACAGTAATAGAGGCATAGGGTTAAAAAAAAGATCCAATGGTCTGTTTGTTCCTTTCAGAAGTCATAAGTGACAAAACAGAGTTTCTGTGTTCCCAGGATGCAACACTGAAAGAGCTTATGATATGTTCTGGAGATACTTTGCTTTTAATTGAAGGAAAACTTCCTCCTCTGGTAAGATTTTGCTTACAAATAGACATTTTGTAAGGCAGTTACTATTTTCTGATTACAAAGATGACATATTCTCATTATGGGAAAATGCAGAAATACAGATAGTCATAAAAGGTGAACTTTCCCAGAATCCTACCAGGCAAACCTGTTTCCTTTCCATAAATATTTTGAAATAAAATGAAAGCAATTACATATAAAGTTTTATTTCTTTCTTTTTATATTTACCATTTTAACCTGATCATAAAATCCAGAAGTATGATTTACTACTGTTTAATTCATCTGTATTCCCAGTGTTAGTTTAGCTTGATTTTAATTTTTTGTTTTTACAATTAGTACTGAAATATAAATCCTTCTAAGATAGAATTACTAAATCTAAGGGTGTGAACATAAGGCTTGATTTTATATAATGCCAAATTGTCTTCACAAAAGTTGTATCAGATTTATAGTCCTACCAAGAGAATACTATACAAGAAAGCTCATTGCTTTCATAAACACTGCGTATTACTCCTTTTTTTTTTTTGTACTAGGGATCGAACTCAGGACCTTGTGCTTGTGAGGCAGGCAGCAGAACTACTGAGCTAAATCTCTGGCCCATATTACTACTTTTTAAAACTAATATTTATTAGTTTTCTTAATGCAAAAAAATAAAAAGATATAGATGAAAACAAAATATGTCCCTAAATTCCAATACTCAGGTAACATTTGCTTATGATTAGGAAATTCAGACAGCACAAAAGGCTTAAAGTGAGAAGGAGTTATGCCCACACCTTTGTCCAGAGAAAAGCCACCAGTAACTTACTTGTCCTTGTAGATCCTTCTAAGGAAAGCACTAAATACATTTGGATTCCGAGTTAACACGTGCATTCCCTTGAAAGCTAACATAGAAGAGGTCAGATTCTCTACATTGTTTTAACCTGCTGTTTCATTGTTTGTTGTTTTTATTTACTTAATATATCCTCGGGTTCTCATAACAGACCCACCATTTTCTTTTTCATGACTTGTGGAATTCTGTTGTATTTTGTACCACAACCTTTAAAGTTAATTTTTTAATAGATAATACTCATGCTACAAAATTCCAAGTATATAAAAATCAGAACCAGGGAAAGTTAACATACTTCCTCCCTCCCTAACCCCAGAGTCCTGTCTTCATAGTTAGCCAGTTTACTCTGTATCCCTCCAATGGTGTGGGCTTTTTGATAAGTACACCCTCAAGTATGTATGTATACATGTATATAGCATACATGTACATAAAAGATTATATGCTAGGCCTTCTGTTGTATACTTAGCTTTTTTCATACATCTCTAAGTATGTGCTGGTCCACTACAGATAAAGCCACCTCCTCAGATACAGTGGCTATATAGCAGTCTATTGTATGGAGGTACCTTTTCTTTGCACTGCTGATTATCAACCTAGGGCCTTGTGCAAGGTAGGCAAGTGCTACATCACTGAGCTATTCCCACAGCCCCATAATGTAGCTAGTCTCTGAACACTAAAAATATGTGCTGTTTTCCATGGATAAGGATATTTCTACAGGATAAATCCCAGAACTAAAATTTCTTCCTCAAAACTTGTGCCCTACCATAATGTCAACAGCCTTCTAAAAAGGACCTCGAGGGTGGGTCACATTTTTTGCTGCCATAGCAGTCTGCAGTGAATATCCCTGTGTAAATAGGTTTTTGTGCAGGCACATGTGTCAGAAGGCAAATTCCTAAATGTGGAATGGCTGAGCCAGAGGCCTTACTCGGGCATTTTAAATTTTAACAGTTAAGAACAAATAACGCTCCAAGATTCTCACAGTTTATATTTCCGCCATAATTTATTTATTTATTTATTTATTTTTTTGGTACTGGAGATCGAACTCGGGACCTTGCACTTGCGAGGCAGGCACCAGAACCACTGAGCTAAATCCCTGGCCCAATTTTTTTTTTTTTTTTTTTTTTTTTTGGTACTGGGGATCGAACTCGGGACCTTGTGCTTGCGAGGCAGGCGCTGGAACCACTGAGCTAAATCCCCGGCCCTCTGCCATAATTTATAAGCATTCAGATTTACCCATGTTTTTGCCAACAGGGTATATTATTAGACTTTCTAGGTTCTGACTCCCTATGAGGTGAAAAAATTGTTTTCATTTACATGTATTTAATTAAAATGAGATTGAATATTATTTAATCTTCACCAGTTTGATAAAATACTATAGTGTGTTTCTTGACATAGGTATTTAAAATATTTTACACAGTTATTTTTCACTTTCTTATGTTCTATTGGAAATTGAGCAGTATAAACACAACCTCATTTATCTCAATAAATCTGTTGATTTTCTTTATTAATAAAAAATTAGGTGGGGGCCAGGGATTTAGCTCAGTGGTTTCGCCGCCTGCTGCGCAAGTGCAAGAACCTGAGTTCAATCCCCAGTACCAAAAAAAAACAATGAGGTGGGAAAAACTGAACTAATAATACTGAAATTGTAGGGTTTGTATAAAGGCAGTGGGCTTATTTCCTGCAGTTTGTATGTAGGAATCCAGCTTAGATCATAGGCTGTTTTATGGTTGCTTGGAGGTAGTAGTGTAGTGTTGTTCAGGCAAATGCTTTGTTACTGTCTGTGCTTCTTGTTTCTTTTATCTACTAAGATATTTCTATGCAAAGAATATTTTGTCTCAGTCATCCCAAAGTCTCATTTTAATTATTTTAAATTTTTTATTTTAAAACTAATAAATAAGTATAATGTATGACAGTTGATAAATCTAAGAAGAAAAATAATAAATTCAAGAATATTTTATGTCATCAAGGTATTTCTCTCTGTGGAAGCAAAATAAAGATTCACTTAACCTTTGTGCATCACAGCAGTTAAACGCTCTGTTCTTCAGGGTTTCCTGAAGCTACCCATCTGGTGGTACCGGCCACAAGGTCCTTCAGGACGCTGGGAGAGCGAAGACCAGCCCCATGGCAGCCCTGCTCAAGGTGTCGGCTGGAGAGCTGCTTCCACCCCAGGTGAGGACAAGGCAGAACTGCAAGAACCAGCGCATCACAGAGAAGTACAATGCCTGCTCTGAGGGTCAGCAGAAGTGTAAATTAAAACCTTCCTCATTTATGTCCTGAGTCATTCCGTGAGAGTAACACCATCCTGCTTCTGTGCAGTGTTTTGTTACTTCTGTAAAGTACTGTATGTCTAATTGTTATCTCCGTTATTGTCTTGATACGTGGTACTTTCTCAAGGACCTTTGTATAAATCAGCTCTCAAGGTCCTCAGGGCGGTTGAGGCCCCACTTATTATCATGTGCCAGGGTATCAAGGCTTCACACCACTCCATTGAGCACAAGGGCAGAGGCCAGGGCTGGAGTCCACATCCTGCCCATCTCCTGGTGTTTGTGCCTCTCTACCACAGGCCCTGGAATTGCTGCTAGGGCATCCAACATGGACTGACTTCTGAGAACAAACAGAGTAGGACATGTTCTCTCACTCAAAGGCAGCATACACACCCGTGGGCAGAATCACCAGCAAAGAGTTAAGCTGCCGCTGTACAAAGTAGGCTTCCACTTACAGTGACAACACATTTTAAATTTTGTTTTTTGTTTTTCTGGGGTTTTTTGGTTACCAGGGAATCGAACTCGGGTCCTTGTGCTTGGGAGGCAAGCAGCAGAAGCACTGAGCTAAATCCCCAACCCCACGTTTTAAATTTTAATCTCTCTTGTAACTGTAGATAAAGAGTTATTTTGATAATTTTGCCTTGTTTTGTGGGGTACTAGGGATCAGGCCTAGGGCCTCATACATGCTAGGCAAGGGCTCTACCAAAGCTAAAGCCCAGCCCCAAGTAAATACATTTTTTTTTTTTTTTTGGTACCGGGGATCAAACTCAGGACCTTATGCTTGCCAGGCAGGCAGCGGCACCACTGAGCTAAATCCCCGGCCCCAAAATACATTTTTAATAGAATCAATTCTTCGGGTATATTTTTTTCTTTTTATCATTCCTTAATTATTTAGCTTTTTTAGTACCTTGAATTATTATCATGCACTATATTTTTATCTTTAAAAAAAACCTTAGTAACAAAATTAATGTAAATTACTCAAATTACCATTTGAAGTTAAGACTGTCTTTGTTCTACAAAGAAAGTAAGAAAGTATGTTGTTGGGCCGGGGATTTAGCTCAGTGGTTTCGCCGCCTGCTGTGCAAGCACAAGGACCCGAGTTCGATCTCCAGTACCAACAAAAAAAGAAGATATGTTATCAGTTATGAAATTTTTCTGAAGTTATTTAGTTGAGTTACAATTAATTCATGTTAACTAACTCTAAAAATGCTTAGATGATAATTACATAATTACGTATAGAGTTGGATACAAATTTTTAAAAGCATGTTAAATCAGTATGTTTCTTCTCTATACCATAAGTAAGGAAAAGGTATATTTTTGATAGTACTTCTATATCACAAGAATTGGGAAATGTGTTTCATTATTTAGAATTTCCTGAAAATTTTCTCTCAGGTAATACCAGCCTCCAGTTGTCCTGAGATGAAAGAAAAACTCAGCCAGGTTTGGCAGTGCAGGCCTCTAATCCCAGCTACTTGGAAGGCTAAGGCAAGGAGGATTGCAAGTTTAAGGCCAACCTGGGGAGCTTAGTGACTTAGCAAGACCCTGTCTCAAAATCAAATTTTTGGGCCAGGGACTTAGCTCAGTGGTCCCGCCGCCTGCCCCAAAAGCACAAGGTCCTAAGTTTGATCTCTGGTACCAAAAAAAATAAAATAAAATTTTTGTAAAAGGACTTGTGATTTGGCTCGGAGTACTTGCCTGGATTCAGTCTCTAGTGTGGGAAAGCAGGGGCCCACTCATTAAGAAAGCTTTTATGTTTAATTTATCTATAATCAGCATGTAATTTCTGGTTATATATTAACCGTGAGCTCAGCATAAGCAGAAACACTAAATCAAAGCAAAACTATGAGAAATTCTTCTGAATTTAAAATTTAGCAGCTTTTACATCCATCTGACATAAAGAATACAGGCAGAGTGTCCCACCAGCAAAGTCGTCTTTGAGGAAGGAAAGAAGTTCTAATGGAGCACTGTAGGCAGACAGCACAAGGGCACATTCCCCAGAGATCTCTGCCTGCAGCAGCTCCGATTGCTAATCTCAGACAGCGTGCCGTCAGGGAGCTGAGCTCAGGGACTTGGACTGGGAGGGTCTTCAGTGGCATATCAATAAGCCTGTTTTCAGTATAAGAACATGGACCAAATAAGCCTGTTAAGCTATCAAACATGGCAGTGTATTTGAGAAATGTGAAACATGTCAGTTTAAAGTTCCCTTCTGATGCCAGCTCTGTCCTCTTGCAGGTGTTCCTGGCCACGTGACTGCGGAAGTCTCTCTCCTCTACTTGGGAGACATAAACATCTCAGAAGATGCCACATTGGTGGACCTGAAGTCTCAGGTCAGACTTCTTCCTGCCACGTGCCTTAGTGGTGATATGGCTTCTTCCAGTGAGATATTAATGTGTTCTTCTATTTCCTTTTCCCTCGACCACAGTCTGTTCTGATATGGCATTTGTTACATGCCATGTTCAGGGGTAAGTACTAGCGGGCAGTGCCCATGGGCCACAGGGTCCTGGCACCTGTTCCTGCCATTGCCCTTGTGGCTCTCACTTACCCGACTCTGACAGACATGCTGTGCTTGTGTTCCAGTATCCTTAGCAACTTGCATCTTGTGTTCATTTTTTATTTTTAGGGAAACATGGTTTCTGGAAACATTTTTGTGAAGCTTTCACTTTGCCCCTTTATTTACGTTGTCTTGTGCCGGTGTGATCCGTGTGTTTCATGTCAGTAGTCACAGGCTGTGCTGTCAGTTTGCCATGAGGTCAGGGATCCGCTTGGAGGTTAGGATGCTAAGCCAGAGGTTGTACTGTCTCCTTATGCATTAACATTCATGGAGGAGGAGTTTCTGTCCAAATGGGAAGGCTGGTTTAAGTGCAACACAGAATGTTGAGGAAGCACCTTGCTGTTGTCGGACTAAAACAAATGTTGCTTCCTTTACTTAAAGGAAAAAACATGGGGCCTGTACCTGGCTAGCAGTCGTTGGGGTTTGGCCTGTGAGAGTCCCCAGCTGTGGGGACTCTAAACCTTGCTTGAGAAAGCAAGTGGCTTTGTTCTCGTGAAAACAAGTGGGAAGTGCCCTCTTGTATTAGGTTGGGAAAAAAAATTGCTGTTTTTAGGTTTTAAAAAATGGCTGAATATTGACCACTGTACATGCTTTGGCCTAAATGTAATTAGGTGGTGAATGTTATCTACCCTGCTTTAGAATTAGAACAAGCAGTCTGGGCCAGCTGGCTGGAGCCAAAGCGAAATAGTCCACAATCAAAAGTCCCATCACAGGCAGAGTGACTGTGGCTAAAGTCTTGGGGGAGCATGGGTGAAAGTCGCAGAGGAGTCCCTTGCTTCATGGGACAGACTGCTCTTCTCAGTCACATCCACGTAGTCACTCAGAAGTCTCAGAAGGCTGCTTCCGCCTCAGGTGTTTCTGTGAGGAAACATACAAAAACTACTCAGGATTAACTTCAGAGAGATGTTACTGTAGTTTTTTAAAAGTAGAATTTAGCATTACTTGAGGTCTCCTGCCCTCAGATGTCATTGTGCCATGCTTCATTTGATGTGTTTTTCTGAGTACCTTTGAAACCAGTGGAGAAATGTCTGTTTCTTTGTCTAGGCCAGGGCCTTGCTTCCTGCCTCCGAGGTGGCTGTCCTGGGCCCAGCCCTCCTCAGAGCCTGGACGGTGGAGAACAAGCGCCCCGGCAGGCTCCTGCGTGCTGATCGGCGGCAGCTCAAGTATGTGTCTTGCAGAACACTCGGTGGCCCCTCCCCACTGCCGCAGCAGGGCTGGGTGGTGAGATGGACAGGGGCACTCAGTCACTAGAGTCACATAATAGCAGAGATCCCACTCCTCTAACCCCGCAGTGAGGTAGATGACCATTTCCTACTTACACTCTGAGACAGCCTCAGCTTCCTGTCTCCAGTGACTGTGACATTATCATAACTTCAAAGGATTTGAAGTGAAGTGGAAGTTAGGGGTGAGCCTCTCTCCTTCAGGAAATATTCTGAAACAATGCATCTGCTTCCCAGAGCTTTGAACTTTGAGAGCATGTTTGGGCATTACACATAGTTGTTGGTTTGCTCTGCAAAGAGCTGCCCTGAAGGATTATGTCACACTGCTGCTTACTAACACTGAAAATGTGATGGCACAGGAGTCTAGACTTCTTCCAGGGTGACATTCCTTTGGAAATTTGGAGCCAGACCTCCATGTGCAGTAATGGCCCAAATAGCTAAGTACAATAATCACCACAGCAAGTATTCTTGATTTTCTCCTTCTCCAAAAGCAACCATATTCAGAAAATAACCATTAGCTCAAGGAGAAAACTTAAAAATTGGAAAAAGAAAATTGTTACAAAAAGTAAATGATGCCACCAGTGATGTTTTGTTTCCCTTATTATCAGGGAGTATAAACTGGGACGGAGAGCTGAGATCTGCCTAGAGCCCCTTCAGAAAGAAGAAAGCTTGGGGTAAGCTATTCTTCAGCAGAGGGAAAGTGCCACACATACCTTCCCATGCCCTATGGTCTCTAGGAAAATGTAACAACCTAGTAGTGTAGGTTTCTTTCTTTTTCTCACTACTCTAAGCAGACTAGCAACTTAGAAGAGATTGTATTTTAGAAATGGCTACATGTGTCTGCTGTCCAGAGCCTGGAGTTAATTTTCCCGTTGAGAGAGTGAGAGTTGGCTTCCTGCTAACTGCACAGGGCACACTGAGGTCCTGAGGGTCTCTAGGGTCAGAAGGGCAAGCGCCTGCATTGCTTACAGGGCATTGGGACCATCTGTCACCACCCTGATGCTGAGCAGCACCCTCCCTTGCCCCGGCCCTGTGTCTCCTCCTCCGTACCTGACAGGCGGCGCACCTGTTGGTTATTTGCTCTTATCTCCCTCCCGCTGGAGAGCGTAAGCATTTCAGAGCAAGTGCTGTGTTCACTGTGTTTTGTAGCAGTGCATTCACAGTGCACATTGCGTGGCCAGGGATGGTTTTCTGAAGGGGGTTCCTGGATAATGGTGTAGACTCCACAAGTTTAAAATAAATGGTCAGGGCTGGGGAGGTCGCGCAGTGGTAGAGCACTTGACTAACATTCCCAACGCCCTGAGTTGGATCCCCAGCGCTACAAAAATAATTAAGTAGTAAATTCCTTTCCAGGTAGATTGCACCAGTTTCTGTTCTCAGAAGCAGAGCTTATTGGTATTTAGCTCACCTCACCCTCGCCCCAACCTTGAGTGCTTCATTGTTGAGAGGTTTTCTGAACTGATAAGTGAAACACGTTCTCATTTTCTCCAGGGCTTTGATTGCTGTTAAGGTTGGACATGTTTTCAAAGGCTTATAAACATTTGTATTTTGTGACTGAATAAATTAATTGCATCTCTTTTGCCTGCTTTTGTAACAGGCTCAGAAAAAATGTAATGTAATTTGTACTGCCCCTTATATACGAGCTTGGACCTTCTGTCCTATTTGTTATACACGCAGTGTCTATATAAGTAGTGCCCTTTTGCCAGAAAGCCTAGCTGCACTCTAGCTGTCCCCAGGAAGGCTTCTAGAACCACCTCCTCCTCCTCCCCCAGCCTAGGCCCCTGCATGCTGCTGCCGAGACCCCTTCTCTCCTCAGCTGCACACAGGGCCACACCTACCCTGCTGAACTGGGGCTGGCACCTCCAGGAGCCCCATCTCGAAGATGTCCCTTCCTTGGCCACAGCCTCCTGCTTCTTCCAGGTGCCCTCTCCTCCCCCGCCATGCCAGGGTCACAGGGTTACAGCATTTAAAAATCACTCTTCATCTCACCACCATTTCTGCCATGCATTCATTCCTATTGTAATTCTCACCTGTGTCCTGTAACACTGTCTACCTAGGCAGCTTTTTCTCCCACCCTTCTAGAGTCTCATTCTCCTCTCCCTACCTCAAGAACCTTTTCTTGCTAAGGTTTTTTCCTCCAGTCTCAACTCTCTTCCCAACTCGAAGCCATGTTCTTCCTCCCTGGCTGCCCCACAGCATCTCAGCTGTATTGCTCCTGAAGTCACGTGTGTTCATCAGCTTCAAACCACCTTCTTCCTGCCAGCTGCCCAGCTTCTGGTTCTGTACCCACATTTCCAAATCAGCTCCATGGAGCCTGGATCTGCTTCCCTTTTCTGCTGTCCTCGCCCAGGCCTCTTCCCTCTCTAGGGACTTTGCTATGGACCCAGGGTGAGATCTTCACTCTGCTTAGGATTGAAGGAAATCAGGCAGAGAATAAAGATTTCCCACTAGTATTGAGGATTTGTTTTCACTTGTGTTTTTTGAGATAGAGTCTGTCTATGTAGTTTAGGCTGGCCTTGAACTCATTATGTAACCCAGGCTGGCAGCAATTCTCCTGATGTGGCTTTAGTTTCTATTTTCCCAGTGGATGATGCTGGACAGTTTTTTCAGTTGCTTATTTGACCTCTGTATGTCTATTTTGATGAAACGTCTTTTCATATCTCTCTGACCAACATTGAGGATTTAGGGGACATCCCTCCTTAAAAAGCCCAGAGGAATCAGAGGGAGCCTCACCCGACACCTAGAAGTTTCCATCTTGCCCACTTTAAGCCACCTTTCTGCCCTTCTCTGGTACAGCCCACAGGATGTGCTGCTGAGGACACAGATGCGCATCCCAGGGCAGAGGGCCTACGCCCTGGCCATGGACTTGGTGTGGGACACCACCCAAGGCAGCACTGCTGGTGCCCTGCTGCAGAGAGTGGCCGATTCCTATGCTCTTCCAGTGGAGAAGATTGAAATTGCCAAGTACTTCCCGGAGAAGTTTGAGTGGCTTCCAATATCAGGCTGGGTAACGTCTCCAGGCTCCTTGGAGGGGCTGGGCTGCCTGGCAGCGGCACTGGAGCTGGGGTTGGCTGCAGTGCAGTGTTTCAGCATGGTAGAGAACTTAGGAAGAATTTCAAGTTGAGTTTTGTTTAAAATGTTTGATCTCCCTATAGAACCAGCAGATTACCAAGAGGAAAAAGAAGAAAAAGCAAAATAATTTGCAAGGGGCACCCTATTACTTGAAAGATGGAGACACGATCGGTGTTAAGGTGAGTTGTCTAACAGCCATTTGGCCACTCAGACAAGACAGGAGGCTCAAATGATTTTATAGAGAAGTTTTATCAGATCATCAAAATACAGATAATCCCATTTTAGCCAAATCTTTTGAGAGAGTAGATAAGAGAAAGAGCCAAGCAGTTCATTTAATGGGGACAGTAGAACCTTGATGTCAAACTGCCAAAGACAGTGAAAGAAAATTTAGACCAGCTGTGTTTATGACCATAAATGTAAAAATCTAAGTAAAATACTAGCAAACAAACGTAGCAAGTATGCTGTTTAAAATATTTCCATGTGAGCCAGGCATGGTGGCGCACACCTGTAACCCCAGCACATGGAAGGCTGAGGCAGGAGGATCGCCACAAGTTTGAGGCCAGCCTGGACTCCATAGTCAGTTCAAGGCCACTGTGAACTACATAGGAAGACCCTGTCTCAAAAAACCAAAAAAGAAAAAAAATGATCATCATCCAGATGGACACATTTAATGTGTCCCCTGCAACACACAATGGACAAACTGAATTATAAAATAATATTAACATATAATTAAATATAAATAATAGTGCTATCAAGACTTAAAATACATGATAATATAAATTATAATTAAGTATTTGTAAATACTCAAGGGGGTGCCTTTAGACGAGCAGTAAAGGCCTGATAAGCCGGCGAATGGGAGACTTAGTGACAGTGACCCAGGGAGCACGGACAGTGCACTGTACCACGTGCACATGGTAATAAGGGGCATGGGCACGCGTGTCACGGTGCACTACAAGCAGGCGTGCGCCACCATGCCCGCCGGGGTGATGATCTTGGCTATAACTTACTTTGGGGCTAAGGCTTTTATATTACAAGCATCCTGAAAAGTTGGGCTAGGGCTTATTTTCCACTTAGGTCTTATTTTGGGGGAAATACAGTATATATCAAGGTCCTGCTTCAAAAAATTTTTTTTTAATATTCTGTGTGACAGCAGAATTGGTTTATGTAAGGAATGCAGGGATAACAGGGTAGAGAATATATCGTGTAACGTGATAGGCCTCTCTTACTTCCCCTGAGAACGCAGGTATCTGCCTTCATCCCTGCTGTTCTGACCTTGCAATGCCGCACAGCTCCAAGTGCATCACGCACAGCTTAGTGGGACGGGAGCTCTGTGTGGCAGGGCGCATGGACTGGAGTTCCTGCCATCAGTGAGGCCATCTTTGTGCACTGCCCTCCTGCAGGGCTGTTGCTTTGGGTCAGCACTGTCGAGGCTCCTAGAGCTAACGTGCCCCAGTCCACACTTCAGAATATGCCCACTGCCCTGGGAGCCCTCAGAATTGCCCTCTCCTGCCACCCCCTTCCTTCCAGGGTCACTACTTTGATGAGTTACCACTTCCTGTGGCAGCCAGGGAAGGGGCCAGGGTCGAGCATGAGTCCTCTTCATTAGGGAGCTAAGGCGAGGGTGGGGAAGGAGGAGCTGGGCCCCTGGGAGGATGTTGGCAGCGCCCTGCACTTGGCGGCGGAGGGAAAGTCGACAGCTGGCCCGGCCCGTGCCTTTCTGCATTCATGCTTTAGCTATAGAAAGCACAGATTAGGACAGAATAGCTGTCTCAGCAGCGTCTGCACTGAGCTCCTAACACAGGTCCCTTTGCAGCCCCTTCATCTGGCTCTGCTGCACTTGTAGTTGAAGAGGTTGAACAGCTGCAAATTGATTTCCCCTAGGAAGCTCTTCCTGCCCCCCAAATTTGTTTCATCAAGCTCGAGTGGTTTTCATTCCTAATTAATCTATGTTTATTTGAATATTTGCTGTTGTTCATTTAGTTTTTGAAATATATCGTTTTAAGTATAGGCCAAATAGATACCTGAAAACATTGCTCATTAATTATTTTGAAATGTAGAATCTCCTGGTTGATGATGACGATTTCAGTACAATCAGAGATGACATCGGAAAAGAAAAACAGAAGCAGCTGTCAGTGGGGAAGAAGCACAGGTAATTCTCAGGGTCAGCACCCGGCTCGGTGACCTCCAGGGCTCCCCTGACCTCTTGTGCCTTCCTTCCGCTGCCTGCGTCTCCCTGTCTTCTGTGGATGGCTTCCTCGCAGAGCTCTCCATGGACTGGTCAGTCCCTGGGGACAAGCTCCCTGCGCTCCTCTTCTGCCTCCTTAAAGTCCATCCATCCTCCCCTCTCACATGCGCCCTCACCCCTGAGCTAGTCGTTCGGTTCAGAAATCACCATTCCTAACCCCATCCCGCCCCGCTCTGGGTGCCCCGCTCTGGGTGCCCCGCTGCTGTCTGCATCCCTGTCTCGGTGCCTGTCCATGCTCCCTGGAGGTCCTGGAGCCAGGCTCACCCATAGCCCCCGCCCCTGCATCCGAAGTACCACCCAGGGCCAGCAGGGAAGGTCCTCCTGGCTGTGACTGAGTGGAGAACTGAAGCATGGTCTGAGGCCTCAGGGTTGGCAGTGGGCAGTGATGTCATCTGATGCTCAGCTTAAAAGGACACTTTGGCTGCTGGGTACTGAGTTTCAGAGAGAAGAGTAGAATCGGGGAGACTGACAAGACTGACGCTTACATGAAGGTGACAGGCGGTGGTGGTAGGAAGGATGGAAGATCTGGAATGTGGGCCCAAATGATCTGGAATGAGTTGGCCTCATTCCCAGCTGCCTCTCATCGCTGAGAGCAGCGCCTGTGCAGCTGCGTAGGCAGCGTGTGCTGTGACTGCCCTGCCCCTTCCGCCCTCGGAGCTGGGGACGAGCAGACTGACAGGCTCAGAGCCATCCGGGCCCCCATGTCTCTCGCCGCCTTTCTCCTCCTCAGCACCTCCTCCTCCAGGGCTCAGCCCTCCATGGCCACCTGACCTCAGGCCTGCATCCTCTCCCTTTCCCCTGGGGTGACTCCCAGGCAGCCTTTCCCCAGGGGATATGTGTCCTTGCCCCATTCCCAGCTCTGCACCCTGCAAGACCTAGTGCCCTGCAGCCACCTGGACAGCAGGGATCGCAGCTCTGCTGCTTTGGGGTCTCCCAAGTAAAACCCTCTGCCTGCCCAGTGCACATGCACACAACCACTCAGGACCCTCACCTGCCTCCTGCCAGGACCCTTACTATCAACAGGGCTATCAGTTTGCATCATCGAGTTTCCAGGCCTGTCTTCCTCACTCCCATCGTTGTGGTTTGAGATGGAGCATTCTAAAGTGAGTGCTGCTGTTACAAACTCCCATTCGCATAACATCGGAACAGTCATGCCCTCAGCGTAAGCCAGCTGATCTGACATTGCTTTCCATTTATTTCCATTTTATTCCTTTTTTGGTGATATGTAGTAACATGCTTCTAAATTCAAAAGCCACTAAAGGAGCTTACTGTGAAGTCTATAGCCCTCCCTCCCTAGTCAGCCTGCCCCTTCCAGAGGGACCAGCAGAACTGCCACCTACAAGGCCTTTCAGAGGGAGGGCATGCACTCCTGCCTCACTGACAGAAGTTTCATGGTGTGCCCTGCTGCACCCTGTCGAGTCCCTCCCTCACCTGACTTGGGCGGCACTGCTGTGGGCAGAACTGGGAGCAGAAAGGCTGGGTCAAAGGAGTGTGGCTGTCAGTAATTTCAGAAACATACTTGTGAATAAGTAAAGGACAGCAAGCCAAAGATGGAGGTAGAAAGTATAAACAGACAGTTCACAGGAAAGGGAGTTGCTTGCTGGTGTACAAAATGTCCCACTGGCCAGGCATGGTGGCACCCACCTGTAATCCCGGCTATTTGGGAGGCTGACATAGGAAGATAGCGAGTTCAAGGCCACCCTGGGCAACTTCAGTGAGACCCCTCTCAAGTGGCTCAGTTCTCCCTGGGTTCACTCCCCGGCAGTGCAAAAAAGGAAGTTCGGCCGAATTCATTCATCATAAAAGTAAATTCATACTACTGTGAGATGTCCCTACCCACTCACCAGCATTGCTGTAGCAATGCCAGCCTGGCAGGGATGCAGCATCCCCAGGGTGATGTGGACCTGGAACATGCGCCTTCTGGGACACAGGACCCCACACAAAGCAGAACACAAGCCGCTTTCTGCAAGTGGCCCAAGCCAGGGACAGTAGGGATGCTGCTCAGCAGTAGGACGGCCAGTCTTTCTGCACTGGGCGCATGACACGAACAGGAGCTGTGGACAGGAGGGTCAGCCGGGGCAGCCCCCATGCCCACAGCCCCTGGACTCAGTGTGAAGTCGCAGACAGCAAGAGTCTGAGTATTGTTCCTCAGAACGAGAAGCAAAGGGGCACAGAACCAGATAGCACATAGGCGTGTGCGTTCGTTCTGGTTCATGGAGCCGCGCATGCATGAATTGCATGCACTGTGAATGCCAACTTCAGAAGGGGGTAGGAAGTTGCTCTGCTGTGATTAATGCCCCTCTCCTGGCAGAGTGGAAAAGACCTTGAGTGTGACAGGCTGTGTCCTCGCCCAGGGGTCCTCCGTAAGGCAGTTTGGAAACCCTTGTCCACATTCAGACGCATGTCCTGCAGTCTCTTCTAACTTGGGGATCTGTGACTGTGAGTCAGTGCTGGCCTCTGTCTCTCCATAGCCGAGAAGCCCTTCGAGCACAGAACAGCGACATTTTCTTCAGTGCTGGGACACCCATCCGGCCCCGAGGACCGGAAGACTCTCTGTCCATCCATGTGGGCAGCTTCAGATAGCACTGGCAGCCAGACATCCCCTAGCACCCCGCCCAGGCTCTGCCCCTGAACACGCTGTCCCATCAGCTCTGTGACCCCTGTGACTGTGGGCTTGCAGGTGGCTGGCTGGACAAGCTCGAACCCAGGGGACAGCTCCTCTCCGGCCAGGCAAGTGCACACCACGCTCAGCTCTGCAACCCTTGGCACGGCCACCCGTGCTGACCTCGCATCACACCCGGCTCATGGCCTTTTTACACCAAGTTCACCACCTATTTATGGACCACAGCTGTGGACAGTGGTACACTGCTTAGATCACTCACACCTGCTGTGTAACACACACCCGTGTTCAGACACTGTTGAGATAAGTGTGAGTCACACGCACTGATGCAGGTTCCCACTCTCGTCCCACGTACAGGGCCACGTGCTGAGCTTCAAGGAACCAAGTCTGTGCCTTCAGGCTTCGCCCCCACGTGCATTCAGTCCTCACCAGTGACTTTCCTCAGGGCTGGGTTATATCTGGTTCCAAGCCCTCGCTCTCCCAAGGGCTGGGCCTGAGCTCAGCATGGTCTGTCACCTGCAGTGCCACAGCTCTCCAGGAGGTGGCAGGGCCATCACAGACACCTGTCACAGTCATGGCCATTGTCCAGGCTGGCTGAGCGGGATTCCTGAGTAGGCTCAATTGAAATAGGTGAGAAAATATAGGCTGATTTTTTTCCCAATTTAAAAGCTTTCACTTGTATCAGTGACTAACACAGCATTGTGTTCCTGAGCGGACTTTGCACCCTGGGAAAAGACTAACCTCGTGTAAGCGTCATCCCTGAGATGGGACGTGTGCCTGCCCTGGTTGTCACCTGGTTTCACTCAACTCCTCAGCCCTGGCCTTATTCACACAGCACCGAGCTGGGGAGATGGCGAGTGGCACTGGCTTGGCACCCCAGCTGTGCCCCTCAGGTCCTGGGCCAACCATGGTGCCTTTCCGTAGCGTGGCCCTCCGCAGTGGCCCTGCCCTTCCTCTGCCCTCTTTCCAGCATCACTGGAGAGGGACGGGCATCCCTCCTGTGCATCTGGCTGAGGAGCTGTGTCACGAGGCTCGGGACAGGGCCTAGCAGGCCCTCCCATTCGAACACTGTTGGTGTCACTGCATGGGCCTTCGGCCGCACCCCTGTGGACAGGCACCATTGAAGCATAGCTCCCGCCCGGCCTCCTGTGCTGCAACTGACATCTCCTCAGTGAGCTCCTCCACAACTCACAGCTCACAGTAGGAAGATACGGGCAAATTCAAAGCTCTGAAGGGACCTTCAGCCACAGGCTCTGGACTGCTTTTCTTTTCTATGTGGGGGATAGCGTGGGGTAATCATGGAGAAAGCTCTAAGATGTTATTAAAGAAAAACCATCTTCAAAGCTGTTCTGGCCCTCCTGTTGCATGCTGACTGCTTCCAGTTCTTGCCTGAGAAACTTTCTTCTCCCAGTGTACTTCAGAGGCTCGGCACACAGTTTCTGTTTAGGAGTCCTGCTTTGGAAATAACAGACATGTGCCTTGGTCTGAAATCATTCAGATGCGGAAAGTGGCACTGGAAGAAACTGGATACCGCCTGCTCCTCTTCCTTGTAGGGCCCGGACTGGCTATAGGATGCAGTTGCAGGAAAGATTTGTTCACTTCTGATGCACAGCTGGCAAAAACAGTGCAGGCAAGACTCCTGATGACCCAAAACAGTGGCTTCCTGGACACTGGTGTCCCTCTATGACACCCATGATGCCACCCTTCACCCTGCCTGGATGTCTGGATGGGGACACACGAGCAGCCCCTCCCTCATCCTGCTCTTGATTATGGTCCCCACCACAGCACAACTGGGCATAGGATGTTCATTCTGGGAGGAGACTGACTTTGACTCAGGAGTCTGAGGACAGAAGCACGACCCTCGCCTGGCTCCTCACCTAAAGACCCCAAAGAATACAATGGGCTTTCTGTTTTGCTTTGCAACCACCAACAATCTGACCTATTTTTAGAACCAATGAAAAACAACTGAATTCAGTTAAGCAGCATTTTATGTCAGCACAAGGAATGATGACAAGGACTCTGACCGTGGAAGATCAAAAACAGGCTCATTTTATTTATACACATAATGACTTATGTACAGCTCTACAGTGGGACTATGTACATATCCACACACGAGGCATCTGCGGCCAGGTGGTCAGCGTATAAATTAGTATTATAAATATGAGGGGCACCCACCGGGGCACAAACCTCTTCTCCGGGGCCCCTCTCTCCTGACACACAGGACTGTGGGGCCCTGGGACTCGAGGACACCAACCTGCAACACCACTGGGGGGCCGTGGGGCAGGCACGGATGGCCACACAGGCCCATCGCCACCTGGCAGGTCCCTACACCACTTGAACTGGGCCTTTCACTTCTAACTTAGCACAACTGAGCAAACTACATTTCAGTAATTGTCAACAGTGATTCTGATTTTAAACAACACCCCTGACCCAAACCCAGTGCTTCCCAAGGAGACAGGATTTGGGGTGGCCCTAGTGCCACCATCAGCTGCTTTTCCTCATGTCCCCTCCTCGCCTAAGCTTCAGGCTTGCTCTGACTGGGCCAGCAGGTACCACGTACACAGGCTGCTATCACCTCAGTGAGCTGTTTGGGGCCTCCACCTACAGGGACTGTGGTAGGCCCAGCCACACACAACAAGGCAAGTACTTCCACCTACTACTACTACCAATAGGTGGCTCACTCCACGTGCATAGGGTCTGGATGCCAACATCACACAGAACAGGCGACGCTGAGGGTGGAAACAGCCTGGGGCAGGCAGGCAGGGCGGGAAATGCACCGTCTGGCTCCCGATGCTCCTGGACTAGGACACCAACAGGGGCAGCCCAAAGGCACCCCGAGTCTGCACCAGCCCTGTGGGCACCTGGACAAAGCCCTTAGCAACTCCCTGCCCAGCTTATGTACGTCAGATGGGGGACTCAACTCAAGGGTCGGGGCAGTGCCAGTGCCACTGTCCTCTGGTGTGGAGCCACAGCCTGGCAGCCCTCTCCAGGTGGCTTTATGATCATCCCTGAAAGGGGAAGAAAAGGCAGGCGATCGCACTGAGGGCCAGGATGCAGCCCTCCTCTGAGAAGCACCCCACCACTGGCACTGCCATGCACTGGCGCCGTCAGCCCTGCCCAGAGGGACAGGTGTAGGGCAGGAGCAGCGTGGGCCTCAAGTCAAGGGTCCCCGCACACAGCAGCAAGCACACGCGGTCTGGCGGCAGCAGACAGGAAGCCACCACAGTGCCAGAGATTCTAAGCCTGGAAACCTGCTTGTCTGCCCACAGAAGGGGCTTTCCCAGAGCCCAGGCAGCTTCACCAGACCCACACCTCTCGTCTGCCCCACTGCTCTCCAGCATCCTGCAGGACAGAAGAGGTGCCCCCTTGCCACAGCTCAGGGGAAGAGGACATGGAGGACCAGGGACCCTGAGGCAGAGGGGAGGCTTGTCTGTGAGAACTGCCGCCCACATTCTCGGTGGGAGGGCTCTCGTTCTCAAGACTGAAACAGGACTGAAGTGCATCCAGGCTACTTTCAACCCAGGAAAGTGCATGAGCTGTGTTTTAAAACCCTAGGAACAGGCCAGAGATTTAGCTCAGTGGTTCCAGCGCCTGCCTTGCAAGTGCAAGGTCCCGAGTTCAATCCCCGAGACAAAAACAAAAAAACCCTAGGAACAAATGGAACAACAGCAGTGGGCTGCCTTGCGGGGCTGCCGTGGAGAGCCACGGGGCGGCTGTCAGGCACCAAGGACATTCTGGCGTGGGGCCACTGTGGGCCTTGCCTGGTCATGCTTCCAAGAGCCAGCAGGGTGGAGGTGGTGCCACCCAATGTGACCAGCCAAGGACACCTGGAGAGGGGCCCACAGGACAACACAAGCACATGGCCCAGGCAGGCAGTCTCTGCAGAGTACTTGGTGCCCTGGAGGCCACACCTCACGAGATCCTGTGGCCCACAACATAGGTCGGTGAGAGTCCAGAGTGGACAACGCTGTTTGCCCCATGACTCCGAGCTAGGAAAGGTGGCGTTTCCAAGGTAGCTGTGTTGTTGGTATGTTCGAGACTGGAGCTGTTAGGAATGGGATTCAGAGACTTCCTGTCACCGTCAAAGGGAGTAGCACCATGAGAAAGGCCGGGGCAGCCGCCGCCCAGGCCTCAGTCGCAGGAGGGGCGGGGGATGCAGACAGAGAAGGCAGAGGCTAGGCCTCGGTGGCAGGGCCGCTGCGGCTCAGCTCCTTGATGCCACACAGGATCCTCTTCATGTGGCCCACCTTGGTCACACCGAGGTCCTGCAACAGAGAGGACAGCCACTGTGGAGGCTGCAAAGGGGGGCGCAGGCCCCAGGGCTCTGCTCTGAAGTGGGCCTGCTACTGACAGGCTTTTGGAACACAGATGAGGGCGACAAGGACAACGCCAGGAAACAAGATGGAAATGGCAAAGTGGCAGTCACACCTCGTGGCTGGGCTCTACAGACACTGACTTGATCAAAGACAATACAACAAGACAAAGCCAGAACACAGGCCTGGAGCAGGAGGGTGGGAGGTGGCCCAAGCAGAAGGGCCTGCTCTGACCCCTCCCCACTCCCCCAGTGAGGAGCAGGGCTTGCTCGGGGCAGAGGACACTGTGTGTGCTGGGGCTTTGGAGCCAAGTCTCCACTGGCCCACTCGCTGTCTAAGCCGGGGGGCCACGTGGCACCCAGGGCTCCAAGCCTGGCAGTTTCGGAGTTAGGTGGTTACTTAGCAACCTGGCTAAGACAAAGGCTCCCCTGCCGGGTCAGCTCCTCGCCTGGCTTGGCTGGGGCAGGTGGAGCCATCACTGCCAAGGGCAAGAGCTATGGCCACCCATCAACCCAAGGTGCACACAGAGGCAGAGAAGAACGGTGAACAGGCTGTGGTGCCGGGGCGTGGCCACGCTGGGAAGAAGGGGAGGAGGGAGCCGTGTGGAAGATGCCTGTGAAGTACCTTGAGGTCCCTCCGCTCCAGGTGCAGGAGCTCAGAGCCCCGGATGTCGTGTCGCGTGAAGATGTCCTTATACTCACAGAGACTGAGGTGCTCCAGCCAGGCAGCAACCTCTTCTGTCCCCCAGAGGTGAACTGTCGGAGACGGAAAAGCACGAGTGCCGTGAATGCCCAGAGCCCAGTGCAAAGCAGGCGGCAGCTGGCACCCGAGACACCCAGCCATGGCACTGATAACCCAGCAGCCAGCATCTGAAACACCCTAGCAGCGGCACCCAGAGTCCCCGCAGCCAGTGCCCACCACCCAGCCACAGGCAGCATCGCTAGCCATGCAGAAGAGACGGGGTGCAAGCCACAAGCCTTCTGGACACCTCTGTGTCCCAAAAGGAACGACACCACCCCTACACAGGGACATGGTGTGGCTAGAGCCAGCGTCTGCTCTCGCTCCAGTGGAGTGCACCTCACTGCCGGGCCATAGCAGGAAGGGAGACATGCAGAGTCAATTTCACATAGAGCCACCATCATTAATAGAAACCCAATTTCTGGACAAACACACAAAGAAAAATCAAAAGGGAGCTGGCCTGAGTGGTGGCAGATGCCACCTCCAACTCCAGACTGGAGGGCTGGCCCCCGACACAATGAGAAACCCCAATTTACATCCCCAGGGGGAAAGTGCCCTTCGTGCCATTTCCTACTGATTGCATCACCCATGATCACGGGTGGCCTGGATTCCCAGATTAGGGCCCTTGATCAGTGATCAGTTAAACAGGCATCAGCAGCCCGTGAGAGGGAGCAGGCACAGTCTAGTCCAGAGTGTCGTGTCTCAAGTTTGTCTTGTCACTTCTGCTGCTCCTCCTCCCACCTGGAAGCCTGAGGCAAGGTGGCCCGTTGCCCACCCAGGGTCTCCACAGAGTGCCACCGACCGAGCAGGGCGAACACAAGTGCTACAGACAGATGAGTGCAGCCCGTGACTGCAGGTGACAGCCCAAGGACCCAGGGGGCAGAGCCACAAGGCCAAAGGAGAAAGCAAGGCCAGGAAAACGGGCCACGGCGGCTGGCACTGAGGGCAGCAACACGCAGGAGAGAGCGGTACCCGGGGCTCCCAGGCTGCTGTGAGCCTCTTTGTTCTTGTTGTTCTTCTCCTTTTTAAACTTGGTCACGAGGCGGAATTTCCCACTGCGGCTGCGTTTAGAAAGATCTAACATCACGTTCTGTTGGCAGGAGAGAGAAACACTGAGAATTAGACCCCCCTTTACCGGGGCCTCGCTTCTGCCTCTGTGAGAGGTAGGAAGAGGCTCAGGGAGAAATCCTGTTCTTGGAATGTTTTATTCTGAGTTGTTCTTGGATGTATTATTGACATTACTACCTTTCAACCAGGGTTTAAAAGTGGTCATACTGCCTTATTTTTAACTGTACTTTCTTCACTTTATAACTCTTTGGTATTTTTAAATGTCCGTATACACCACTATTCAGACTCCTAAAATAAGTGATTTAGCCAGTGTCCTTGTGTTTGTTAATTCTGCGTTTTGCACTCCTTCCTTGGGATGTGCTCCCCATGTCAGTGGGGGGGGGGGGGCAACAGGGACAAGGGACACGGGCCTTGGCTCTGGTAGCCAGGCAGGAGCCACCTCCCCACAGAGCAGCCTGGGGACCTCACTTCGTGATGTGTTCCTTACACGAGAGATACCCAACAGCTGGAGAGAAAAGCTGAAAAAGAATACAGCAAGCCAGTAGACTCAGACCAAAAGCTCACTGATAAAAAAGGCCATTAGGAGAAGAAGAGAACCTATGTGTACCTGACAACGTGAGCTGAAAGGATGAAAATACATAATGCAAAGCTACACTGAGCCCAAAGGCCCCAAGGATGGGGATGTGAGGCAGAGGCTGATGCCAGGAGGGCAGGGAGGGGAGAGAGAATAAGTCAGAGGCATCTGTAATCCTGCTTTAGAAAACCTCAGTAGGGACTTAGTATAAGCAGCACAGTTGCACCCAAGGTCCATTTACAAAATAACTACCTCTGGGCATGGGGCAAGTCTCAGTACATTTCAAAGAATGAGGAACACACAGACAACTGTGTTACAACAGTGACATCAAACTAAAATAACAACGACGTAATTAGAGCCGGGGATTTAGCTCAGTGGTTCCGGCGCCTGCCTCGCAAGGGCAAGGTCCAGAGTTCGATCCCCGGTACCAAAAAAAAAACAGGATAATTAGAAAAATCCTATACACTAAAAAGGAAAAACAAACTTAACTCATTTAGATGCTTATTTGGCATAGTTTTCTGACTACATAATAACATTTTCCAATTAAAGTGCTCTTTTCCCTACTGTCTTAGATAGGCAATTCTTTTTTTTTTCCTATGTAGTTCAGGCTGGCCTTGAACTTGCTATGTAGCCTAGGATGGCCTTGAACTCACAGCAGTCTTCCTGCCTCAGCCTTCCAATTGCTGGGATTACAGGTGTATGCTACCACATTGGACTGCCCTTCTATTTCTACATTAATACAGGAGGTCCCCAACTTATGATGATGAGTCACCTTACAGTTTTTCAACTCTACTGTGGCACACTCATACAGCAATTCTGCTTTTCACTTTCAGTACAGTATTCAGTGAGTTGTGTGAGCTGTCTCACACTGTATTCTAAAACAGACATGTTAGATAATGTAGGTTCACTTCGTGTTCTCAGCACCTGTAAGGCAGGCGAGGCTAAGCTAGCTGGCAGGCTGGGTGTATCAAATGCATTTACAACTTAGTGTATTTACTGAGGACAGAACCCCACTGTAAGTAAAGAAACATGGTCCATCATTACTTTGGATTTTTAAAAATTGTGTGGTTTTATTCTTAATCTTCCTGTGTCTTAAGACTTTTGGCAACTGTCTGTTTTTGGATGTACTAGGGATTGAACACAGGGCATTCATGCTAAGCTACATCCCCAGTCCTTTTTTCACTAAGTCATTAAGGTGCCCAGGCTGGGCTCAAACTTGCAATTGTCCTGCCTCAGCCTCTGGAGCAGCTGATTTCAGGCACGCGTCCCTGTACCTGCAGAAGTTTTTATCAGGGTGCACAATGCAGCAGGGCCCATCTTCCACAGCCCCGCTCCTCCCTGCCCCTGCCCACAAGGGCATTTTAATAGAGGCCTCAGGAAGGCTCTCCATCCCAAAGCCACAGGGGCCACCCTGAACACAGGCACCAACACCAAGAGCCAGCATGTCCAAGGGACACACAGGAGGCCCCGGACCCGCATACCTCCTCGTCACCAGGCTCCACAGGCTGGCAGAGCCAGGGTGCGTCCGCCAGCTTCCCAAGCTGCCGGTCCATCTCGGCGAGGGCAGCCCCGAGCCGCTCCTTCTGGGGGGGGTCCAGCTGCTGCTCCCGCGAGGGAAAGAGACGCAGCTGTTGACTGCAGTCAGGCTCACATCAGCAAAGCCTGGGCAGGTGGGGAGCTCTGCTGCTCAGGGCACCTAGCAAAACTCTCCCAAAACAGCCTCGGCAAGGGGCCAAGCCAGAAGCAGCCTGCCTCGGGGCTCAGGCAAACAGTGGGACCACGTACGGCAGGGTGGCACCAGCCCGAAGGCCCCACGGTGGGATCCTCCGTCATGAGGGCCCAGGGCTGCACACTTGCACCAAACACAGCAATGCTGGGGCAGCAAAGGCGGTGGCTCTGACGCTTGGGGGCAGTACCATGTGTGCAGTGAAGAACAGCAAGGGTGGGACTAGGTGAGGTGTCCATCGAGGGCCCTTCATGTCTTTGTTTTACCCCAAGGAGGCCAGACAGGCCATCACCCCATCCCGCCCTCTGCACCTCAGCACCACCTTCTGCAGGCCCCCGTGGGGACAGGTGACAAAGCGGACCATCAGAGAACAGACTGCTGAGGCAGAGGTACCTTTCTGTCCACCCAAGGGCTGTCCCATGCCAGAGACAACCTGGCTGAGATGCCACCACAGGACACAGCAGAGCCAACCGGGCAGACCAGGTGACCTTGAGGACCCTCTTTAAGGCCGGGAACCCTCGACAACACAGTGCTGTCCTGCACATCCAGCACCCAGAACTTACCAGGGCCATCTTCCCAGCCAGCAGCAGTTCCGTCTCGCTGCGCAGAGCTCTGATGTTGTTTACCATTTCCTGGACAAAGCTGCAGTTCAGCCCCTGAGAGGAACCAAAGCGTACATCCATGTGGAGGCCAAGGGTGCAGAGGCAGCGGGGCCACACTTGAAAAGACCAGGTACCTCTGCGGTTCTGGGCTTGCCGTACACTCGGTCCATGGCCTTAGAGCTGGCGTTGACAGCGTGGGCGAGTTCCTGTTCCATATCTCGGTGGGACTGAGCTATTTCTCGGATGCTAGAGGGGAAGAGCGGCGCAGGCGTGTCAGGACAAGGAAGAGCACCTCTCCCGGGAGCGCTGCACAGCCCCGAGGGGCCAGTCCAGCAGGCCGGGTGGGCCCCAGCCCCAGTCGAAGCCACTGGCATAGGGTGGCGGCCCCGCAGTCACTTCCCCTTCAACAGCCAACAGTAGAAAGCTTGAAAGGCAAATCTGACGTCAAAATCCAGGCCTTTCCGGGGAGGGAAATGTACAGGAGGAGGCTGATGCCTTGTCCCAAGGCAGGCAGCCGTGCAGACCCTGCAGGGACACACAGAGGGCCCACACACCGCCTTCTTGGACTGTGCCAGGGCCCTGCTCTTCAGGGACAGTCCCTGTGAGGGAGACAGAGAGGGCACAGCCGGGGTGGGGCAGTGGGGCAGCTTGTCAGACTGGAGAAGCAGCCTGCCGGGCAGGGCAAGCAGGTGGCTTCCCAGATCACCTAGACCTGCAAGGGCCAGGGGTAGAGGACATGGACAGGTATATGCCACCTGTCCAGTGACCGACCCAGGGGAGAAGAGGGAGAGCAGGGTGTCCCCGCGGGAAGCCACAGCAGCGAGGTGCTAACCACTGTGGGCAAGGGGGCGTGGCCAGCATGGATGATGAGAGATGGGGGGGGGGGGGGGGGGCGAGGTGATGCAGATGCCTCGCCAGTCGAGGGCTCCGTGCACGGAGCTGACCTGGGGATGTCTGCATCTGCCAGAGCTAGGCAGGCCCTGGGAAGGGTTAAAGGAGCACCAGGCACAGCCCTGAGGGCCCAGCTCCCAAGGCCAGAGCAGAGGAGGAGGGAGCCTGGACATGCAGGAAAGGGCGGCCCACAAGCCCTGGGCCTCGGAGGGAGAGGAGCGAATGCCGCGGGCTGTGCGGCCTCAGACTCGTGGCGGCTGGGGCCCGTGAATGTCATGTCGTGGAGCACTGTGCCACCAGGGCCACAGCACATCCAGGAGCCAGTTGTCAAAGGCAGGTGGAGAAGAAAATGCCTTTGCAGTCATCTATTTCTACTGCCTAGAGCACAGCTGCTCCCAGGACGAGACGGAGTGAAGGAGCAGCTGGGGCTGTCCCCAGAAAGCCCAGCTGGCGGGAGGTCTGAGGGGCCCTGAGGCAAACCTCCAGCCACCTCTGAAAGAGGCTCCACCCTCATGGGTGATGCAGACCCGGCAAACAACGAGGAGAAGCCAGGAGGAGGCAGAGCCCACCTGTGGATGAGGACCCCCGCCGCCTGGCCGAACTGGTCCATCTGAGTGGCCTCCTCCTCAGACAGGATCTCCAGGTGCAGGGAGAACGAGGGCGGGCGGGGCAGCTCACACTTCTGCTTGTCCTCCCAGGACTTCAGCGTGTTTTCAAAGGCCTGGTGCCAGAGCCCAGAATTACACCTCCCACCATGCTGGAGAGGACAGCACACGCTACCCCGCTACCAACACGACAGCAGCGCAGCAAGGGACAGACACAGTTCCTCCACAGTGCGGGGTGACCTCAAAATCACTACCTTGCTAGTCTAACCCTTGCATCTTAAAGAAAGGCCCTAGAACACAGCATGAAGTGCTCTGGCTCGTCCTTCATGAGCACATGGGTGAGCCCTGCAACTCGCCCCAGCCCTGGCCCCTATGCAGCTGTTGTTTGTTGTTTGGTTTTTTGAGACAGGGTCTCACACACTACATAGTTCAAGATGGTCTCAAACTCATGGTGATTCTCCTGCCTCAGCCTTCCAGTGCGGGGATTACAGGTGTGCCCACCACACCCGGAAGGGCAGCCATTCTTACCCTGTCTCTGGTCAGCGTCTGTGCCCGGTTCTTGTGGACAATGCGAATGTACCCTGGTGGCTGGATCCAGGCCTCTCCATCCACCTGCACGGGTACGCCCTCGTCGCCCAGGATGGAGATCTTCACTGTGCGACACTGCGCAGACACCGCAGCCGTCAGCTATGTGCCGGGCCGCAGCCTCCAGGGCTTCACAGCACTTCGGGGCTTCCTGTGCCACCACCAGCTCTGGAGGGGTGCTGAGCCCACAGCCAATCACAGCTCCCAGGACCCTGGGGCTGCTGTCCCCACCGCTCCACCCCGGCTGCTGCAGGAGACCTTGGCATGCAAATGGGGGTCAGCACCCACGGGCCCTGTCAGATGCCAACACCTCCAGGTGCCAACACAAAGTCCAACAAGTGGATGAATTCCTGTCTCCTTTTCAACAAAAATGTTACCACAACCATAAAACCGTGATCTGCAAGCAGCCAGCCAAGCACAGGGAGACCAGCCAATCCCAGCATGGTGCAGGGGGCAGGTGGGGAGGCAGCTTCCCAGCCCTTCACTGCTGCCCTCCCCTCCCCAGCACAGAACCACGCCCACCCACCAGAGACGGCTCCGCCCTCACTCGCTGCTGAGGGCCCCATCAAGGCCCAAGGTGTTCCTTTTGGGAGATTAACTGTCGAGTGCAGCCATGGGAAGGGCTCCAGCCCAGGCGGGAGGGCTGTCCAGAGCCAGAGCACAACTCTTCGCCTCCCCTTATGGGGCTCGTGCCCTGTGAGCGACTCCGGAGGCCTCTAGGCCAGGCCACACGAGGGGCCTGGCCAGACCTCGAGGACCAGGGTCAGTACCTGGGCGATCCGGTGATGCTGCAGCTTAATCACACGGGACACAGCCATCTGCATGCTGCCAAACACGGCGACCACCTCCAGAATCTTATCATCAAATGACGGGGCTGTGAAAGTCTGAAAGGGCAGGCGTGAGGCCTGAGGCAGCCCTCCCAGCAGGCAGTCACCCCACGCAGGCACCCTTTCTGCTGTGGCCTGAGAGCCAGCTGCCTAGGACCAAATCCCACACCTGCCACTTCCTGACTGGGAGGCCTGGTGAGCTAGTTCCTGTCTCTCGTTTCCTCGCGTCAGAGGGCCATGAGGGGAATGAACGAGCTAAGGTGTGTGCAGCTTGGGGTGCGGGCGGGCCGGCACACAGCATGCCTCGGCACAGCCAGGCTGCAGGGTGCAGGGAGGCTCTTCCCGGGCGAAAGCCTCCCTCGGCACTTGGCACAGATGCCAAGCTCCCCTGGCTTCAGCAAGCCCGTGCAGTCCTGGCCCCGCCGCCCTCCTGTTTGCCGCCGCCCTCCTGTTTGCCTCCACACAGTCGCAGGGTTCGTAGTCGGGGACTTTCCTCCCTCCATGTCCCCACGCACCCTAGCCCCTGGGGCCACCCTGAGCTCAGGTTCCTCTGCACCACTGACGGCTCTGGAGGAGGAGCCCACAGCCAGCGCCAGGAGGGTGCACAGCAGCACCCACCCTCGGGCGTGTCCCCGCCCGCACCCAGTACGTACATCGTCTTCCTTGGTGCCCCCCCAGAAGTTGGTCCCCCCAGCATAGCTGGGAATGTTGAGGACGGCGATTCCCTGGAGACTAGGGAGCGGGATCGGGCGCCCGTCACACTGAGAGGAGAAATGCGGCAGAGAGCGAGAGCGCCGGCGTGAGTACCTCTTCTCTGCATGCGCAGCACAACCCCTAAGGGGCAGCAGGCCTGCCCACACAGCATGGTGGCCGCCGGGCCCGGGCCCTCCCCGCTCACCTCCAGCAAGACCTTCTGCTCTAGGTTCTTGTAGGTTCTGTGCAGCAGCTCTTTGGTGCCCAGGACCCCGTACCACATCATGTTCTTGGTCCGACTCCTAGAAACAGAAGCAAAGCCCTGAGGCAGGTGCAGGCTTCCTTCCCAGCTGCCTGAGCAGCCTCAGCGGCCAGGCTGGGAGCCCAGAGACCTCCAGCAAGAGAGTCTGCTAAAAAGTAACACTTTGCCCAGAAAATGATCCTCTTCTGGCTACAAAATGATGCGTCCATGGAAAATACGGAAAATGCAGGAAAAATAATCTTCAAATCCCACAGCCCTGTGTACCCTCCACATGGGCTGACAGCAAGCAAGGCACGGCGGATGGCTTGTCACTGAACACAAATGGTGCTGGCGTAGTGACTTCTTGGCACACGTTTTTGTTTTGTTTTTTGAGACTGTCTCATTTTGTAGGCCACGCTGGCCTCGTACTCACAGCGATCCTCCTGCTTCAGCCTCACTAGTGCTGGGAGCAGACATGCACTACCACACCTGCCTGTTTGTACAACTTTATATCACCTGCTTCTATCACAGGCTTGACACACAACCCATTCCAGGGGGCCATGGTGACTGGCTTCAAATGGTGATGTCCCTCCCAATCGCCTGACCTGGCCAACCCGCGGGGTGAGCCCACTGCCAGGATGGCTTCCTGCTTGCACCTGCACCTCTGCTCCTGAGTCAGGCCACCCAGGCTCCATCCCGGCCTCCCACCACAGTATCCCACCTGTCCTCCACCCCAGACTCAGAAACCACCTGCAGGGCCGGGGGTTTAGCTCAGTGGCTCCGTCGCCTGCGCTGCAAGCGCAAGGATTACAGTTCGGTTCTCAGTATCAAAAAACAAAACAAAACAAAAGAAACCACCTGCTGCCTGGCAGGAGAAGCCATGAGGACATACACACAGGACACACAGGCACATGAGGCAGGCACACCCACCTGCATTTCTCAGGGTGCTCATCCCGCTTGTTGTTAAAGTCCAGCGATATCTTCGCATCCAGCCCAATGCCGAAGTAGTTGTTCATGACACACTTCTCTGTGTAGTACTCTCTGCAAACGGGAGTTGAAGCCAATCACCACAGCCCGGGATGGCAAGTTTGTTTCGCAGACGCCTAGTTTTCATTTCTCCCCTACAGCAAAACTGATACCTGTTTGTGTTTGGGGGCTGTTTTGTTTTTCGCAGTGCTGGCACTGGACCCCAGGGCCCAGAGCCACATTGTGCTACTGTGGTTTAGGCAGCCACTTTTCTGAGATACCGTATGTGGCCTTCGATAGCTGCCTCCTCTCCTTTATGTTTTCAGAGTTCGTCTATATTGTAGTGCCAGTCCAAACATTATTTGTTCTTTTTTTAAGACATTTTTAAACACTCGTCTGCTGCTTCATTAGCGCTGTCTCACTGTCTGGTTGTCTCTGGTGGACACAGGTTCTTGGGTCTCACAGGCAGCTGTGGCAGGACCGCTGGGTCTCACAGCAAAGCTGGCTTCCCATCTGGGAAACTGCCAACCTGTGTATCAGCAGCCACACTGGCAGTGCCAACACAGATCCGTAGGACACATAAACCCACACAACTCAACTCCAGATCTCAAACCACACCCACACAGCCCTAGACCTGGGAAGCAATCCCCAAATTAAAAGGAGAGTGACTTGAGAACAGCCATCCCAGCCCCAGGACAGCAACACCCCTTCCCAGAACACTGCTGGAGAGACTCACCCCTTGGGGCTCTGCCCACCCCATGCCCACCTCGGCAGCCCCAACCTCGCCCTCGCCTCTCCTGGCCTTGGCCCCGTCAGCATGGACGCACCGCCTCCACAGTTACAGGGTCACCCTGGCTCCCCCCTGGGACAAGGAGGAAGGGGGCCCTGGTCCTCTGCCCCGGGATGCAGCAGGCAGAGCTTGTTCTGGACGTTCCCATAGAAACCAAACAAGGAGGGGAGCTGGGGGACAGGCTTGGACCAGAATTCTGATACACCCTGCTTAAGGAGTTTGCAGCCCATCTGAGAACTAAACACCGCATGGAAGTGTTCTGATGAAATGCTTAATTCAAGGGCCAACAGCCGGCTGAGAGCAAAGCTCTGGAACAACATTGTTTTCTAAGCTGAAGACCACGTGACTGATAGTATTTTTAGGTCCTGGGGAAAGAAAGAGAACTAACCCAGAAAAAAAAAGGCATGGAACCAGGGAAGGAGGGGAGATGGGCTGCACAGGCCCAGGGAGGTCGGCAGCTGCTGTGCGGGACAGGTGGAGGCCTGGTCCAGGCAGAGCCTCGGTGCCCGACGCTGTGTGGGAGGCAGAGAGCACGGATGAACCTCCCCGGGTGAAGATGGGGTGGGCCCAGCCATGGCCAAGAACTTCAGTGACCCCCAGATGAGGAAAAAAAGGAAATATCTGGACCAGGGCCCTCAAGGCACTGCTCCCAGAGGGACTGCAGCTCTGGTTCTGCATCCAACGGCTCTGCCCCCAAGGAAAGCAGAGACCAGGCCTAGGAACAGGCCACTGCTGAGCTACGCGGCCAGAACTGAAGTCTAGAGCGGTGTTTTCCCAAATGTGAGGTGCTCCCATGAACCGCACAAAACCCCACCACCGGCCCCCACCATGCTGGATGTTGTACCAATGCCCTGCTGCACAGAACCTGCCACCGGCCAGCAGGAAGACAAATGGAGACATTGGTTTCTTTAGTTTGCAAATACTGTTTACCTCAGCAATGGTCTCTGACAGACAAGGCTCATTAAGTGGCTCCGCAAATATCCTCCCTCACTGCCTTAGGCCCTTCAGAGGAAGCAGCCACGGGCTCATAGGACAGCAGCCCGGGCTTCTCCCTGAAAGCCCAGACAGGACAGCATCTCCCTGGGGCTGCAAGCTGTGGGGAACAACCCACAGCTGACTTTTCAGCCTTGGAATGCAGGGATCTGCGTCACCCAGAGGATAGCAGACAACTGGAAGAGCACGGAGGATTTGGGGAGGAAAGAAGCTTCGCTCTGGGAGCTGGACAACTGGAGGTGACCATAAACAAGCATTAAGCCAGCCTCCAGCGGGAGCCTGCTGAAAGCCTGGAAGGCAACCTAGCAGGGAGGACATGGGCGGGGCCTGCTGCAGGGCCCACATAAGGCCGCCTGGGACCAGCCCTGCCTGCCCCTCTGCCTTCCTGCCTGCAGCCAGCTCACACCAGTGGCTCTGTCTCAGTCCTTAAACTGAGCTTCAGTGTCTAGATTTCCTCAGTGGCTGACACAAACTGGAAAGGGACCAGCCAGTCAATTGCTCACGGACTGCTCCAGTTAATTCAAAGTGCATTTCTTTTAACAGAATGCCCCTCTGTGCATCCTCGTACTCACAGGTTTTCTGGCTCAGCATTAAAGGGATCAGCATTGATCAGGAGGCGGCTGATGACTGAGCCTCCAGGCAAGGAACCAGACATCCCGGCCCGAACGCCTGCAGGACACAAAGGAGGCACCGTGAGGAGCTGCAGACATATGTCCTGTGGAACATTATCATGAAACAGTTCCAAAACAACGAGTGAGCATGACCAAGCTTTGACAATCAGTATATCAGAAATCACCACCATCATCCCAAATTCATGAAACAAAAATAGATATGTTGGGCAGCAGAACCCAACACCGACGAGACACCTGAGAACTCTTCCTGGGCTATCTGGGCACTGCCTGGCTTTACCTGTGAGCAGTCACACCTATCTTTCTGTGGACCTGTGAGCACCCACTGAAGAGTGTTACTGGCAGTAACACTGTTACATCCATGCCAAGCCAGTACCCAGTGAAGTAACAAGCCTGGCCACGACTAGTGAGCACAACAGCCCCAACCCCGACCTGCACTGGCCCACACAGAGGCGTGGGGGCCACAGCACGCACTTGGGTACAGGATCTTGGTGTTCAGTGCTGGCAGGCCGTCCCGGCTTCCCGTCTGAGGAGGAAGAGAGGCAGAGCTGCCCACAGACAGAGCCCCTTTGCTCATCAGCTTTTCACAAGGGGAGCGGGATGCTGTAAAACAGGACAGAAGCCTGTCAGACCATCCAAACCAACACAGTTGAAATCCAGAGGGCTGGAGCAAAATGCACAGGTGGGGACTGTGGGCAGAGGGGAGGGCTGCAAACTGCTGTCACCCAGCACGGTGTGAGTGTGAGGAAGGAAAAGCCCCAGGTAAGAGGAGGAGGGGTAAGAGGGTGTGCGTGACACCGTAACCCTGGATTCATCTGGAGGGCAGCAGGGACTGCAGATGGCCACCTGGGGACAGAGGGGCTCACCACCCCTGACCACAGTCTGAGGGCAGAAGGTGCGGTCCAGGCACAGGCAGAGCCCAAGTGCTCGACACCCGGCTCCAAGCACATCCCTCAGCTGCCTGGCCAGACTGCTCTGACCCTGGAGGGCCCAGGTCCCCATGTGAGCAGTCTGGGGAGGGCAGGGAGGCCAGGCACGGGACACTCCTCCAACCCTCGCAGGTCCCACCCACGTCCCCCAGACAAACTGTGCACACCTTAGGTGACACACACACGAGCCACGAGCTCTGACATGGCTAAGGGCCAGAGAAACTACAAGAAAACTCCCCAAAGCTGGCAACAAGTGTCATCAAAACCGACACCTGACCCCTCACACCTGTACCTTTGCGGTGGCTCCTTCCCTTGGGGACGCCACAGCCCTCGCCGTGGGCTGGCAGCGGGCACACCTTGTCATCCTTCCTCGGGTCCTTCTTCTCCTCTGATGCAGAGAGGCCCAGCACGAAGCCCTCCTGCTCCTGAGTCTGGGCATTCTGCTCGTCAACCGCTGGCAGGGAGAGGGCACTGCAGCTGAGCCTGAGGTGGTGGCCTGTGCTCCCCAAGTGCCCGAGGACTCGGGCCAGAGCTCCACCACAGCCCACCCTCCCCAGCCCTCAGTGCTAACAAGCTGGGGAGGACCCCAGCACAGGAGCCCATCAAGGGAGCCAGGTGACGGCAGATCCGCAGGCAGATGGCATGGACACAGTGGTGCCAGGGGGAGGCCGTGACCACAGGGCCCACACTGCTCAGAGTGAAGCGGCTTCTGAGAACAAGAGTGCGGGTGAAGGCACCACACTTCCTGCCCGCCAGAGTGGTGTTTCGGGTGTCCCCTTGGGTCTGTCACCCAGAAGCCCACTACCTTTCTCCGTGTGCTCTATGATCTGGCGGATCGCCTTCTTTAGGCTGTTGGCTCGCAGCATGAGCTGCTCCCGGGGCCGGAAGATCTGCGGCCGGGCAGGGCAAGCTGAGCCCACCAGGCGGTCCCCAGCAGAGCCACAGACATTGCCTGCCCCGTCACCGTCTTCAGCCTCCTCGGCAATGGTCGGGGGTGGGTTGGGCAGAGAGGAGGAGGCCTGGGACTCATCGTCCAAGGTCTTGAGGAGCAAGTCCAGCTTCTCTTTCAGGACAGAGCACTAGATGGAGGACACGCTGGCATGGAGGACGCACCCCTCCGCACCCAGCCCCTCCCGCCAGGCCCAGGAACCGACCTTCTTGGCCATGACCTCTGACTCCTCCGAGCTCTCAGTCGTCTTCTCGTAGGCCTTGCCCACTCGGGCCACAAAGTCCTTCACTGTCTCGCAGAGCACCCTGAGGGAACAAAATGGGCTGGGACCACGGGCACCCCTGGGCGAGGCCCCGCCTTCCTGAGGCCACACACTCACTTGGCTGATGAGATCACCACAGAGTGCTGGTCCGAGGTGAGGATTTTAGAAAGGTGGGCTGCAACTGAGTCTTCATAGAAGAGAATCTGCTGCACCTGCAAGCACCCCGAAACAAGGCGGCTGGTAATCTCCGTGTGTGACCCTGAGTCCCACCCCCACGAGACAAGGGGAACGGCAACTCCTCCTGACAGGCCCTGCCTTCCTCAGCCAAAGCTCAGCTCACTTCGGAGGTTAACAAGAGCCAGCCCGTGCTGTGGGGAAGATTTCAGAAGCTCCATCCAAGTGTAGACAGGCTGAAAGACCAGTCAGAACAAAAAGGAACCTGTCAAAAGAGATGCTCTCTCACGCTTTAGTCTGAGGTCACGAGGCCTCCTGTGAGGGCCCCTGCGCGGCCTCTGTAACCCGTCTGTCCTCAGGGACAGGCCAGGCTTCAGAGAACACATTTGCTGTGAGGCCACGAATTCCGCCATATAAGACGAAACCATGCTCCTCCCTGCTGGCCCTGCCCACTAACACAGGGCTCCGCCGTGATGTGGCTGCTCTTGGCCTGCCCGGGGCCAGCCAGCTGCACTGCCAGCCCAGGTGAGTACTTCAACAAGCTTTGTGCACACTCTTCCTCTCAAAAGAAAAAAAAAAAGGCCAAACCAGTCTTGGCTGGTGAGGCCACGCAAGGCAGCTGGGCACTGGAGCCTGCAGCCCTGTCTGCCAACTAGTGCCCTGGGCCCCTGGCTGCCAGACCCTCCAGGCAGAGCCTGGCTCCTCTCAGCCAGCAGCCAGTTCAGCACGGATGAGCACAGCCGTGAAAGACAAGGTCTGTGCCTCCAGGAACAAGGAGCTGAAGCCCAACAGTGACAACCACTGACCAAGGGGAACTCAAGGCCAGACCATGGCAGGCCCAGAAGGGCGCTGACGTCAGAGGGGGTGGGTCAGGGGCTTCAGGGAACTGGGAGGCCCAGGCCAGGAGCACAAACTGTGCAGAGGAGACTAGGGAGCTGCTGGACACTGGGGAAGCAGGAAGATGGGGAAGGTCCCTAGGACAAGCCTTCCCCAAGCCCTGATGATAACCTGGGAAACCCCTAGGTGGTCATGCTCACAAAGCCAACAGTGAGCACCCGCCCAGCCATGTCCCTGCAGGGCGATGGGCAGACTCCTCCCCAGACCAGCAAAAGGACGGCAGTGTGCACAGTGAGCACAGGGTAGGCCACGAGAGGGGGTTCTAAGGGCAGGCCTGACATGCCTCAGGCCCTGGGTTCCGGCCCCCGCATCACACATCACCGGCAGCAGTACCTCGGAGTCCTCGCTGAAGTCTTCGGTGACGGTGGAGGAGGAGGCCTGCCGAGGGAGCTTGGTCTCATATGCCATGACACTCCACCTGCAGGAACACAGCTCAGCCGGGCCCACACTCCCCCAGGGCGGTCCCTTGCCCCTTGCCCTTTGTGGCCTGGCGACCTGGTCATAGCACCATCTCTGACTTCACTTATGCCCCCTGCTCTACTGCATCCGTGACTTGGCTATCTGACCTGTCTGAGAACCAAGGTCTCCTCTGTACCGCAGGGCATGCAAAGGGACCCAGGAGAAGAAACACTGCCCACCGGTGAGGGGCCAGGAAGCCAGCAGAGAGGTTCCTGGTGAACAGCAGTCCCGGAGAGCCTGCACCACCTAGCACCACAGCCCCTCGACCCTCCCTACTGAGGCACCGCCCCCTGGTGGGAAGGGGGGGCCTTCACGAGCACCCCTGGGTCAGAACTCCATGGTCCAGGGGTGACAGCAGCGTTTTCACCAGCACCCAAGGGCCACAGTGTGTAGTCAGCGGGATGCTATCATCCAGCTCAGAATCAGGAGCATCCACTCGAGGAAGCCCTGGAGAATAATTACCCAAAACTTCTCCTTCTGAGAACAGAACACAGGACAATGGAACTGTTCAAGTGTGTGACCAGGAGCACTTTGCCAATGGCCCGGGCCAAGGTGGCCAAAGGTTGGAGTCCCCTTCCCTGCAAGCCTCATAAGAAGACCTGACCATTCTAGAGCATGCTTCTTAAACTGTGTCGTTTTGATCTTTTCTATAGTCTGACCAAAACCCAAAAACTATCAAAAAGCGAATATACGCTTAGGTCAAACTTTCACAACTCAAGTCAGGGGGAGCCTGGGCCCACAGCGCCCCTACACTTTGGGACCACTACATGGAACGACGGCCCCACTCACCTGTCCAGCATCTTTGTGCTGGCCCTCTCCAGCTTTGCCAAGATCTGGGGGAGCTGGGTGTCGTCGTCACAGGCCGCACCCCAGCCAAGTACTCGGGCCAGGTCATTCCCTGTCCCCAGGGGCAGCACTCCCAGCTGACACTAATAGAAAACAGTGGGGAAGACATGCACTCAAACATGGGAGAACAAGTCGCCACCCTGCTGCCCACTCGTGGCCTGCATCGACAGCCTTACTAAATGAGTACGAGAGAGACCTGTCCAGAAGTGTGTGGCCTGCACTTCCCGGCAGAGCCCACTGGAGGGGACAGATGTCTTTGTGATGCAGCAGCAGATGCCAGGGTCACGGGCCCCTCATCTGCAGAAGCCCACCTCTCAGGTGTTCCCTACCCTGACGACCTACCCTCCCAGACCTCCGGGGCCTAGGTGTCCAAAGCCCTTCCTTTCCTCTTGCCTGTTAGGCACACACATGAAGGACAGTCTGTAACGCCCCACCTGTCTCGTCCACTCCAGCATCCAACTGACCAAGGCTAAATTCACCTTCCAGAATCATTAGTATCACTCCATGCCTCTTCACACAGCTCCGATGGCTTTTAAAGTCTTGTCACAATGAACAGGCCAGGACCACCCACCAAGCAGATGCCCAGGCCCAATATGCATCCTCCACCTGCCACTGCCCAGAGCCTCACCCTGTACCTGGCATTCCCACCCCAGATCCTCCCCCCATCCCTGCATGCCAGGTCTGTGCTCAGGGTCCCCGAGATGGGGCTGCCCGAGCTCTCCAGCAGTCAATGCTGATGACAGTGACCAGCCCAAGCACAGCTGTGGGGGTCACAGGTCCTGAGGCTGGGAGCATGCCTTGCCCTGCCTACAGCACTGCACAGCCCTGTGCCCTCCCCTGCCAACCTAAGGGGACAGCATGACAGGGGCAGCACAGGAGGCAGGAGCAAACACTCAAGGGCACACAGACAGGAGGGGCTGGGGCTCAGCAGAGGCTTCCAGGAGCTCATGGAAAAAGAAGCAGGCAACGCACCAAAGGTTTGGGGTGTTCCAGGTGCCAAGGTGCCACAGAGAGAAGTGGCCAGTCAGAGCTCAGGACACAGGAGGGCTATGAGGGAAGAGGAAGCAGACAAGCAGAAGGGCCAGATTGAGGCTCTGGTGAGCTCCGTGGTCAGGTTGGACCTGCCCATTGTGGGGCTGAAGAGGGGCACCCAGGTGCACGGTGGACAGATGGGGCTGTGAATAGGCAGCGGCTCAGCAATACACAGATGGCCTGGACAGGGAGGAGGCAGCAGAATGGCACCCTAAATTGCACACAGGGAAGGAGGATGACATGGAATCAAGAGCAACTGAGACTTCCACTCAAGACACCTGGATGGACCATGGCTTCAGACTGCACAGAAAGGCCTGAGGGCGGGGGACAACGTGGGGCTGGCGATCTGCAGCACTGAGCCAGGAGGCCCAGGAAATCCCAGGGGAGACGTGCTGGCAAAGCCCCTGCATGGCACTGAGGCTTCCTCTGAAGAAGCGTGTGAAGGAGGGGGCCCAGGAGGCTCTGCCAGCAGGACATTAAAGGGAGCCAGGAGAGGAAATGCTACCAGGCAAGGGGGGGTCCAGGGAAGCCAGGGGAGGGGAGGGAGTGGCTGGAGCACTGAGGGACTCATAGAAATTGGGGGAAAAAAATGCTCACGAAAGTCATTCGGGTGAATGGATGAAATGAATCCCTAGATTTTACTGTGTTCTCAACTAGTGAACTCTGAAATGGACAGTAATCCACCAAACCAACAAAACTATGTGGACTGCTCTGGCCCACCACTAGTAGGTGCTGCTTCCCTTTCCTGAGCTCTGGCCTGGCCTGGCTGGCCTGGCAGGGGTGGGTCCTGGCGTTACATACCTATGACACAGCCAGCCACAAGCAGGATGCTAGCTCACTGAAAATATGCTCCAGGGACAGAGAAGTTAAGCTGGTTTTTTTTAAAAGGACCCTAACAATGGGCTGGGGTTGTAGTTCAGTAGTAGAGAGCCTTCTCGGTGTGTATGGGGCAGAAGGGTGGGGGCATAACCAACCCAGAGTTAAGACACCTCCAATCAATCATCTGGTAATCCGACAATCTTGGATCAGGGTCAGGTGTCTCAACAGGACAAATGTCAAAAACCATGAAGGAAAGGATGACAAATGACAAACTGGGACACAAAATCTGCGATGACAGACAAGTTAATATGACAATCAGATATCAATTTTTTTTTTTTTTTTGGTACCGGAGATCGAACTCGGGTCCTTGCGCTTACGCAGCAGGCAGCGAAACCACTGAGCTAAATCCCCGGCCCCAGATATCAATTTTTTTAAATAAACTGAATTTTACACAAGAAAATGAGAAAAACGTGAAGACAACACATTTAAAACTTTGTTGTCAAATGAGACAATGCCTGACTTAACCATAATTAAAGAAATAAGACTTTTTATTTGCTTAGTTGGTCAGAACTGAAATGCGAGCCCCAGTCGCAGAGGGCATGTGGGCTGCACAGCCCTGACAGAGGGAATCAGGGTCCTGGAGGCCCCTGGAAAAACCAAGGTGTCCACCTGAGCACCACTCGCAGGCGGTGAGCAGCCCCTGCCCAGTCCGTCACTGGGACACCCACACGGAGAGGCTGTGGTGCGGCACAAGGCACCGTGACATCTACTGAGGACAGAGTGCAGGGAGGGGCAAGCAGGGGTAGCGAGAGTCTGCTTCAAACCACGTCATGCACTATGCATCTGGACACAAGTCTGAGACAGCTACAGAGTTGTCACAGTGACTAATCACCGGGGGGGGGGGGGAGCTGGGAGTAAATACCCAATGAATATGCAATCTGGAAAATCTATTTTTATCTTAATACAAAAACTAGATCTAATGAGCCACACTGAAACCTGAGAAGCTGAAGCACCTTCCTTCCCCTCCCCCAGGCCAGAGGTGCCACGCAAGAGCGGGGTCACACCACTGCTTGGTGAAGAACCAGGCAGGGAGGACAGAAGCCCCCAGACCTGCAGGCCCCTGGCCCCTGAAGTAGTTCCCTTTACCCAGTCGAACTTCCCGTGCGTCAGCCACATAGGACCCAGGGCTCCTGGGATGCCTTGGGGCTCCTGTCTTGCTCCCCCTCCTGCCCTCTGGCCACAAACTGCACAACCTCCAACCCTTTTACTGGCCCAGCCAGGGGCTGGAGCCCTGAACCACACGGGCAGAGACTGCTCCACTCTCTGCCCTGGCCCCTCCACCCAGGCTGGGCTCCCCCACCAGGCACCTGCTTGTGAAGGTTGAGGCTGTCGATTTCTGAGAGGACCCAGCCAACACTACCATCCCCGCCACAAACCAGAATCCGGAAGGTGTCAAACTTCTGGAATAACCGCAAGCTGCAGAGAAAAGAGAGTCAGTGAAGACAATTTGCAGTCCTGGGGAGCCACTGCTCCTGTGCTGACTCCCCCTGGGTCAGACCTCCAGCCCTCCAGCCAGGGCCAGGTTCCACCCCACAGAAGAGGCTGGAGACACAACACCCTGAGCAGCACCAGACTCCACACAGCATCCATGGGTGCCATGCCCCTGCCACCTATAACTGTCCCCTGTTGTGCCCCTGCGCTGCCTTGCGTTGTGAGCCTTGGCACTCAACCGCAGGCCCGGCAGTCAGGTCTCTGCCCAGCACTCTGTATGTCCTCTGCCTGTCCCCTCTACAGCAATTACACCACAGGTGAGGTGACCCAGACCCACTCCCCTTGTAAGTCTTTCTCTGTCTGCTTCCTGGGCTCCTGCTGATCACTTGCCCCCCTATGCAGGGGGCTGACCTGGGGCACCCCAGCTGTTTCCCACTCATTCCTCAACCTTCTCCTGCCTCAGCAATAGCACCAGTGCTGACGACCCTGAATCCACAGCCCCACACACCTGCACCTGGTCACCAGGACTCCCACCTAGGGTCCCATGGTGTCTCCAGCAGGACATGTCCCTCCTCGAAGACAAGCCCAGCTTGCCGGCCAGCCCCCTTCACGCTGTCCCCTCTGCCCTCACTGTGCCTAGCCAGGCTCGGCTGGCCTGAGTCCCTTCAAGCAGCTCACCTGAGGGTGCTCACCTGAGGGTGCCCACCTCATCTCCAGGCAAGAGTCAAACTTCTCAGTGAGCACTTCAGGCCTCCCTTGCCAGCTGCTGCCTGTGTTCACCAGGCCTGGCCCAGCACCTCACCCATGCATGTGGGTGGAAATGGGCAGGGAGCACAGCATGCTCTCCTGCTGTCTCTTCACATACTTTTCTTTTTTCTTCTGCAGTACTGGGGATTGAACCCAGGACCTCTGCACTGAGCTACATCCTCATCCCTTTATTTTTTATTTTGAGACGGGGTCTCACTAAGTCGCCAAGTCCCTCAAACTTGCAGTCTTCCTGCCTCAGCCTCCCAGAGGGCTGGAATTACAGGCATGTGCTGCCACACCCAGGTGCATCACACACATCCTGAACTCGACTACAAATTGTGGAGTTCTATGTACATGCCAGAATTAATATTTTATTATTCTCCAGCTCCACTGTGCAGCTGCCCTGCCCAAAGCCATAGCAAAGCAGTCAGCCAGTAACCCCTGGCAGCCCATTAAGCGTACCTGAACTGCCCAGCCTAGCGCAACGAGGGACTCGTGACACCTCCACTTTCCCTTTCTTAACTGAGGCACAAGCGGACGAAACCCCGTGAGCCTGCAGGGCTAGGAGCACTCCCTCTGAGCAAACAGGCTGTCTTGTAGGGCTTGTCCAGCAGCCTCACGGCAAGTGGGGAAGCTGACCCGCAACGCACATGAAGGACCAGGGTACACAGAACAACAAGGAGCCGCACACGCCCCACGCGGGGTGTCGGCCCAGCTCAAGGTGCCACAGCAGCTGGCCAGCCACCGAGCACAGCCACACTCTGCCTCCCTGAGAGTCCGCATGCCTCTCAGAGCCCTGCCTTGAACCAGCACTCCCAATGAGGCAAATGGCAAAACTTACAGAAGCACACCGTTTCTACAAAGGTGAGCAAAGTTCTAACTGACAGAACACACAAGGGCCCCCAGCCTGCAGATGCAATGCGTGCACCCTGGGCTCCTCATGTGCCAAGGGGAAACAGCCTTGCCCCACTGGAGAGAAGGTCTTTCTGGGTCCAGAGCAGCTGGCAAGGAGCACTGGCAGGTCTGTGAGCGCTAACGAGGAAACATACCGCGCTGCGCCGGACACGTGCACAGCAGGCTGCACAACAGCAGCTGAAGTGGGCCCTAGCCAGTTTAGGTGTGTGTGCATGTGTGTACACATACATGTGTATGTGTGTACATACACGCACCCGTGCAAACCTCCATCGATTATTAAGAGCAGGTCCCTCCCTCTTTGAGTAGAATTCGTAGAAGGGCAGTTCAAGACAAACTTCCTATTTGAAATTTTCTGTACCTCTGATCTTTTAAATATAAGCAAGCCCTATTTACAAAACAGCAAAACTCCAAAGAAGATGTTTTACAGGCCTCCTACCCAAGGTGCGGTCCTCCGTTCATGAGGTCGAAGACCTGGGCAGGGTTCAATAGCTGTTTGAATCTTCTGAGGAACTTCACGCCCTGGTTGTCCCCACTTTTAGAATTGACGAAGACCAGCAGGGGACTTGTGCAAGACGGGGGACAGGTGGCCTTCCAGAACCCTAAATGTGAGCACAGGACAGGACAGAAGAACCTATGTAAGCCATGGCAAGGGCGGAGTGCAACCAATAAGCAGCAGCAGATGGTACAGGGGACCGAGGACCCACACACATATGCCCATAACTCAGTAAGGGACAAGCAAGTGCTTCCACACCCCAGGTATGACAGGTGAGTCGCACTGAATCTGACCTTGCATTTACAAGGACTCCAAACTTCACTTACAGCTACACCGTCCACACCCTGTATGCCCTCCCATCTGCAAGGTACTTCCTCTGAGCCACACACCCCAGAGACCCTTCGCCAGTCTGCCAACACACAGCACCATGTACCAGCCAGACCCATGTAAGCAGCCCTGAGGCAGCCTGCTAGGGACAGCCAAACGGGACGAATGCAGGTCCTGCTGCTTCCAGCAGAGCAAGAGGCCACAGACCACCCAATAGCAAATGGACCCGTCACCTTCGGGGAAAATGGCAGCCTCAATTCTTAAGTGTGTCCACGGCAACTTCCAGGACGCCACTTCCCTCCTCCACGGTTTCCTGCCACCCCACGGCTATGCCCGGCCTCTCGAGGCCCACATCAAAGTCACCAAGACTCCATCTCGCGGAGGACCCACCGTCAGAGTCGATGCTGTTGAGCGCCGTGGGAGGGATGACGGACACCTTGCACAGGCCGAGTGGGCACTTGGTCACCAAGGACTCTTTACACACCGTGTGCACCTAGAACACAGCACCCGTCACCAGGGCTCCCCAGCCTCCCGCACACACACACCAGAGTGCCTGGGGTGAAGAAGCGGGCACTGTCCGAGCAGCCAACCTGCTCCCACCAGGCACAGCGTCCTGGCCTCACCCTGCTGGACCAGTGCTGCTCGCACATCCATAGGAAGGCCCGGCGCTGGCCCTCGCCCTCCCACTGCAGTCACCAGGAACTGTCAGGATAAGAACCCGGGCTCCTGGGCAGTGGCCTCTGGGTGCCCACCTGTGCCTTGGCTCCTCCTGGCCAGCCCTGCTCCAGCCAGGGGACTGCATAACCTCCTCAACCGCCAGCCCAGCGCCCAGCATGTGGGGCTCCCCTTGCCAGCCACTCACCATGGCCTTGCACCAGAGACAGCGCCAGTCCTGCAGACGCAGCACGCTGCCGCAGGTCTTCTCACACACAGTGCACTTGGCGCTCACCGGCAGGTTTCCTTCCAGCCACTGGTGGGGCATGGCGATCTGCTGAGCAAGCAGGGACATGCTAGGGACATCCCAGAACCCAAATGAAGCCAACAGCCCAGGGGCAGAAGTGCTCTGTGTGACCTCAGCTAAGACACTCCCCCAGCCCAAGGACCATCAGGGACAGTGTCTGCAGCACCTGGCAGGGAGAGCGCGGCGAGACCCACGGGACTAGGGTAGCAGGGAGAGCAGGTGCTTGGATGCAACATCAGGGCAGGGGCTGCACAAGTCATCGCCAGCCAGGGGCCCTCACACGTACCCCATCCTCGTCCTCGATGATGTCCTTCCCGATCGAGGCCAGCGTGGTCCACTTGCAGTTATTGGTTGCACGGACAGCACACCGCTTGTGGGCCTTAAATTTGCACACTATGAGAGGAGAAGCAAATGAAGTGATAGGTGCTGTCTGTGGCAGGTACCTCCACACAGGGCAGGCAACCCGTCAGGGAAGCTGGGGGTGCCAGGAGCTCTCCCCTCAGTCACAGCCCACGGAGAGCCTCAGCCTGTGACAGGAACACGGCAGGGAGACCAGACGGAGGCTGAGGGTGGCCAAGGTGCCGCAGGCCCTGTATGTGGCTAACACGACCCCTCAGCTCTGCCTCTGCAGCATGAAGGCAGAGCTGGAGTTGTGTAGACTCTAAAGTCTGAATATCACCTGACTTCCATGGGTTACACAATCTTCTTCTGAATCTTCTCAACCACTCACTTCCTTTTTTGTTTTGTTTGAGATGATGTCTCCCTATGCAGTTCATGCTGGCCTTGAACTCACTATGTAGCCTCAGCCCCGAGTACTAGAATTACAGGCATGCACCACCACACCTGGCTCTATTCAACCATTTAAAACATAAAACCCAGCCGGGGATTTAGCTCAGTGGTTTCCCTGCCTGTTGCGCAAGAGCAAGGACCCGAGTTCAATCCCCAGTACCAAAAATAAAATAAAATAAAACAAAACATAAAACCCAGTCAAGCTCACAAGCTATACAAACTATGCAGCAGTCAGGACCTGGCCACAGGCTCCTATCCCCTGCCACAACCCTCTGTGTGGCCACTGTGGACCTCGAACTCTGTGAGACATCTTTGATCCCTGTCTCCATGATCCAGACAGCAGTGCCCATGTGCTCGATGTCTACCATTTTCCTTTCATAAAAGCTGACTTCTCACGGACTCCTCCGGAGGTAAAACACACAAGAATGCAACAGGGGACCTCTGACTGGCCGCAGGGTTCATGACAGCTTATTTACAGTGACTGTTTGGGATTTCCCAGGCTCTCCGAAGCACAGCCCCAGGCTACCTTTTGCAAGCGGAAAAACAAAGGCCACTCATACCTTCACAGGACAGCCCATGGGACGTGACCCCCGACAGGGCCTCCCGGCACACATTGCAGTAGGTCGGCCGCGCATGAGAACAGGCGTACCAGTTGTGCGTCCCTGAGAAATGGTCCATGCTGTACTGAGTGGGCTGAAAGAGCAAAACACAGACAGCAAAGGTAAGATGCCCTTCCAGACTCTTAAATGAGCAACCTTCGCAGGATTAAATGAAGTATCCCAGAGAGCAGGAGGACGGTGTGCGAAGTTCAGGGCACAGTGCGCCAGGGCTGCCAAGAGGCAGTCTTTGTCTGACAAGGCCTGTGCAGAGGCCATACAGAGACAGCAAGACCTGAAGCACCCTCATGCAAGGGGAGGCTTTCTAACCTCGAAATGCTCCCTGTTCTGCACCGTCTTGAGTGCTGCGATCCAGTCCTCCATCTCTTTCCTGTTATCAGCACACAGGATGAGCTTCCTACAGGGAGTGATGACCTGGAGGAGGAACACAATGCACCCTGAGCCGAGCCAAGCTGAGCTAACTGCTTTGGAAAGTGCTTCAAAGCCTACCTTCAAAATGCATGCTGTATTCACCTATGAGGAAAACTAAGCATTTCATTCAGACATTCACACTGAGCAGAACATAAACATGGTTATCACAGGTTACTAAATATCAAGAACAATCTCAAATCAGAAAGAATCAAATTTAGTTTATATATTCATCAGCAATCAAGCTACGTGAACACTGACAACTATTCACTACTTAGATACAAGCAATAAGGCCTAGGGAACCCTGAGGGGAAAGGAGGAGATGCAGACACAGGAAAATGGCTGCATTGTTCCAGAAAGCCTGCACCTGATGCCGGGCACCTGAATGGCGCAGGAGGTCTGGAGTGACTCCAGGGCCTAGTAACATGCACAGGTGTCACACGCTGTGTGACAGAAAACCCACCAGCTACTACAGTCAGGGTCCGAACAACCTAACTCACCACAAACCTGGCAAGGATCAACAAATGAAAATGCTTTCCACAAAACAGAAAGAGATTTTACAAACCAATAAAAACCTTTCTGATAGAAAAAAGGCTGTCAACTTCCACTGCACAGAAGTACAAAACGGCCAACACATGAACACAAAGCTGCTTAATCACGGCAGGCAACAGGGAATGAAATTAGCGAATCTACTTCCACCTATCAGACTGGCAAAGTTCTAAAAGATGATAATCCAGTGTTGGCAAAGGTCTGAGAGAAAGGAGTTCTCAAATACTGATGGGAGGCAAACAGTACTTTTATAAAAAAAACTTTGTTGGGGTTTGTCAGCATTTTCAAAGGTCACAACCTCTTAATTTTTCATAATGATGTTGAACACCTAAATGTTTCCAAAGTCAAATCTACACAACGAGGTCTGCTCAGAAGTCTGGCTTTCACATCTCTATCCTGGTTCCCACTGGGTAGCTCTGAAAAGCAGTACTGTGGCTCACCTCCCACCTGTGTCCACACACCTGCTGTTACACAGCATGCGCCATAGACACGGCATCCCACCTGTGCTCTTCCCTCAAGCGCAAGTCCTGGCCACTGCTCCTCAGCGAAGCACAGGCTCCTGCCCTTCCCACAGCAGCCGGCACTCCATCCAACAGAAGTGCCAGCCAACCAACCAGTGCCCTGTGTACTAACAGCAATTTTGCACTGTTTAAAATCCTGTGTAGGGCCGGGGATGTAGCTCAGCCATGCTGTGCCTCCCTGGCAAGTGCCAAGGTCCTGAGTTTGATCCCTGGTACTGAAGGAAAAAAAAAAAAAGCAAGAAATTCCTGTGTTTCAAGCCAGGCATGCTGGCCATTCACACCTGAGATCCTAGCACTCTGGAAAGCTGAGACAAGGACTGCAAGTTCGAGGATAGCCTAGGCCACAGAGTGCATTCAAGGCTAGCCTGGACTATGTAGTGAGGCCCTGTCTCAAATAAGTAAGTAAATAAATAAAATCAATCCTGTGCTTTAAATAGTGCCATATGAGTGGTCTTTTCCTATTTTTACCACAGTATCACTCGGGTAAACCCCAAGACGTGGACAGCCCCCACAGAGTAAATGCAGAGGAACTTCCTGGCCACTGCCACACCCGCCTCCACAGGGGCTGTCCCACGGTGTATCCCACCAGCAATGTGAGGAAAATGCCTGTGTCCCTGGGGATCCACCAGTAAACTGATCTCACTTCTGGATTCCTGCTCGCCATACCACTCTACCTCACATTAAGAAGCCCCCACTAGGGCCGGGGATTTAGCTCAGTGGTTTCGCCACCTGCTGCGCAAGCTCAAGGACCCGAGTTCGATCCCCAGTACCAAAAAAACAAAACAAAAACAAGAAGTCCCCGCTAGAACACCCACCCTCCATCGCTAGCTGGTCATCTTCCAGGTCAGACCACGTGCAGCGGTGCCTGGCCGCTGGTTTCTCTCTGGTGATTACGTCACGGGGGTGAATACAGCAGGGTCTCCAGTGCACAGTTTGCTCACTCTCATGTATGGGGTTCCCACACAAAGAAACCAGGGGCCAAGCTGGACACAGGCCAGGTCACAGGCTCCATCCCACCCACCACCCCCAAGGCACCACCAGCACTCACCGGCGTCTGCTCTTGACCTAGGACTCAAAAGACAGGACAGGCAGGGCTCCACTCACACAGGACGCACTGGGGAGGGACACACAGACAGACACACGACCGTTTCAGACACCAAGCAGGCCACAAGAATACCAGGCAGGGCCTGGGAACAGGGCTGCTAGGCCGAAGACAGCTGGGAGCCAAGGGGCCCGAGCCGGGGCCAAGGTGCTGCACATCCCTCTGTCTATCCACACTGTCTGAGCAAACACTGCCCTAATGATTCTCTCTGGCGTGCTTGACTCAGAACTCTTTTATCGGCACAGTAAATACGGAATAGAAAGAAAAGGGCTGGGGATGTAGCTCAGTGGTGCCACTGCCTGCCTTGCAAGTGCAAGGTCCTGAGTTCAATTCCCAGTACCAGAAAAAAAAAAAATTTCAGAATAGAAAGAAAACAGACTTCACCTTGCGAAACTTGGGTACTATGTAGGAGTTACACAACAGGGTACAGAGAACAACGGGATGTTTATGTCCCCTTGTTCTTTAGGGCTATGTGTACCCCTCCCAGGGCAGCATCCCCGAGAAGCGCCACCTTGCTCCCAAACTCAGTCTGTCAGGTGCCGGCAGCGGATCACAGACAAGGCTCTTGTGTCCGAATGGCACGAATGACAAGTGGCGTCTGACCTCAGCCTGTGCAATGGTTCACAGGCAGCGAACACTGAGGATGGACAGATGGCCAGCACCCTAGGTTCAGGCCTTTTCCCTTAACCTCTTCCCTGTGTCTGCTCTGTGGTGAAGACACGGAGAGAGGCGCAGGTCTGAGTCCACCGGCCACTGACTGGATGGAACGAGGGCAGACCCACTGGTTCTTTTCTAGAAAAGCCACCAGAGGAGGCAGGGAACAAGAGGGAACGAATGGGCTCAATGTATTCAAGTCCCTGTGTGTGCAGCCCTCCCTTGCTGGGGATCCTCGGTCCTGGGCCTCCACCACCGTCTGGATGGATACTGCAGCCACTGCTGGCACTGCGGCACCCTAGCATGGCTACGAGTCTTGCAAAGCACTAGAAAAGCATCTCTCACGGGAGCCACCTCAAGGCCCTGTCCTTGGGTACTGTCCGTGTATCCCACGTAGACAGCACCCCTTTAGAATGCTCTGAACGCAACCATCCAAACTGAGAGTCATCATGGAGCTCGCCAGGTAAAGCCACTCCCCTGCTTCTCTCCAACCAAGCTGGCCACTCCTGAGACAGAACTCATAGCCTGGAGCTGCCCAACCTCGGGTGGGCCCTGCCTGCCTGCCGGTCCCATGCACACACTCGTCCTGCTCCCCCTGGGCTTACCCGTGGCTCCATCCTCCTGGGCCGCCCTTTCTGGCGAGCTCCTGGACAGCCCTCACAGCCCCACCAGCAGCCAGCAGGGGCGGCACAGCTAGCACGACTGCTCTCAGGCAGGAGCCTTTTCCTCCCCTGCTGCTCCCCTCAAACCAACACTGGCAGGATGAGGGTGGTCTCTTCAGAGGCAATTCTGAGACAATCTAAATGAATCCCTGACATGGGGCAGTGTGGGCAGGAAGGACCCAGGAGAGGAAGCAGGAGCTAGATGAGCCCCCAGGCTCCACCTTCCTGGTGGCCACCCAGCCCACCAGGGCAGAAGAGGTCCGGATGCAGGGAGCTGCCCTAAGGGATCCCCATCAGTGCCCTCTGTTTGGATCAGAGCCCAAACCAGCAATACTGGCAACCGAGGGATGGTGCGAGAAGGTCAGAACTATCACCCAACACCCAGGCCCCCAGCAAGACACTGCAGACCGGGACACTCCTGACCATGAGCAAAGGCGCAAGGCAAGAAATGGCTCACATGACTCCAGCCACCTAAAGATGAATGTAATCCAAAGTAGGGGAAGTGAACCCAATGGCTCAATCAGCGCAGCCCAGGCGAGAACTCAGGACGGAATGCGCAGGCCAAGGCCGGGCTGAGTGGCTGCCTGGGGACCCACACTGGAGAGGCCAGCTCACTTGAACTCAGAGTCGGCAGACCAGACAGGGACATGGACATGGGTGTGCTTCTCACAGAGAAAGCACTCCCAAGAGGAAAAGAACCCTAAAAGTCACAAAGAGAAAAAGCAGACCAACTAAAAGAAAAACGGACAAGGCTTGAACAGTTACTTCACCAGTGGCCAGTATAGCACTGACCAAGTGCTCAGCTTCACGAGTCTCCAGGGCCATGGAAACAAAAGCCACAGTGATGCCACCTTCCATAGCAGATACCCTGAAGCGACAGTTCCCAGTGCTGGTGAGGGTGCAGTCTGATGCAGCTATGTTAGAAAACAGAGGCACTCAGACCCTGTGACTCGGCAGCTCCACCCAGGCCCCAAACAGGAACACAAACCTGCACACATGCACATCACCACAGCAAGCCCGCACCAGACACAGCCCAGATGCCCTGCACTGGAGGAGGAGACAATCAAATACAGCCAGAGTGTTACTGCACTGGGAGATCACACAGCAGTGAAAATGAACCACACATGTCAGTGCCAATGTTTGCTCTCACCCTTGCATACAAGTGCATGACCTTCTAAGAGATAAGGCGAAATGCCTTGTTACTGTAAATCAGCTTAAGACACCCAAGCCAAGCCGGGCACAGGGCACATGTCTATAATCCCAATGGCTTGGGAGGCTGAGGCAGGAGGACCACAAGTTAGAGGCCAATCTGTGCAACTTGGCAAGAGTCCATCTTAAAATTTTAAAAATTAAAAAGGGCTGGGAATGTAGCTCAATACAAAGCCCCTGGGTTCGATCCCCAGTACCAAAAAAACAAGATACCAAAGCCAGACGAAATTATCTGCCAAGATCCTGGCAGAAGGTTATTAACCCACAGGCAGTGATCTTTGAGAAATTATGGTGAAAAGGACATGTACTGGAAACAGAGATGAGATTTCCTAGGAAAAGGTGAGCTCTGCTTACACACACCCTGGCTGATGGAAGAGAGACAGTCACTCGGAGGTGCCAGATGACCACAGCGGCTGATGCTAGGGCAATCTGAAGGGTGTCTCCAGTCTCCCCCAGTGTACTTTCTCCACACCCTAAGAGAAGCAGCTTTCAGGACAAAGAGCTGAACTTGCCAGCAGGAACCCGCAGTCCCACATGAACAAGGCGCAGGGCCGGGACACCTATAGGCCGGTGCAGGCTGGGCTCCTACCTCTACCCACAGCTACCTCTCATCCGGCAAGACTGCAAAGTGCAAAGTGCAAAGTAACAGCAGCGAGCAGCAGGCAGCAGGCAGCAGGCAGCAGGCAGGGAGCAAGCTGGCACTCCCAAGAGCTCTCCTCTGGCAGCCACTCCCGCTTGAGGATCAGCAGCGTGATGCGGACACCTCACTAAATCACCAGACAGGCTGTCCTGCTCTGCTCACATTTCCCAAGAATTCAAAACAGAGGTAGAGAGATGAGAGCTGGACAGCAAAGGCAAAGGCAGTTCCCAGATTCACCACCAGGCTGAACTACCCATCACAATCATCTCTATCCAGTGCCAGATATGCATCTCCTTTGTAAATGAGACCCCCAATGACAAAAATATCAAGACCCTGCACACTGTGCCATGCTGGGACCAAAGGTCAAATAAACAGCAATCCCAGGAGCAACTGTAAGGCCCTGAACCACTGGATGCCAAAGGCCGCCACAGCAGGGCACAGTATGGGCCGGGGTTGGGGCATCCACCAGGTCAGAACCACTCACACTTCTCATTCCACGTCCAAACTCAGCCGGGCACACATGCACCTTCCCTGATCTTCTAGCAGAGGACAACTGAAATCCTGGGCATTTGGAAGCATGCCTGGGACCAGCTAAGGTGGGGACACGCACACACCAACTGGGAACTTGGCCCCAAGACAACACCTAGGGGACCTCCTGTGCCTTCTATTTCCTAGGCTTGAGGCTGAAGAGGCCAGTAGGCAGAATGGGTACAGGGAAAAGCCCCAACAAGTCTGTTCTTTCTGCAGAAGGAAATGGGCAGCCTGGTAAGACAGGAGTCACCAAAAGCAGAGGGACCAAGGACCCCCCCCCACCAGCACCCTTGAGACACCCAGCCCACCCTTGGCTACTTGCCCAGCTACTGGATGCACCTAGACAAAACCAAGAGAAGGGCTGTTACCCCTGCCACCCAGTGAGGACCCCTACCCACAATGTCAGAGGGAATATCGTGCAAGTGAGCTCTTGGAAGATGCTCAGCCACATGAGTCACTAGGGAAAAGCACACTGAAGTTACCACGAGACAGCACGGCTCACCTGTGAGGTCAGCTAAATAAAAAACAGCAACAAGAAGTGCTTGGGAGGATGGGGCGAAACCAGTCTATGTAAGATGGAATGTGAAAGGGTACGACTCCTCTGCAAAGCAGACTGGCAGTTCCTTAAAAACATACGGAACTACCATGGGACCCAGCAATCACATGCTCCAGCTTTCATTCCGGGGAATGAAGAGTTATGGTCATACAGACACCTGTCCGCAGTGTTTACAGCAGCTTTACTCGTAACCACAGCAAACAACTCGGATGCCCTTCCACACTTCTGTGGCTAACAGGGCACTGTGGCACGCCCACACCACAGCATGGGGACTGCGCTGAGGGAAAAGGCCAACCCCAAAGGGACAGGCCATATGATTCCACTGATAGGACAGTCCCAAAATGTCGAAGTCACAGACAGGAAGAGCAGCTGGATGGCCAAGGAGTCATGGAGGGAAACACCTGAGCAGCAGAGGGTACTCAGAGGGACCCTGTGGAGACAGCAGCAGCATGTTGGCATCCCAGGCACAATGCCATACTACAGCTGTGCAAGGGCTTGGCGCTGGGAAGCACACAAAGGAGCTCAAAACAAAGTCAGTTAGAAGTAATCACCATTGGCTGGGGATTAAGCTCAGTGGTTCTGCCACCTGCCTTGCAAGCGCAAGGTCCTGAGTTCGATCCCCAGTTCCACAAAAAAAAAAAAAGTAATCACCATCAATAATATTTAAAGTTGGGCCAGGGATTTAGCTCAGTGGTTTTGCCGCCTGCTGTGAAAGCCCAAGGACCCGAGTTCCATCCTTGGTACCAAACAAACAAATAATAATAATAATAATATTTAAAGTTGAACAGGAACCACCGGGGAGCAAGCCCACATTAAGACATGTATCTTTGTTTTTGGTACGGGGGATCGAACTCAGGTCCTTGCGTTTGCACAGCAGGCGACAAAACCACTGAGCTAAATGCCCGGCCCTAAGACATGTATCTTAAGGACGGGTGTGTACACAGGAGTTCAAAGTGTGCCCTTATCTTACAAACCCTGTCTCCATAGGCAGCAGTGCAGGGGACTCTGACTGGCCAAGAACACAGTTCACGGACACACCTTGGCGCACACCCTCAGGGCAGGAACTGGGCCTGGGCACAGAGAAGTGCCCACACGTGTCTCAGTCAGAGCACGATGGCACCACCACGAACTGTGCCCTCTGGCTCAGGTGCTGGCTCTGATGTTAGGATGTGACACTCAGCCTGCACAAGCACAGCACTGGAAATGGCAGGCTCGTTTCCAAACAAACCACTTGAGAACCAGCAGAGATATAAGCCAGGGGGTCTCAGTGAATGGAAGGCAGAAGGCGGATGTCAGAACCCAAGCCATGGGGCTCACACACCAGTACTCTTCCAGGCTTCATCCAGCCTAGGGCCACCTACCACAATGCCAGCACCTGGGAGTGACCAGAGCCCCTGGGAGTGACCAGAGCCACAGGCAGGACAAGGTCACCCCAGTCCCAGCTCGGCAGTCCCCTCAGACAAAGAGTGACTCGACTCACAGAACAGGGCAGCTGCAGTCAGTGCAATGGGAAAAGGAGTGTAGAATAAGCAGAGGGTGGCAGTGTCCAGGGTACTTGGGAGCAAGGACTAGGGGAGGGGGAGAAGGCCAGCAGCTAGCCCAAAGTCATGCGGTGACTGGGGACTCAGAGGGCCGCGTGGGCTCTGTAGGAGCTCTGGGGTCTACTCCACGAGGCACGGGGAGCCGTGGCAGCTCCTGCACAGAAGGCTGGCATCTAACTTGGGTCTAAAAGCATCATTCTAGTTGCTTTCCTGAAAACAGACAGAATAGGGACAGGGCAGAGGTCCTGAGCAACCCACTACGTGACGCAGGCAGGGACAGGCAGGATTCTGATGTGTCCCAATGGACCCCCGATGCCTTACATCAGGATGGCACGAGACAGAGCCAAGTCCACAGGGCCCCTCGGATAGGATGAGGATGGGTAGGATGAGGGCAGCTGCCATGCCGGCAGGAGGACACTGGGGGAGCAGGCTTGGGAGCTGGGGATCAGTGGTTCTATTAAGGACACAATGAAGTCAAGGGGTCTATGAAAATCTCAGCCACGACCAACAGCTCATCTCACATACTGGGTCTTTCATCTTGCTATCAGTTCTATAGGTTAAAAAAGTTAGATACTAGAGAAACAATATGGCTAGTATGTCACCACTGCTGGTGGTAGTTTAAACATACAGCCATATACAGCACTAAGGAATGACATTTCTGTTGACAACAGACCAGGCGTATGATGGTGGTCCCGGAAGATTACGGTGGAGCTGAAAGTCCCTTCCCCTTGTGTTTTCACTCTACCTTCTCCATGTTTTTGCTGTGTTGAAGCTGCCAACAGCGTTCAGTTCCACAGCAGGCTGCACAGCAGGCTGTGCCACAGGGCCTGGTGCCCAGCAGGCCCACACCCCCAGTGAGGACGCCATCCCACAGCAGGGTCACCTGGCACTGTGTGTTGCAGAGCACATCTGCTGTTAGGCGGCACAAGACTGCACATACTGTCAGGACAGCAATCTGGCAGGGTCTGGGCACGCTGAAGAAGGGCATACCCAGCAATCCTGCCCCTAGAAGCATGGTCAAGAGGAAGTCGTGCCAAGAAGGCAAGAACACTCCCAGCAGTCCTGGTCACGACAGGAAACCAGGCACGCCAAGGGCAGGCCACCTCATACCCTGGAGCACTACCTGGAGCACCAGGTAACCTGGAACTGGCCTGTGTCCTCACCAGCCTGCACTTGTAAGCAGCTCCGAGGTTCACACCCCTGCCCTAGAAATCCCCTTTCCAGACTGACTCCAGGAAGCAGCAGTCGTTTTAAATCCTGAACCATTCACTTAAAGGTAGATGAATTCACAGAGATAAATATCAGAAACACAGGACACGCGATGTATCCAATCTGAGACCATTCATTCACAATCTTTCAAAGGGCTAAACAGTACTACCTATTGTCAGTACCTACATACAGAACCAGAAAAAGCACAGCGACAAGCCACAAATGGCAAACACCAAATTTGGAATGCTGGTGGCACGGGGAGGGCAGGAGGAGAGGACTGGGATGGCAAAGGGAACGGCAGCACATGGCTATTCTCTGTGCAACTTTCTGAAAGCCCTAAATTTTCAGCATAAAATATCCAAGCCTAAAGCAGAGACACACAGTGTAACTGTGCCTCACATTAGTCAGCCGTACAGAAGGCAACAGGCCAGCCTGTAACCACACCAGTGGACAGATTCTAGTGATGAAATGAAACCGAGTGGGGTGGATCCTGAGGCCTGGCCTTGTGCTACCCCCTCTGCCTGATACCCCCCGACAGGTCACTGTCATGCGTTTCACAGCAGACACCCACTTCTGGGACGGCCTCAAATCCTGAGCATGGAAGCCCAGCTGGCGCCTGACAGGGAGGGGAGAAAGGGAAGGACCAGACCTCACCAGAGGAAGGATCAAGGTGACCTACAGGAAACCAACAAAACACCACCACCCAACAAGCCCCATCTGTGAGTCAGAGGACAGCCACCAACAGTGAACATCACACCCAAGGAATGTCCACCCCGGGGACCTCAGCGCATGGACACGTATGCTGGGTGAATGAGAAGGCAGACAGAGGCCACTGGACAAAAGCCCACCTGGACCCAGAGCAGGACAAAGCAGGGTAGGTGATTCTGGGCTCTGTGGTACGTGGGGGACTGCAGGGAAATCCTCCCTAGGACAGGCATTAAGCACCAGGAACCACCAGAGAAGCCTGTCCTTGCTGTGGCCATTCTGGGTGGCATGTGGATGAAGTCACCCCACAAAACCTGAACTCTGAAAACTCCAGCCTTCCGCTCCTAAGCCACAAGCCAAGAAGCAGCTTTGCCATTTCCCCTATGTACTTCATTTCAGAACCTTACCTTTTAACTCCAGGCACCAGTAGCCTCCCACTGTCTCTAACTCCGTTCTGCTGCTCTCCCACTTTCCAGCTGCTCCAAGTGTCTCCAATCAAAGTGACCCAGCAAAAACCAAAACTGAGTTTTTACATCAGTGGACAGCAAGCTATGGGGCATCCAGATAGACCAGAGACTCGGAGCAACACAGCAACACAAAATCCAGCCACTGACCACAGAGAGGCAGAGGGCAGTGTCCTGGGAAGATGGCTGGGAAGCGCCCGCTAAATATAGCTCCTGTCTCAGGAAGGTAGCCCAGAAAAGACTTGGCTCTCTAGGCGATTTCTGTCACTTCCTGTTACTCACATCCTGCTGTTCCGATGCATTCTGCTGCGGCCCTAGCCCTTGGGTCTCCTACATGCAAGCCCCTGAGACAGATATTCATGACAGCTGGGCTGGAGACTGCAGGCTTCCTCACCTGGCACACTGAGACACGGAAACAGACACTACTCTACAGGTGAGCTCCTGGGCCAGGTCTGGGCTTCTGCACTAGCCACAGCTCTGCAACGACCCTGTCCGTCCCCAAAAGGAAACCAGGCATAACAGCTGCACCTGGGCAACTGAGAGGTGCAGCTCAACACAGGACACCCTGAGCCCAACCCTCTCCTCAGGAGCTCAGGAAGCCCATGCACAGAGCAACACCAGCTTGGCAAGAAGTTAAACCATGTGTATTTCTGGATCAGAAAGTATTTTTAAAGAACAAAAAGTAAAATAAAGCAAAAAGTGAAAGCTCTACCTAAAAAATGAAACATGAGAAAAATATTCGGCATTATGTATCTACTCCTCACTGATGCTACTTCATTGTGTCCCAGGATGGGGTCAACTGAGGGGAAGTTGCAGAGTGGCAAGAGCTTTGGGCTAGGGATGGCAAGAGCCTCTAGTGGGGAAGGAAAGCTGCCCTGAAAGGCACTTGGTTCAGCAGGGGCTCCTGGGGAAGCATCCCCAGCAGGGGCTGCCGACAGTAAGCAGCACACAGAAGGCGACACAGAAATCAGCCTCCAACTGCACGACAGGAGACACAGCCTGGATCAGCAGGCCTAAGTGTGCTGTGTCCACTCCACAGACAGCAATGAGAAGGCCGCTTAGGCTCAGGGCGTGATAAATTTAAAAGCAGGCCACAAAATACTAGGTACAATGGACACTTTCTGTGAACTAAAGTCTATTTTCTGATAGAGGAGAACCCAAAACAACTTTCTGTCAGAGTTTGTCAATGTTGGCACGGTTACAAGCAGGCCGAACAGTCCTCTGTTGTGGGGCTGCCACAGGACACTGCAGGACTGGAGGGCTGAGCAGGGTCCCAGCCCACTCTGGCCACCTCCTGAGGCAATCACCTCCCCACCCTCACCCCTGCCTGAGGAGAATCCCAGTACCCAACAGACATTATCTCTAGAATCCCACTGATAACACTTTCAGAAATTTTTGTTTGGGTTATCTGTACTTAATTATTTACAATAAGCATGTTCCCTATATTAAAAGGAAATTATGTGTTTTGCTCTAATGCAGTATCTGAGTTCCTGAAAACCCTGTGTACTGCACGAATATGCAATAAGAGTAAGAGGCTGCCTCATGGTGAGAGAGGAGCTGGGGCAGCCGCTCACACCCTCACAACTCTTTAATCGACACCAAGGAAGCAACAAAACCCTAATGTGCTTTTTTAAAAAGCTAGTACAGGGCCAGGGATTTAGCTCAGTGGTTCTGGCACCTGCCTCGAAAGCGCAAGGTCCAGAGTTCAATCCCCAGTACCAAAAAAAAAAAAGCTAGTACAATGTTTTAAACTATATACAGAAATACACTAAATACAGAACTTTGCTGCTTAAAAAAGTGAAGGCACCTGATGGATGGGAGTCGCTGAAGCTCAGTTATGGAAATAAGAGGCGAAACGCAGAGAGCAGCAAGGCAGAGCTGTGGCCGCTCTGAGAGGGAGGAGGGAGAAGTCAGGCCAAAGGTCTTCCATCCAGGGCACGCGCCCCTCAGTGGCCATGTCCCTCGGCTAGTGGCCTCAGCGGCCTTCTTGTTAGAGGAACACACTGCAGCAGAAAGGCAAGGACTTGCTCCCAGAGGGAACAAGGAGCTCGAACACCTAGGAGTACCAGTGTCATGAACTCGAAGCACAAGTCCTCAGCAGTGGGGCAGTGGGGGTAAAAGAGAGGGGCAGCCGGGTGGAAAGGGAACACTCTGGCCTGCAGTCTGATGGCCAGCATGCTACCACACTCGTCCCCTCTTCTCTGGGCTATTTGATGATAAATCTGCACATACCCCAGTGCATCCATAGTTACGAGAAGGGAAGCGAGGGGAGGAGAGAGGAGAAAAGGAAGGGAAGGAGACAAGAGGAGGCGCCTGGGCTCAGTGCTCCAGGGTTGGGTAAACCATGGAAAAGCTACCAGGCTGCCTGAGATGCAGACAGAAAACAAAAGGCCAAACAGGTTTACAGAGAATTTTCCAAAGTGCACATTCACAATGTCCTCTTAAAATGGCTAAGACGCAAAACTGATGTTATGTGTATTTTGCCACAGTTTAAAAAAAAAAAAAAAAAAAAAAAACTGAAGGCCAAACAGGTTTACAGAGAATTTTCCAAAGTGCACATTCACAATGTCCTCTTAAAATGGCTAAGACGCAAAACTGATGTTATGTGTATTTTGCCACAGTTTAAAAAAAAAAAAAAAAAAAAAAACTGGGGGAAAGGAGATAGGGTTATATTTTTATTACACATTTGTGGTTTGGTTTCGTTTTGTTTTATAAGTAAATGTACATAGCCTGGAAAACTTAAAAGTTCACATCTCAGGCGGTAGCCCTGAGGAATCTCTTCATTTCCTTCTAGTTTTCTGTATTTTCCAAACTTTCTACAGTAAAAAAGTATTTCAAAATTTATCTACAGATTTTTCCTCCACAAAAATAAACCCCTCAAAAGTCATCTCCTCCCAAAGAATTTAAGCAAAAAAAAAAATCAACTCCTCCCAGAAGACCCTGCTGCCAGGGGCCCTCTGGCCAGGCCCAGCTAACACACGGCCTTGGCTGGGCACAAGGCAACCAGGGGCTGACGTCCAGGCCAGAGCTTCCCAGAGAGCCCTCGAAAGCCTGGCTCCTGCAGCATAGCCTCATGCAGAGGACAGCTGAGCAGCCTGGGAGGAACCTGGGCACCTGGGCTTCCTGCTGACATCCCAAGCAACCCTGGTAGAGTCAGCACCCTCATCACCACACAGGAAAGAACCCAAGCCACAGAAATGGAGCTGTCTTTATCCTCCAGGTGTTGAGAACAAATGACTTCATTAGGGACCAGCACTGAAAACTCTGAACAAAAAGAGGCAGGAGCACCAGGAAGCCTGCTTCCCAGCAAAGGGAAGGCTGGAATAACTACAGAGAATGAAATGTGGGTATCAGGCTAGGACAGGCAAACTATGACCTGCACCTGCGCTCCGAACAGTTGTACTGGAACACTGCCATGATGTCCATGGTTGCTGCACGCAGCTATGCCTCAACAACAGAGTAGGGAGCTGCCGCAGACACCACAGGCCACAAAGCCTAAAGTATTCGGCTCTTAACAGAAAAAATTGGCTGCTACCCCTTATATAATGATCCACTGGCTGTACACCCCTTAGGAAGAGTATAAAGAGGATCTGACTTGGAAACATTAAATGAAGAAGGGATCTGCACCTTGTCCTTTTTCTCTGCCCCTGACTCTACAAAGGAGGGATGTCCATTCCACTCCCATGCAGATTCCTAAGAGCCTGACAGGGAATTAACACATGCTGCATAAACACAGAATTTAGCCCTTCCTGTTCCACAAAGGGTCACATCTCAAAACTGTATGAAAGCATATGTTTTCTAAGTAATTTACAATGAAAAACCTTACAGAATTTAAAAGGCTACCATAAAACATGCCTCAGCATTACCTCCCCATACACCCGACCCCAACTGCACGTGCAAACCTAACCATCTGCTCTGGACCTGGGGGCTGTAGTGTTCTCCAGCTTTACTGTGTTTTGTCCAAGAGTCAACTGGAAAACCTCCGAGGCCTGACTGCTACCTGCGTGAGGTGCCCTCAACTTCTACCCCGGGCAATAAAGTAGAGTCTTTCAGCCCCTAACACCTCCCCATGAAGGGAGTAGGCCCAGGGAGTAGTGAGCCCAGGGAGATGGCCTCCTTCTCCCACCCAGCCAACCCCCCTCTCGAGACGGAAGACAGCCATCTCCTCTGCCCAACATATAGCTAAGGCTCCAAAGAAAAACGTACCTGCCAAAACAAAACCCTTTCTCCTGTATAACCAACATGCACTAATAGAAATAACACAGGATGAAGGGTTCCAGTTCTGGCATGCTGAAGCCAAGCTATAGGAACTACAGTGATAAGGCAAGGACCATCCAAGTCTTTCCTCTTCAAGGTCTCATGGTAGCACAGTTAGGTCACAGTATCACACAAGTGCCTGTCACTGGAAGTCCAACTGATTTAACCTCCTTTCACATGAGGGAAATAAATGCCCAGAGAGACAGGCGATGTGCTAAGGCCAGTGCTTCTACAGGGGAGCTGGGGCCGGAAGACATGGGCCAAGCTGTGTCCTGCAGGACACTGTGGTCCATGTACTCTCGCCTCAGGGGTTTGAATGCCTGCCTGCCGGCCCTTGCGGTCTGGGAGAGGCACATGTGCTGGCACACACACTTGGCACTCTAAGACAGGGATGGGGCAGGAGGGTGGAAGTGATCAAGATGCATCATATGTGCAGTATGTGCCAATTCCTCAAAGTGAATGTAAATATCATGTATTGCAAACATACATCAATTAAAAACAAAAACAAAAACACAGACTGTGGCATTCGACTCTAGACCAGAAAGGGGATGAACCCTGAGAAATATAGCTGTCCTTCCAAGTGCCCAGCTCTGACCAACAAGCCCTGAACTCCAAGGCCCAACTTCTGCGACTGCTGCAGGTGCTGAAACGCAGCCTGAAACGTGGACACTAGGGACCTGCATGCAGTACGCACGCCACCCAAGCCACCCTGCCCTCTTTCAACACCCTGACTCACTCATCGGGTTCAGGGACTGTCCTCTCTCAGCAACCCAGGAAAGGACATCTCAGAGCAGATTCCCAAGGAAGCAGGTAATCATACGCAAGGTCAAGTGCCTGCAGAAATAATCCTCCCTCACCAAAGCCTCGCCTTCCTTATGTTAGCTGGATGCTCAGAGATGAATTACCCTTTTCTTCTCACCAAGCTTACAATGGCTTTCTTGTTCCTCTGGTATTTCAAGACCACTGTAAAAATGAAAAGAAGTCATTTCACCAAAAGGACTTAACATTTTACAACACCACCATAAAGGGGAAACGTTCAAACTATTTTTCCCTGTTGGCAAGCCCTGACTCAGAGGGCCCGAGGACAGAGCACCAGGAATCTGGACAGCCACAGTGGGAGGGCCTGGCATGCAGACATCTGAGGGCAGCCAGCCTAGTTCCAGGGCATCTGCTCTTGTCATGGCACAGCTGCAACACAGGCCCCTGTGGATGCCTCCCAGAGATGCCAAGGGAGAGAGACACAGCAACAAGCAACTTATTAACATAACACACATTCACAGAGTGACCCTTCTGTGCCGGACGTGACATCAGGCTGCCGGGACGGAAAGAGACCAACAAGTCCCAGGATGCCCTTTCTCCTGAAAAGTTCACACTTCTCCCTCCAACAAATGCACATCTGAGAAAAAAGGATGCAGAAAACTTCAATGTACACAAAATGTGAATACTGTATCTATTTTTTAAATTGTATTTATTATCAAAAATATCAAAAAACTGGGCGGGGGATTTAGCTCAGTGGTTTTGCCAGCTGCTACGCAAGCGCAAGGAACCAAGTTCGATCCCCAGTACCAAAAAAAAAAATGTTTAAAAATATCAAAAAACATTACCAGGGCTGGGGATTTAGCTCAGTGGTTCCGGCGCCCTCCTCTCAAGCGCAAGGTCCCAAGTTCGATCCCCGGTACACCAAAACAAAACAAAAACAAATTACCAAAAGCTCCCCAAAAGAAAATGCCATACCTACAGCTTCATAGGTAAATTCCAGCAAACATTTAAGAAGGAAATAAACTTCATCAGAAAATTTACACAAACATTATCAGAGAATAGAAAGGTGACCCTCCATTTCTAAATGTTTCGTGAAGCTGGCGTAACCTAAGTACCAACACCTACGGAAAATGAAGACAGAGCCAGGCATGGTGGCTGAGGCAAGAGGATCGCAAGTTCAAGCCCAGTGGGGGCTACTTAGAAAGATCCTGTCTCAAAATAAAAAATACAAAACAGGAGAAAAAATACAAACAGGAATAGGAATGTGAAAAGGGAAAAACAAACGGCAGAAAGGAGGAAAAAGAAAAGAAAAAAAGAATCAGAGGAGAAAATTAAAGGTTAATACCCTTCGTGGATAACAACATAACAGCTAATGGAATCCAATAATAAATAAAAGGATAATGTATCATGAGCAAATAACGTTTACCCCAGAAATTCAAGGGCAGTTTTAATTTGAAAATCAACCCATTTAATTTGTCCTTTTAACAAAATGAAGGAGAAAAATTATATGATCATTTCAATAGATAGCGAACAGCACTTTTTTTTTTGAGACAGGGTCTTGCTACATAGTTCAGGACGGCCCTGAACTCACTATGTAGCCCAGGCTGGCCTCAAACTCACAGCGATCCTCCTACCTCAGCCTCCCAAGTTCTGGGATTACAGGCGTGCGCCACCATGCCCGACTATCGCTTGTCAAAATTCAACACCCATTCGCAATGAAAGTTCTTGGCATACAAGTAAAAATTATCCTCTGTGATGAAGGATATGTACAAAAAAGCCTACAGCTAACATCATACTTTAAGGTGAAAGGCTTGTTTCTTGTTAAGGCTGAAAAAACAATGGAAAGAATTATTGCTGTTAATACTTTTTTCAACATCAAGCTGGTGGTTCTTGCCTTTGTAACATGGCATGAAAAAGAAGTAAAATAGTCCCTCATTGCAGGTGATCTGACTATTCATATAGAAAGATGCCTGCAGAATCTATAAAACAACTACTATAAGTAACAAATACTACTTTGCAAAGTCACAAATCCATCATATTCTTATATATTAACGGTAAACTATCAGAAATAAAATTGTAATAAATTCCAATTAGTTAATAGGAACAAAAAATAAACCACATAGGAATGGAACTAACAAAAGAATTTAAAACATCTACACTGAAATCTATAAAGCACTACTGAGAGAAATTAAGGATCTAAATAAATTGAGAAATATATCTGTGGCCTGGAAAACTCAATTACTACATAAGATATCAATTTTTTCCAAAAATTATTTATAAATTAAATATAATCCCAATCAATACTGCACTAGGTCTGCCAGGCACATGCCTGTAACCTCAGCACTTGGGAGGCTGAGGAGGATTCCCATGAGTTCAAGGCCAGCCTGAATGAAACACAAAGTGAAACTTTTGTCTTAAAAAACCAAAAAAATTAAAAAAAAATACCTGATTGCACTAGGTCTGATTTATAGAAACTGACAAGTTAATTTTAAGTTTTATATGAAAATGCTAAGACCTCAGAATAACTAAAGTAATTTTAAGGAAGAAGAACAGAGGATTTACTCTCTGTGATTTTAACTATAGATGCTAGAGATCAAAATGTGAGGCTGGAGAATAGTCACACATATCACTGCAGCAGAACTCCAAGTCTGGAAACAGACAAATATGATAAGGTCAATTGTTTTTGGTCCAAGGAGACAAAGGCAATACAATGGGTAATGCAATGTCTTTTTCTTTCTTTCTTTCTTTTTTTTTTTTGTTGGTACCAGGGATCAAACTCCGGACCTTGTGCTTGCAAAGCAGGCGACGGGAACCACTGAGCTAAATCCCTGCCCCCGGGATTTTAATGTCTTTTTAATAAATGCAGATGGAAAGACTGAGTATTCACATAGAAAAAATTTGAACATCAACTCCTTACCTCATACCATACACAAAAATTAACAGTACAGCAACCATAATCCTAACTGTAAAACCTAAAATTGCAAAATTTCTAGAAGGAAATCCCTGCCATGCTAAGGTAGATAAAGGTTTCTTATCTAGAACACAAGACGAATGAACTACAAAGGAAAAATCAATAAATTATATTTCACCAAAAGAATTCCATCCTTCTAGAGATACTCTTGAGAAAAGTCAAGCTGGGCCGGGGATTTAGCTCAGTGGTTCTGGCGCCTGCCGTGCAAGCACAAGGTCCCGAGTTTGATCCCCGGTACCAAAAACAAAGAAACAAACAAGAAAAGTCAAGCTACAAACTGGAAAAAAACATGGACAACACAAATATCAGACAAAAAACTTATATCCAGAGCATATCAAGAAAAAAGTCCAACAAAAAAAGCAGACCCATGATTCTAGCATGCACTTCACAAAAGAAGACTCACAAATGGCCAATAAGCACATGGAGATGCTGATGCAGTAAGTCATCAGGGAAATGGAAATTAAATCCCCAGTGAGACAACACTGCATATCTAGTAGGACATCTACTAAAAAGACCAACCACACCAAGTGTTGGTGAGGACAGGGAGCAACTGGAACCCTCATCTACTGCGAGAGAGGGTGAAACAGTACAACCACTCCAGAAAGGTCAGGAGGTTCCTAGAAAGCTAAACATACAACTCCCTACATAGCCTAGCAATTCTGCTACTAGGTATTTACTCCAAATACTGAAGACAGCTCTATGTGTAACAGCTCAAAACTGGAAACTACAGTACTCAAATGTCCACCAACAAACTGGATACCATACAATGGACTACTCAGTAATAAAAAGGGAACAAAGTATCGATACAACCAATGTGCAAACTTTTATAACCATTATGCTGAGTCAAAGAAGCCAGAGAGAAAAGTACATACTGTATTGTATAATATACTTTAAAAATGCAAACTTACCTACAATGATGAAAAACAGACCCATGTTTGCCTGGAGGGCCAGAGAGAATGATGGATTTCAAGATGTTTTCAAAATCAAACCAGGGCCTTTGTACTGAGCTACATCTCTAGCTCTCTGCCCCCCACCCCCCCACCACTTTTTTCTTGTTGTTCTGAGGCAGGGTATTGCTAATTCACTGAGTTGCCCAGGCTGGGTCTGGAACTTGTGATCCTCCTGTCTGAATCTTCCAGAGTGCTGGGATTACAGGCGTATGATACCACACTCAGCTAAACTATAAACTTTGAATACTGCAATTCATTGTACATCATTTATGCCTCAATTAAGCTGTAAAAATATTTTCAATACCAACATACTTTAGTGCACTATCACATTCATTAAAGGACAGTGCAAACCTTTCTCTGAATGACTGGCAGGACCATGTAGTTTACCATCCAAGCCAGGAAATGTATGCAAGTCGGAGTGGGAGCTAAAAATAAGCAGCAGTGTTAAGGCATCCACAGCCGGCTGTGTGAACTGGCACTGCCCTGGGAAAATCAGCACGTAGGCCTTGGGAACAGCCAATGCCCAGTCTATTCTTGGTGCGATTAGATACTTCCTGCATAAAGTTCGCCCTCGAGTTTACTCCTCAGAAACAGCAGAGCTGGAAGCAGGTGAGGTGGTGGCACCAGGGCCTGTGCCCTTCTCCCTCAGAGGAAGCGGTTGGCTCTCAGGCAGTTCAGGCACAGGGCACTCACCAACTCCCTGTCTCCAAGGTTAACGTCCTTGTTTAAGCTCCACTCTTGTTGATGAAGAAGAAATCAAAGGACAGGGTGGGGGCCATGCCCACTCCTATTTTCCAAACGTCTCATTATCCTGACCCACCCTCTATAGACCTCGCAATCAGCCCATGGAGAAGGCAGTGCCAACTTTCCTGAGACAAAGTCCAGCAGGGATGGAGCTGGGACGGGCCAGCCCTGGGAGCAGCTCTGCCGAGGGCACATCGTACACAGCCTGCCTGCAGGGCCAACCCTCAAGGCCTGCAGAGACCAAGTCCCCACCGCCCCTCTGTTCACCTCCTGTCTACAAACCGGTGGGGTGGGGTCATAGTTCATTTCTGAGTCTACACTTCAAGCCCGTCACTCATCTTCAGTCGTAGAGGGGAGAAACGACTCAGTGAATGGACAGCCCAGGCTCCTGCCACACAGCCAGCCTTCGCCTTAATTTGCAAGTTGGGGGGGGGGGGTCATGTCACTGTACACTGTACCTATTCTGAAATACCAGGTTCTTCTGAGACAAGAACCAATACAGGATGGCTTTCCCACATAATTCCCTAGGGAATTAAACCATTTTTTTCTAACTTCTTCACATTAGAACACAAAACAGACAGGAGCTGGCTCAGTCACACCGCTGGCACATCTACCAAAGAATGCCAGGTAAAGAATAAGCACAAGGATTAATTTCTAAGCAAAGTCCCATCAGACCCATGTACCTCTGCTCCAGGTCTTTTCTCAAAGACTTCTGCCCTCATGAAACAGTCTCACAACTGTTCCCTGTTTTCTCTGTCATTTGTAATAAAGATAAGCAAAACAAGTGTTAACAGTAAGCACACGCACGCACACATGCATGCACACACACTTGCTGAGAAGGCCGTTTCACCAGTGCCAACCCCACCACACTATAACCACAGAGCCCAGCACGCGGCAGCACCCGCTCCCACCCCACACCAAACCCCTCATATCCTCACTCCGGGACCCAGCACACACTGGCCGGGCCACCAG